TGCAGTGAAACTTGAAACAAGCAAAAATTGCGGTGAAACTCCTTGGCAACAATTGCAGTGAAACCTCGTTCTTGCTCTTGCTCTTGCTCTTGCGCTTGCGCCGCTGAGAAATGAGTCAATGAACAACTCCTCAAGATGTCCTGCACTCCTTCACCAGAGGCTTCGCAAGAAGCTGGGCAACCCGAAATCTGCAGCCGACTCCTCCTCCAGTAGATCGTCGAGCTCCTCAAGAGCTGCCGATGGCCGATTGGCGTGCGAGATCAACACCCGACACCTGTTGCCAGCGGCTCGACGAGCCTGAAGTTGCTCCACCTCCTGCAGGAGGGAGCGCTGGTCGTCCACAAAAATGGCCGCCCCCACACGGCAGACTTCTTCTGCCTTAGATGTGGCACAGCCCGTGAGCGATGGCCTGTCACGGGCAGGATCCGAAGTGAACTTCCGGTTGACCACGTGGATGAACCTGAAAGCTCGTGTCAACTCAGTCTCAAGATCACATGCCTCACGAAGCACCCTGGACTGAGTGGCTGGCGCCGATGCGAAGGAGCAAATGCCAAGATCGTAGCCCAATGACTGAGCTCGTCGAAGCGTCTGCTTCACCCTCTCGGGCACGTAGGATCCACCACTCTGAGGCTCAAAGGACAGCGTCCGATGCCAATCAAGAACTATGAGCGGTCGCTCAACCGAAGTTCCTGGGCGAGTAGATGCCACCGATGAATCTGGAGATGAACGAGGTTCGGCCTTTGCCTTGGCCACCACTGTTGCCTTTGGAGCAGCCTTAGGCTCCGCAGGCCTCAACGATCCCCTTGACCCGATGCGAGAAACTTCACTGGTCCCTGCCGTCGATGATGTCCTGGCCGGAACTCGAATGGTCCTCCTTGTGGTCACTGGAGTCGATGCTGAGGCTGTATCGCGCTCTGCGCGAGCTGTTCCAGATGTCCTCACCTCTCTTTCGCGCTCAGCGCGAGCTGATGTCTCCGCCGGCCGAGTTCGATCTTCGCGCACAGCGCGAGCTGATGCTTCCGCCGGTCGAGGTCGATCTCCACCTTCGCGCACTGCGCGAGTTGATGTTGTCACCAATCGAGATGGATCGCCGCTTTCGCGCGCTGCGCGAGGTGATGTTGCTGGATGAGATGGAACTTCCCTTTCGCGCTCTGCGCGAGGTGATGTTGTTGCCCGATTGGATGAACGTCCCTCCACAACACCAGCCGAGTCCCGTGAGCTCCTGCCTTCCACCCCTGTCGGAGTTTCCGCCGAAGATCGATCAGAACGCCTTGGCACTGGTGCCACTGAAGAAGATGTCAACCGAGGACGAGACGCCGAAGTTGGCTCAGGATCACCAGCAGGCCTGTCCCTCACGTCAGCCTGCTCTGGGACCCAAACCCACCTCCACTCACCCCTAGCACCCGGTGCCGGTGGTGGTGGCTGAGGTGGCTCCGGAGGTGCCCGACCAAGTTCCTCTGCTGTAGCAAAATCGATGGCTGAAGACACACCGCGGTTGTACCTGCTCAATTGGCTGGACCTCCACGGGTTGCCCCCTCGTCTGCCACGAGTTCGAACTCTTGATCGGGAACGGTCACGTCTATGATCAGACATGCAGTCGCGCCAATGGCGGCGAAGGATGGGAAAATTGTCGCGCAAGCGCGAGTGAAAGATTGAAGGTGCCAATGAAAGAACAATTCAGTGATCTATGCAATTGAAGTCTTAGATTTCTTGCCGATATGTTCAGTCTTTCAATAGCTCCCAATTGATCTCACAACTGCAGAAATAAGCCGGGCTACGGCTGATAACCACAAAATTCCAGTAAATCCAGTGAATGCGGGGATTGTACCAGAAGTAATATTCACGTGTATTCAAGATGCAGTAGTCAACAGATGTAACAATGGCCAGTGACACTAAGCAACAACACCTGTTTTAGCGGGCACCTTGAGCCAAACGTTGTTGGCCAAGTAAATGGTTTGATGACCAAAACCCCGGATTACAGGATTAAGGAAATGAGTTATCATTGTTGATAACTATTTGAATAGTCTATTCCCGTTGTAAAAGCCCTGACATTATGTACACTCTACAGTCAAAGGCAACAACAATATAGTGGGCTCCGTTTTGGGACCACTATGTGGTATGAACATGCATACACGGCATAGGGGTTATTCGAGTATTTTCTACTGTTTTGAAAACCACTTTTTTTTCAGAATATGGAATCTTATGGTATTTGAGATATTGGTCAGGTTCATATGGGATTGTTGGTCCATTTTGTCTGCGGGTTTAATGAGTGGATTTATTAGAATTCAATGGGATTTCTTGATAATTTTATGCTTGAGAATTTTAGGGGATTTCTCAGGGGGTCTACAAAGATCTTGCGGATTGTATTGCATGAGATTTTCATGGTAATCTTTAATCTTTAATATGAAGCCAAGAGGGCGTTTAACACTGGTCATGTGGATGGCTCAAAGGCAACAGGCACTTGAAACCATCATTTTTCAAAACATATACACATATATTCTACAGATTTCTACAGTATGGATCTGAGGGAGCGTTTGGGGTATACTTTAAGGGATTAAGTACTTTCTCTGGAAGCATTCGGATCCATAGGGTATATATATATATACATTTGTATATACATATAATTAATACCTACATATATATATATATATATATGAGAATAAGATGCCAACTCAATGGCAGGGAATGGGATTTATAGACAGTAAGTGGTGACTTGGAATTCCGGGTTTTGTCCCATTTGTGCTCCTATTATGTAAAATTAACAATTGGAGGGGGGCGATGGTTTAACAAGGGTTTATGAATGACCTGCGTTCCTTTATGAATGTGTTTGCTCCCACAGATCGAACTTGTAAATTGCCTATCGATGGTGCACTTTGAAGGCGAATTGTCTTCAATGGTTGGCTTGATTTGATTGACCATCTATATTTTCCTATTCCTGGATGATGGATTGTATTCTCAACCATTCATACACATTGTATTTACGAGTTTTAAACTCACAAAGCACTGAATACAGCTTGAACAAAATACTTTGAAACTCATAATTCATACTGCATCTCATCGACCACAGTGTTTCCATGATTAATCCCATATTTTTTTGTATGCACTTTGAAACTACTATATCATCAATCATTGAACTTTGAAACTACTTAAGTACTATATCATCAATCATTGAATAAGACCATGAAACATCCGCCGTCACCACTGGGTCCGGCACCAGGCTGCTTTCAGTGATGTCCTACATGCAACGTCTGCATGAAACACATGGTTTATTGAGGATATCAGCAACAAACATATGGAGGTTTCCTAAAATGTCAATGGGAATTCCAGGATCCTAAAATGGAGGCACTGTACCATATAAGGCCATATTTGTGGGGATATTCCCTTCCATAGGCCTTACATAGGGCTTAGATATGGTAGGTACCTCCAATTTAGGTTCCTGAAATTCCCATTGAAAATGGGGTTACCCCAAAATCATCCAAAACTGGTTCTTGACCATGGGAAAAACCAATGCTTTATTGGGGTACCAATATTTTAGGAAACGTCCATATGAGGGCATGTTTGGGATCAATGAGGATCCATTCAAGTAAAAAACGCAATAATGGAGATACATATTGGGATTTTTGGCAAGGCTTTGGAAGGGTACTTGGGTGGTTAGATATCATGGGAAATATTGTTATATCAGCCAACGAGAATTGGTGTACTACATCACCAGCAGGCAGTCCAGTTTCAATATGGTTATGTCTTGTGGGGACACATGTTGGGATACTGATATCACCATGAAAATCAAGGGTTAACCCTTTGGGTGACAGCAGTTGTGATGAAATAATCAAAACATTGGTTGAACTAGCAAAGAATCACATCTTATACATGATCACAAGACATGGGATACCATCTATCAAAGGTGGTGCCCCCTAGTTATATGTTGACTTATAACTCTATCTAGCATCATCCAGTTATAGTTTTTCAAAAACCAAACACATCCAAACACCGTAATCAACTAATATAGTTCAGATAGTTCAGCTATAGATAGTTCACCATAATCAACTAATATAGATCATCCAAACATCCATCCAGCTATAGTTCAGATATAAATCAACTAATAGCGAGTCCGAACTGGGGTATCACCTTGCATCACAGCTTTGCCCAGAAATGTTCAGCAAAGGTTGCTAGTCCAAACCTACAACCCTCGAGATTTTGTGGTGTCAAAGTTCACTCGGGCTTAATTTATCTTAAGCGGATGTAGGATGATTCAATATACACATAAATATCATAAATTATATAGTTGTTTACTTTTTTTTATGTGGATTTGTCTGAAAATAGGCATCCCTTGGTTCATCACTATTTTCCCTACTGCGGGTACAAGTGGCAATTGTTGCATACCCCATTTTTGGACAGCCCAAGGTAGGCCATTTTCGGATATCGCCCAAATGATTTGATGGAATTCCCTCTGTTCTTTGTTTCACACACTGGCAGGCAGTGATGAAGCTTACATACTGTATATTTAGATATGTCAGTATATCGGTTACGAATACGGTCATCCCACGATCATTCCGCACTACTTAGACTGGGAATATTAACCCCTATTGATGCATGGAGAACATCCCTTTTATGATGATTGATGGGAAAATAAACACACTTTTAACCATGGCACATTTGGATCAGCATGACCCAAAACATGGGTTTTATCATTGAGATAATTGTGTAATATCTATCTTAATCAGCCGACAGATGCCAAAACCTGTCTCCAAAATGTTAATTCTTGAACTATTTACCGCGTCTTTTCCAGATGCTCAACCTTTCCATGACTTGGGGTTCTTCTATGATCTATTATTTTTGGTTAACATAAACCCAACATAACTGGTTGGTGGTTTCAACCATCTTGAAAAATATTAGTCAATGGGAAGGATTGTCCCATATATTATGGAAAAAACATGTTTGAAACCACCAACAAGATAATCACTGATCACCGTCGCATCCCGTCCCCTACGAATCGCCCCGGCTCCTCTCCCAGCTTTTGAAAAAGACTTCGCAATTCGCTGGCCGAAATGCGGCCGCTTTGATCCTGCCGATCTGGTTTTGGTGTTGGAAACGTGTGGAACACATTGGTGTAAAAACATAGAATGATGATGACCAATTTCGCGTTTTAGTTTTTAACTCGTAGCAATTTCGACCATTGTGTGTATGCATGCATGCATGTATGTCTGCCTGTGTGTATGTATGTATGTGTGTATGTCTGTGTGTATGTATGTATGTATGTATGTATGTGTGTATGCATGTATGTGTGTCTATGTCTGCATGTCTGTATGTCTGTATGTCTGTATGTCTGTCTGTATGTCTGTATGTCTGTCTGTATGTCTGTATGTCTGTCTGTATGTCTTTCTGTATGTCTTTCTGTAAGTTTCTCTATGTATTTCTGTATGTATTTCTGCCTGTATTTCTGTCTGTCTTTCTGCCTGTATTTATGTCTGTATTTCTGTCTGTCTTTCTGTCTCTGTCTGTATGTATGTGTGGATGCATGCATGATATATTGTATCAAATATTATATGTATATAATGTTTGTAATATATATATATAACTATATATGTAATAATATATATATATATATCTAATATATATATATATCTAATATATATATATATATCTAATATATATATATATCTAATATATATATATATATATGTACATGTATGTAATATATATATATATACATATTTATATTCCGATGCAAATCCATGGGTTAGTTGCTACTTGGTCACAACCCCCTTTCGTTTCCTGGGTCCCCGTCCCAAGGCGCCTGGTCAAAGAGGTCGAACTGTGTCTTGAGGAAACAGAGATGTTGGAGACCCATTCCTCATATGACGGGGAAAGGATCCTTACCCATGACGGATCCATGGTGCTGGTAAATATACTAACATTTGGGGTATATATTCCTCATATATGATATAGATATATAGGCCCCATTGATATTTATATATATATAGATATATATAGATGATATAGATATAGAGATATAGAGATGAGATAGGGAAAGGATCCTTACAGGACAAGTCACCATTGATACAAACAAGATGCACACGCAAATCTGGACGAATCGGAGGAATGCGTTGCCTTTTTGTTGCAACCTTTTGAGTTGGGTAATAGATACCCTTTGGTAATTTAACATAGCTATTGAAAATGGCCCATTTATAGTGGATTTACCCATTGAAAATTTGAAAAAAATGTAATTTCATGGTAATTTCCATAGTTATGTTAATTTACCAGAGGGCAAGTGGTTGATGACCAAGACAGCTGGGGGTTTACAATGCACATGTGACCTACAGTGTTTTTGCAGTTGCAAACGAGGCCTTTCCTGTCAGAGAAGGGCTGCGAAACAAATTGTTTATTGGTGGTCATTACGATCTGGTTATTTAACATAGCGAACTGGAAAACCCCAACCATAAATGGAGGCCATCTATATCACAGCTATGTTAGTCATAGCCAGAGGGTAACCCTTAACAAGGCTCAAGACAGGTGACTCCTAACAGTTTCGGGGATCTGTGGCGACCTTTGAGGATCCTTTCACAAAGACTTGAATTTCTTACTCTGCTCCACACGCTAATTTGAACATCCGCTAGTAACTACGGGTTCCTCTTTGAGGGAGGTAAAACAATATAGAATGCGTAGGGCCTGATTGGTTGGCGATTTTGAGTACTGATAGTATCCAAGTGGCGACCAATGCTTGACCTGCCCTGCGGCTGTAGCTCGACCCACTGGTGGTTCAATCCCAGCGTCCCATGGGTTGCACTCAGCATGGGTCTTGGAGGCCTTAGTCGCCTGCTCCAGCTTTTGGAGAAGCAGACCAAGAAACCCGATCAGAGGAGGTTGCCATGCCGTTCGTCTGGATGGTCAACCAGTTCATAAAGTGACTAAGCTGTCGTTCCTTTTCGTTCCCCGAAGGAGTCAGCTGTTCAGCTGTTGTTGTCACTGTTCTCACGTTCGTGTCGAAAAACCGGAACCCACACTTCCGTTCAAAAGTTGCAACATAATAAATCCTGGCTTTTCTGTACTTCCCGCTCTCACATTTCTTCCCTCCCAGGAGTTTTCCTCTTCCTGGTGCAGTTCTTATCCGTCTAAGCTCTCTTCCAGATTTTCCAAACATTCTCGGGCAAGACTTCGCTGCCTCTACAGATTCGAGCTTTCTATTGTTCAGAGGGTCTAGCACTGATCTGCCAGCAGCAAGGAATGGGTACAGAGACGCATAGCAGATAGGGATTTCTGTAGCCGAAAAGTCTATCTCTCTTGCAGCTCGCTTTGAAGCTTCTGTCATTCTCTCCCATGCAGGTGTTCCTTCAGCCCAGTGAGGTCTTTCAGAAGGCTCCTCTGTTCGCATCTTGAAGCTCAGCCAGCTTATTTTCACTGAATGGCAAGCTGGTTTTGGGTCCTGAACTTATTGGCCCATCATTAGCTGTCGCCTGCCCGCGCACTGTGAGCTCCACTCCCTGAGCGGGATGCAATCTCAAAATGCGGCTCATGTTTACTGTCACTTGGGTGCAGTTGTGTTTCATACGTTTCATGGGAATGACCATGGACAAAAACCTCCATAAAACGGGACATGACCCCTACAACCATGGTAAATATGGTAAAATACATCCACTTTCTTCAGGGAACTGAAGCTCAGGAACCAAACCGCTCCGGTCCGGTCTCAGCTCAGCCCAAAACAATGGGGGGACCTCTGGTTGATCAATACAATTACCCAATGGATTGTGATAGTCCCAAATATATTACTGGTTGGTGTTGACCTACCCCTTTGAAAAAATATTAGTTACTGGGAAGGCTAACCATCTTGAAAAATATGAAAGTCAGTTGGGATTATTATTCCCAATATATTATGGAAAATAGAAAATGTTCCAAACCACCAACCAGGATAGTATGAGCCTTTACAATCATCAGCAGCTCGCATTTTTTCTTATCAAAATGGCAATATGTTAGCGGTAATCCCCCATTTACAGACACACTCAGATCACATAACACTATTACGATGAATATCAAGTTAAATCCCATTGCGTCCGTGATTGTCCTAGAGAATTCACAATAAAATCAATGAACGTTCTCAGAACAATCCCATGGTTTACCAATGTTTGCTTTTTTTTTATCAAACCACAGCAGTACCATAACATACCATAACTATCTTACCTTAGCCAAGACTCCCATCAGCTTGGCACGTACCTTGAGCAATTTCGGCATCCAGGGTGGGGAGAAGCATCCGTCATCCGTTAGTATATGAGGATGTTATACTATAGTTGGACTATAACATTGCCAATCTTCGATACCCTGCAAAAAGTCAATTGTTTGCTGGTGAACGTAGATATTCCCATTTCTCTGGGAAAATTATAATATTTCAATATATTTCGCTAACCTGAATCTTGCGGCCATAAAAGGGGATGTTTCCCCTTACTAACCATCATTTCCAGTGAGGGAGAACAGGATGAGTTTCTACCAATCCAAGGTTGGGAATCTGAATAGTTGGATACTACCTTGGAATATCATCATGGGTATGGGTCAAGTCATTAGGTACCCTGTACCCCAAAAATTGTATGGTTAATACTAAGCTAGATATTCACATCTGTGGTCCCACATCGGTCTTCCATTTTGACCCACATCCATACTTAGACAGAAAAAAACACTTAGTGAAAGACAAAGGTGGATGTTATCAACCATCCAGCAAACATAGCAATGGAACATCACATTTTTTTACGAGGTAAATCATCTATCAATGGGCTATTTTCCATAGCCACGTTCGTTTACCAGAGGGGGGTAAAAAGCAAAGTTGGATTATGTGGAGTAAATCATCATCTACTTGGTGGTTCATCCCACTTAGTAAGTGGGTTATAACCCCAGTTATAAATGGGATAAGTAGGGTTAATCCACTTATAACTGGGGTTATAACCCACTTACTAAGTGGGATGAACCACCAAGTATGGAGATGTAATTCGGCTATAATTGGACAGTCATTCGGATATAATGGAAATTATACCGTCCGGTGTCATCCAACATGGCAAACTGGGAAACTCGGGCACTAGATAGGGATGTGAATGGGGAATCATCGACCTACATGGATAACTTTGTATTGCCATGCTTTAATTACCAGGGGTATTGGTTCAATAGGGTTGGCAACATGATAGACCAATTTGCTTCCGCAGATCGCAAATAACACAATTCATGGTGGTTGTATACACCAGACATTGGTAAATGTTAGTGTATCTGGATATGTTAAAGGATGGGGTAATTTATACGGTATAACTACCCTAATTCAGGGAAAATTTACCGGGAAAACGCACAAAAAACAAGGGATTGGCTGAATTATATTGATTCACCGACTTGAAATTTCTCGTGATCTTCAGGTACCCTCTGGTAAACTAACATAACTATGGAAAATCACCATTTTTAATGGGAAAATCAACTATAAATGGCAATTTTCAATAGCTATGTTAGTTTACCAGGCGGTGACGTCGGCATTTCTTGGTGAAGTCCAGACATCTGATGAAAGCCACATTCTATTAATGAGCCCAATCAGAATTTGCCAATATCCTTTCTGGTTGCTGGTTTTTCGCCACCCCTCTGAAAAATGATGGAGTGAGTTCGTCAGTTGGGATGATGACATTCTATTCCATTCCCAATATATTTGGGAAAGTCATAAAAAACGTGTTCCAAACCACCAACCAGCATTCATTAACTATAGTTATATCATATAGTTATATCTACCATAAACCATAGAATTCAGCCACTTATAGATTCCAACCACTTGAAATAACAATGGAAAAAAAAAACATCATTCACCCATTAGATGAGTTAGAAACCCAGTCCGAAAAACCATATCAACTCTCCACGTTTGGTGTTGAAAGCCTACAATCTTCAAGCGTTCTCTTTACCCTCTGGTAATGACTAACATAGCTATTGAAAATGGCCATTTATAGTTGACTTTCCCATTAAACATGGTGATTTTCAATAGCTATGTTAGTTTACCAGAGGGTGAGCGGCAACCCATTCGTTCTAGACCTTTGTTGGTGAACATCCATGAACATCCCAGTCTTTCGCAACTGTTCCAAAATCCGAGCTGCAAAGTAGTGCCCCAAAATCGTTAGCTAAGATGGTTTATATATATATATACACAACACCTGGTTATTTAACATAGCCATGGAAAATCAACATTTTTAAAAGGTAAACCATCTATAAATGAGCAATTTTCCATGGCTATGTTAAATAACCAAAGGGTATATAGTTTATAACATTTTTTAGAACTAAAAATTCACTAGGGTTGATGCTAGATATATCCCTCTATTTTTCATGGGTGTTGTAAACCATACATACGTTGTAATTCACTCCTAGACCAAAAAACTTGGTTGCCCTCTGGCTATGTAGCATAGCAATGGAACATTGCCCATTCATAGATGATTGATGATTTACCGGTTTTAAAACACGCTGATCTTCCATAACGCTATCTATCTCCGTCACGTTAAATAGCCAACTCGGAAAAATCAGTGAATTCCAGCACCACAGGGCTGCGCCCAAGGGACCTCCAGCTCTTGTCTAGACATCTTATACTTCCTGAGGAAGGTGATGTCCAGCTCATCCTGCACCATTTTTGTATCATCAGACGCACCATTTTTTGGGGATGGAACTGGACGCACAAATGGGTAGTTTAAAATGCAAAAATCATGAATGATACTCGAACAATATTTTCGTCGGAAGATGATCATACATCAAATTGGTTTCCTTGAGAAACTGTAGTTATCGACAAACCCAGGCACGTATAGATACTGCCTGACACTTCTCACTAATTTTCAGGGGAACTCTACCGTGGTGTAGCTTGCCTCTGTTACACCCTTAAGCAGCTTCTCGTCCAGAAAAGGCAAGTCGTTAAAGGAGCGCGAGACAAAATGCTTGGCTCTGACAGGAGCAGCGTTGGACGAAAACTGTCTTTTCATTCGTTATTGTGTAGCCATCTGAAGCTCATTCTGTGAATCCAGAACTGAACAAGTGATTCTGTTCATAATCATATTCTGTGATATCAAATTACTAATTACTATTGTTGTCATTAAAATATCACATGTTACATCAATGTATAATAATATATATATATATATATATGTATGTAGTTTACACAGAAGACCTTGATTCTTACCACCAGAACTTGGGCTTTTGGTATGTCAGTGCAGCTGCTTCTAAGCCATACCATATACTTCGTTAACATTGCTAATCTTTGGTTCCCTGTGAAAACAAACACACTATAGTAAACATCCCCATTGGTAGCAACATACCTGCTTGGTGGTTTTAACCATCTTGAGAAATATTAGTCAATGGGAAGGTTTCTCCGATGGAAAATAACAAATGTTTGAAACCACCAACCAGGTATTAAAGTATAAAGTAGGTTTCCCATTGGATCAAATTATTTCGGTGACAGTCGCTATGAAAGTCATGGCAGGCCATGAGGTGCCAGCACCTTCGCTATCCTTACAATCCCAGCGGAATCCCGTTCCCATCATATCAAAAACAATCTAAATGGTGTACATCCTCTATGAAACCATAGTTTTTTGAGAGGCTGCTTTCCCTACGAATCTAGGATGGGATCGACTATGAACCAATGGATGTCCAGGTTTGGGTTGAATGCCCGTGTTGGTTGGGCAAGATCCCTTTTGTTAATGTTGCCTTCCAAACAAAGTGAGTTACCTCATTGACCAACCACTCACCAAGGTCTTCGTCTTATTTTATGGTCCACCTCCCTGATTATTGCTGTTTTTTTTGACCTGAATAAAACTGGTTGCTTGTTGACCCCATGCGAAATTAGTTTTCTTTTCAAAATGGTTCAAAAAACGGTGGTTACACCCTAATCCCAATCCGTCCAATATACCATTTTTTTCGGCGCCACTCCGGTAAATTAGCAAAGTAGTATGAAAGTCCATGGCAGTTTTCCTGGGAAAAAACTCTTCTTTGGTGGTGGGTTGTCCATATACCATCTGGTTATTTAACATAGCCATGGAAAATCACCATTTTTAAGAACGGTAAACCATGTATTTCTATGGGCCATCTATACCATGGCTATGTTAGCCATAACCAGAGGGTATCTATATGATATACTAATTTACAGGAGGATAGTTCCCATTTCCCTCCACATTTTTGACGCAAAAAACCCTGCTATTCCGACATTTTCTTCCCCATGAAATGGCCATTTCACGATGGATGTTATTCCCAATTGGGCCATCCATTTTAAGATTTGCTTCATGGACCCCCGAAAGAAGAAACAAAACAACAAATTTACGGAAAAAAATAAGCGAAACAAAACATTTCATATAACCCATATGATCCATGGTGCTGGTATATATGCTAACATTTGGGGTATATTGATGGTACATGTTACCATATATAGCATACATGGATCCTATGGGTAATGGTATTCATCAGTGTTCCCGCAATATTTCCACATTACATCCAAAGTTACCCCCAAAATCATCCAAAATTAGATAATTTTGACATTGAAACTCATGGCAACTTGATAACTTGGGGATCTCCCATTTTAAGAAACCCCTATATGCTACAGTACCACAAGTCTAGATACCTGAAGCAACCATTGATCTCTCCACCGTTTTAAGGCCAACCTTAGATGCCCTGCAAAAAATGAAGCATGTTTAGCTGGTGAACGTAGAAAATCCCATTAATACCAAAAGACTAAAGAATTAGTTTCTACCCATCTAAGATTGACCTAGTATATAGTTAAGCATAGTGAATCCCCATAGATAGTTGATGTATATTCAGGTCAACTGTAATGGATATGGGAATGTAATGGGCATATATGTATATAATATATATATATATACAGGATGGTTGGTTTATAAACCCCATTAACTAGTTCGTTAGACCTACTCCAACTCATAGAATTAAGCTACTTATAAGGCAACTTAGCTATCTTAACTATAGTTATATCGACTCTAAACCATGGTAAAACTACTATAGTTATATCATATCTTGGGGGCCCCATCCTGTATACATCAATTTTCCCAGTCGGGCGATCTCTCCTGTGTGACCTCCGCTGGTCGACTCGCGGCCACTTGAATGAGCTGCCGCGTTGCGCGGTTTTTGTGGGCCGCGTTCGGGGAGTCTTTTGACCAACCAGGTTGGGTTTATCGGGGATATTTGCCTAATATTGGTACCCTCTGGTAAACTAACATAGCAATGGAAAATCACTATTTTTAATGGGAAAACTCACTATAAATGGCCATTTTCTACAGCTATGTTAAATTACCAGAGGGTATATTTTCTGGATATGAATATAGGTAATATTGGTATATAACTAATATTGGTATATAGCTAATATTGGTATATTGGGATATAGCCAATGGGAAATCAATATGGATATAAATGATATAATGGCCCATAAGTATATATAAATATAGGTATGTTGATGATACCAACTAATCATAAGCCACTAATGAATATATTGGGTGTTATCTAATGAAATAACTACGAATAAATTTTATATATCATAATCCCTCGTGATTATGGAATCACCATTCAGATTATCACTATCACTAGGGCATTGACATATTGTTGAAATGGATGGCTAAGTTGGTAAGTTGGTTTCTAAGAAGGCTAGTCATTGGATGTATGGTGGATGTTGATATGTCCCCAGTTGGATGGTCTTGGTAACGAACGTATAAGTACAGTATGTTTGCATCATATTGTGATAAACAGGCAAAACATATCAAAACATATTGTTCTGAGGTCCGGTATGTGTTGGTACAAGGTGGTGCACCCAGGATAGCTAAGTCGGTTTATAACTCCAATAACTATGGTTTATAGGTGATATATCTATAGTTTTCATGGGTTTATAACCAATTTATCACTGGGGGTAAAGCTATAATCTCATTGGATATATTTTCTGGAAATAAACTGTAGTACCCTCTGGTAAATTAACATAAACCCTGGCAGTCATCGGGGTTGGAAGACTAGTTTCCATAAAAATTGGTGATTTTCAGGGTCCAACGGTTAATTTACCAGAGGGTATTCTTCATATTTGTTGGGTGGGGGACCACAGACATAGTCAATTCTTAGTATCTACCATCCAAAAATTAGGGTACCCAATTTTAACATGCCATACCGTACCCATTTCTTGGGCAACGTTTGGTGGTTTCCCAAATATGGACCGAATCTTGCTGGTAATGATTTGTGGAAAACTATTTGAGATACTGTGGGGGAAAAAGCTACGTTTGGTGGTGCCGTCCAGTAAACTTTCGAAACCCTAACTAGTTCGATATATCTACCATAGATTCTAGCTAACCTTGTTATAAACCAGTTTAGCTATGGGGCAGCACTTTGTTAGTTATCAGGGGGATACGACTTGTACGTGAAAACTCCAGCAGATTTGGGAGACAAAACCAGAGATAACTCGGTGTAACTTTTCACCGAATCATTGCCAGCCAGATACCATGGTGAATGGTAACCATTAGTAAGCATTAGTAAGCATTAGTAAGGACCATAATCATTGATTATTTAACCATTAGTAACCATTAGAAACCATTAATAATGATACCATTAATAACCATTAATAATTTTAATCAGATACCATTTATTAATGGTTACTAATGGTAATGATTTTTAATGGTAATGATTATTAATGGTAATGATTCTTAATTGTTATTAATAATGATGTGGAAACCTTCATCCAATGGTAATGATTAATGGTTATTAATGGTCATAATAATGATTATTCAATCGTTCTTGATACCCTGCAAGACTAGTTAGGATTAGTTTGTAGCCATCTAAGATTAACCTAGGAATCTGTCAACCTTTGATCACTTTGAGGGCCTCTGAATCATCGACACAAAGCATCGCGACTTGGGGGACGCGTGGATACCCCAAGAATGGCCAACCTTAGACATGTACGAGTACCATGCGAAAAACACCATTTTCAGCTCATTGATATTATGATTATATTTATGACCCCGTGTAGAACAGAGAAAGTGGATTTTAGCTAAAAAAATAAAAAAAAACAGAAAAAAAACAAAAACAGAAACAAAAACAGAATCACCGAAAAAAACAAATCGACAGGAAGAAACAGAAAAAAAACAAGAAAAAAACAAAAAAAAGCAAACAAAACAACAAAAACAAATCAAAAAAAATCAAAACTGCGGAAAATGCAGGTTTTGATTTTTTTTTTGTTTTTTCTTGTTTTTTTCTTGTTTTTTCCTTGGTTTTGGTTTTCTAGTTTGTTTTTTTTGTTTGCTCTGGTTTTGTTGTTTTTTTGTTTTTTTATTTTTTTTGTCAAACCCTATATTCTCTGTGTTGTTGGACTCATAAGATTATATTGTTGATGGTGAAACCATCCGACAACCTGTCTGCCCAAATGTTTCTCCATTCTGTCCCCGTCTTTCTCGTTTCCCCAGTTAAATTGAGTAACAACACCCCAAAAACGATTCAGCTGTATGTGATTTCGGCGGATCTTCAGTCTTTCGAGCATTGCTTTCGCAGTGGCTTTCGCAGCTTCCTTTCTCTTATCGTTTTCGCTTTCATTGTGAGCGCGAATGTCTTTCACTTCTTCGCCAGGCTGCTCCTTGGTCTCCGGCGCACCAGTTTTCTCTTTTCCTTGTCCCTCAGGCATCTTAAACGTCTGACTGAGAAGATTGAAAAGCAAGTCAACCGGAATCGCTTGTTACGTAGACTCTCTTGAGCCATGTTTGATTTTCCACCCGGAGGGTAGCTCCCTGCACACCTGCCGCACGCGCATGTTCAGCGCACTCTTGGACGGGTATGGCAATGGCCTCGAAAACGATGAGAGCCACATTGACGGAACTAAAATGGGGGGGTTTAATCAAACAGAATAGGGATTTGCAAACAGCAAAGGGATTTATAGGAATGATATGTTTAATGATGTAAAATCGGGATATTCACCAATTTATTGGTTTCTGCGAAAATCGGCTTCCATATTCAGTTCGATGGTTGGAATCCACTTTTTGATGGAAACCATCTGGGTTTGTCCGAACATGTACTAGCAATTTGAATCTATGCAAATGTCGGCTTTTTCCTCCATTGATTACTGATTTGGACCATCCCAAAGGAAATGGTATCCTCCGCATCAATAAACTCGATCAATCACTGACAATTGGAAATGCCATGAAATGCCAAGGATCTATGACTCCTTTGGAACTCCAAAACGTGATCAAGTACTATCAAAAAGTGTACTCCCACAGATTTCTGAACACTGAGATTTGTAGAAATCCAGGAAGGGCCCCCCAAGTCTAAAGCACTCTATAAACACATCCAATGGTATCTATCCAACAATCATCTCAGTTCGCCACATTATAAACACACTTGCCCATCCTTCCGGAGACCTTCTTGTTGTTATTGATGGTTGGGTCCCTATGTTCCCTGAATTTTCGTTGTTAAATCACAATGTGTCCATGGCTTGACGGTTGAGGATTACATGTTCAACCCCCTGAGATGAAATCTGTAGTTTCTTCATATCAGTTACCCTCTGGTAAACATACAAAAAACTGTGGAAATTCACCATCTTCAACAGTAAATCAACTATAAATGTCTGGTAAACTACAGTAGCTATGGAAAATCACCATCTTTAAGTTCGGTAAATCAACGAGATTTTTTTGGGCCATTTTCAACAGCAAACTGTTGAAATATACCAGAAGGTATATCTGGTTGGTGGTTTCAACCCCTCTGACAAATATGAAAGTCAGTTGGGATGATTATTCCCAATATATATATATATATATATGTATATATGGAAAAATAAAAAATGTTCCAACCCACCAACCAGATATTTACCTTAACTTGTCATTTTTGATATTCTCAGATATTCCCAGATCGTCACGTGATCGTGAAATCTACCCCGAAACTCGGAATGTCAACTTTTGGGTCTCCCCACTCTCTTGCGGACTGGCTATCACCTCAGCGAACTTAACATAGCCATGGAGGGGCTACCTTCACGTCGTTTGGACAAATCGAAACCTGGGAGTTGATCTCATGAATTAAGGCTTACCATGGTTTACCCGATTAGTATGGTTTAGTCAGAATCAGATGAATTTCCTTTCGCCGATTTTGACGAACCCAAAGAAAAACCTCTTCAAGTGTTGGGTAGCATTGGATCTAATCATGTTGGCGTCCATATGGGGGATATTTAATATTAGGGAAAACATTTTTGGATCAACCCAAATCGAGTTATTAAACAGTTTGCTATGAGAACCATTGCCTATTTAAATCGATGATTTATGATCATTTAATATCATTTCCTGTTCCAACAAATGTGGCGGTGAATAACCAAACGGTAGTTTATTTGTTTCAGCCCATACCTGTGACCAGCCTTGCTTCGTATTTCTGGGTGCGTGAACTGTTGAGTCTCAAACGAGACTATATAAAAACCCATTTCCGCAATTAACTAAACACCCTGTAAATAGATGTAAATAGCCCCTTAGATAAATACATGTAGTTTCATCCCTTACATCCACCATGGTTTCTGGGAGATGTTTAATATGAACGGGGGATGGGAATATGCCCGATCAAAGTCCTTCATCAGGAACAATACCCAAATGCTATGTTCGCGGTTTGGCTTGTGGAACGATCGTACATTAAAAACGTTTAGCCAGGAAATCCAGTGATAAGCAGGGATAATGTTGAGTTGGTAATTTGTGGTATATCCCATGTCTCCAAATATCCACTGGTTTTGATTTATGAATACATCAATGCACATACGAGTACTAGGTGTATACACTACACATACGACATCCGAGTAGAAACAATAACACGCGTGATGCGAATCTATCCATTTACCCCTGGTGTTCAAAACTCAGTTCCGAAACAGTAAGCATCCACTCACTTCAGAAACTACCTTCTGGTAACATGGTTTGTTGGAAACTGCCACGAATTATCTATAATTTTCCCATTCCAATATTCTTAGGTTCATGTGTTCAGGGTTTTCCCAGCTAGCCATCCTTGATTACCCGACGGTTTCAAAACCAATCCTGAGCTCCAGGCTGTTCTGACTGTCGGGTGATTGTTCACCTGGCGTTGTTGAAGTCACGACACCAACCGTCCAGGGCCCCAGAAAGTAGGATGTAGTGACAAAAAAATCGGATTTATTACACAGTATTTTACAATACGAAACACTGTGACATACTGGATTCATTATCCACAACATATGGGTTTATTTATTCAGCAATTAAACAAATAAATTTGTTGGCAAATAAATTATATGCATTGGCAACTAAATGTCGTTTGTTGGCCAAACATGGAAAATGTGTTGGCAAAAATGGGAACTACCGGCAAAAACATGGGGAATGGTTTATTTGCAGAAAACAACGATTTATTGGAAAACACTTACAAACACATGATATTCATTGGCAAAATCATTGTGTTTATTTGACAAAAACTTTGAATTTTATATATTGGTCATAAACAAAATAAAAAAACAAGAAAATAACAAAATTCATGATAAGTTTCTGGGAGATAGAAGTGATGATTATCCAAGAGAAAACAAAAAACATGGGTTTCGACGTCGTGGGAGTCCCATTTTTTCTTTTGCGAAGTGGCGAAGTGATCATACCTGGTTGCGTTCAAGCTACCCTCTGGTAATTTAACAGTTTGCTGTTGAAAATGGCCATAGAAATAGTTGATTTACCCCTTAAAAATGGTGATTTTCCATATTTTTTTGTATGCTTACCAGAGGGCAATCATGGATCAATTGACCAATTTCACAGAGGAACCGAGTAAACATGGATCGAAAACCTTGATCGAAGTGTAAATATTGTTTCAGATATTGCCCGTGCATTGCTGCAATGTCCATGTTCGGCACTGTCCAGCATGTTCGGCACTGCAGGTCAGAAGACCCATTGAACCCCTATGAGCTGCGATTCTATGCAAACTCTTTCTAACCGAACCTGAACACTGAAACTTTGGCACCTTAAAACACATGATTTTGGCTGAAACAAAAGCAAACTTATACACATCCAAATTTGCTTTCAATTGCCTGCATACAAAAACGCTACGCTCCACATTTTTCGTCACTTGGAAACTGCCAACTTTAACTATATATAACAACTTCAAAAACCATTTATCATTTCGTCCAAATTTCTTGAGTGTATTGATGACCCCAAAGTTCAGCTGTGGAAATTTTGCAAATGTACATGTGATCACTGCCACGGATGATTTCAAGCAACATCGCCCAACTGCCTTTTTGACGACCATTGCAAATTGGCGCCAATCTAAAGGATCCAATCCAAACTAATCAGCAATGGGACATTTTGAATTGCATTCGATGGAAAATAATGATAATGTGTGAGATCTTTGATTGAAAATTTCGTTGCAGCCAGGCAACGCTAGTCCGAACAACTGGAACTTTAAATTGATCCCAGCGGTGTACTGCTCATTTTTTCCGAGCTTGTAGTCGGAGTCAGACTGCACCAGGGGTACCAATGATGCAGGATGCCCCAGCTTTCACTCCCAACCTGGATGTTCCTGGCACGTTCAATTCGTACTACTCCAAGTGCTTCTTGTTCCGGAGCTTCTTCACGTACCATTTTCCGTGACCAAAAGGTCAAGAACATATTCACCACAAGAATCACCCGATTGAAACTCTCTTAACATATTTTATGTTTTTTTGAAAGAAACAATTTCCCAATAGATTCCTCAATCGGTGGATTCACAGATGCAACAGCAAAGGTTTGGTTTGTTTGCATGTTTTTGGGTGGCCAGCAAAATCCGGCGCTTTATCAGATTCCCCATCCTAAAATGTCATGTTGCAGGAATACATTCCATCTTCAGACACACACACAAATATCACTTAGGTGGTTACAAACACATATCACCCTTACATTCCATACTATCCCCATGAGCATCCCATGAAACCATGTTTGGAACATCCCTATAATCCTATTAATGTTCCATTTGTATCCCATCATTTACCTATGATTCATCTTAAAAGTCAATCCCCACCATTAAAAATGATTTCTTTTCCATCACTCTGTTGTTGTTCATATTCCGTTTTTACTGATTAAACCCCGCTCTCTGGTGAGACTCGGGCCCTTCGGCACCTGCTTCTGGAAGCGCGGCATGTGCCTGGAGGCTTAGAAGCTCTGCTCCCATGTTGCGGGCCAGGGACTTAGCTGATTTGTAACCCGGTATGTGCCCAGTCATAGAATGCACGCAAGGGACTACAAAGCAATCAACGAACCAAATCAGTAGGCAATCCTGTCCCTGGCTGGTTTGTGGCTACAACGTCTTTGAGCCCATCCCAAAAATGTCAAAACCAATCGGGGCTACCATCTCAAAATGAAAAATCATACGCATGTCTGCGCGCCGCGGTGGCAACAAACTTTTGCCTTTCCTGCAACGCTTATACAGAGCCAATTTCCCCCGCGCGTTCTGTTCAGGCGCAACGTGCCCTTTGCGCTTGTCCTGCTTGTAATCCAATCTCTTTCACTGGACAAGGACAAACTACAAAGACCTTTAGATTAATTTAGATACCCAAAACGAAACAAGCCAGCGCGAAACCACAATCTCTGGCGGCTTGCTAAGGGAAAGCGATGGTTCCTGGTCGTCAAACCTCTGCCATCCTGCATTCATCATCTCAAACGGCACCGTTGCGGTAAAAGCTGCTTAGGTAGCCGGGTACAATTCAGTATGGTTTCCTTCACTGCGTCATCTTTGTGGGCAACAAACTCCAAAAACAATAGTTTTCTGAGACCCTGGCGGACTCCGGGCTGGCGCCTCCACTTTCTGGAAAAGAAACAATGAACAAATCGCAAAAACACCACCACGCCTGTCACCCCTCCAAAAAAAAACTATTGTAGAGGTCGTGGGCACCCCAAGTTTGGAAAAAAATGAAAATATCGAGAAAACAAAAAAGGGACAACAGCAACAATTTCCCAAAGGCAAGTGGGTCCCAATTGAAATAGACAGGTTTCCTGGTTGGTGGTTTCAACCTCCCTGAAAATCGTGGTTATTTTGGATCATGCTCTGGTGGGTTTAACATGATATCATAATAATCATACTTTGAGTGAACAATAGGACCGTTGCTTGAAACCACCATTGGGGATGGGTCAAAACCCTGTACCCCTCGAAGCTTGCCTCGGCTTGGTAAAAGCTTAGGGTCAAAATCACCATTTTCAATAGGCAAACCATCTAAAATCAGGCGTTTACCATAGCTATGTAAAAATTTAATGGAGTAATCCAAATCTAATGGGTAAATTCTATAATTTCCAAAAACAAAAAATCAGCAGGACAAAGACTACGTTTAACAATAATACAAGTGGGGAAAGTTCAAAACAACAAAGCAAGTTGTAGGGAATCACCATTCTATCCCAAGCAGCAGTAAGAAGTTTGATCATCTTGTTCAACTGACTTAAAATGATGAATCATTGAATTAAAATGATGAAACTATTGATAATTATATCTTTATTCATCTTTAATCAGCAATTTCAATAATTAATGATTAATAAATTATCAGTTTCTAGATCCCTTGGTGATATCCCATGATTAATAATCAACAATTCCATTTTAATCATTGGGATTCCATGTAATGCTTCTGAATTTCGCTGCTCAGTTTCTACTGGATGGTTTACTGGTCGAAATCCCCGACAAAGGTGACAAGTAGTCCTGAATTGAACCAACCATGAGACTGTGGGTATTCGACTCATCAGCAGCAAGTTCTTTCATGGGATACCAAGCTTCCAATCATCAATCCTACCTAATCTGGTTGGTGGTGCCAACCCCTCTGAAAAATATGAAAGTCAATTGGGATCATTATTCCCAACATATGGAACAATAAAACATGTTCCAAGCCACCAGTAATTGGTGCGCAGATTCCAGGATCATCTAATCGTGGTGCGGACCAACATTTACTTGTGGCTATTTCGTTCTATATTTCACCAGAGGGGGAAACAATACAGAGATTTCGGCAACAAGAGCAATGAAAAAACAGAGATCAGATCATCCCCTACCACATGTTCATCGTCTTATCCCAGCAAGTTTCTACCCTCTGGTAATCAAATATGGCAATGGTTGCAATACCAAAATACCCCAGAACATGGCGGTTCATAGCTGGGAACATCATTTATAAATGGCAACGTAGCTCCCCCCTGCAGTTGTAAATCGTTTTATAGAGTTATAAGTACCTTAACTCGTACTTATTGGAGTCATGAACCAACTTAACTATCGTTTGGGGCCCCACATTGAGTGGATGTTCAATGCAACGTTACCGGAAAATCTTGGTGGCAACCCTACTGTCAACCCGGGTTCATCAAAATCCGGGGCCGCTCCTCCGGCCACTCACCAAACCCCGCGCAAAAGATGAACACACACTGGGACTTTGATTTTCGTTTGATTTTGGCTATGGCAAAGATCAAGTTGCATGACTCTATCATAAGCTACCCTTCACCAGTTACCCTGATGTTTGAGGCTATTTTGATCCATAAAAGCGCTGAGACTGTGTGTTCATCAGCAAACCTCCCATGCTCGGTTGGATCCCAAAAAAAATGTGCAACCGAAGGGTGCGGAACCCCAGCGTGGTGTTCATTAAACCCAACGAAATAACAGGTGGAAAATCCCAACTTTGCATGACCTACTGGGTGATGCCCCCTAGGTTTACGTTGGCTTAGTTTCACACATCTACTGTAAATATAGTTATCCTCTGGTAAACATACAAAAGGCTATTGAAAATGTTGATTTATAGCGGATTTACCCATAAAAAATGTTGATTTTCCATACTTATGTTAGTTTACCAAAGGGTATGTGATTGTAGCCACCATAAACCCTAGTAAAGCTAGTGAAATCAACCACTTCGGCACTCATAGATCAGAAATCCACTATTTGTCACCATTCTTGTTGGATTATTGCCTTGATATGATTGCAATAACCAATCAACAGCAGGTTCTCAAATGTGCATCCCACTTAGGATCCGGGGTTTCTAATCTAGAAGCCATATTTCATCCCACATATCAGTGGGGATAGTCCATTAATCCAACTGTTTATCTCCATCTGTGATGCCATGTAATCCATCCACTAAGTATAAGCCATTTCCATATATATATAATCACATATATATATATACACACAAGTATATATAATCCATATATCCCATTGGATCCATGGTGCTGGTATATATGTTCACATTTGGGGTATATTGATGGGATCCGCGTTACCATATATAGCAGCACCATGGATCCTATGGGTTGGCAAACCACTACCACTATAGATGGATTATAGATGATGCTTATGGCTTATGGTGGATATATAATTCATATAAAATCATATATATATATAATCAATCTATATGTGTATATATATATATATGCCATCTAAGCCATTTAGAATCCCATTGCCTTGCCATGTCTTTTTACCCAAACAGCGACCTCCAGGCGCAAGGTCTCAGCTGCTTGGGCATCTTGCGCCAGGGCATTTGCAGCACCTGGGACCAGAAATCACTAGGTGAATTCGAGGGTTTTTCAAGCTGTTCATGGATGTTCGTGGTAGATATATCATGATATATCACGATATATCTAAAAAGAGTTTGGTTTATCATATTTTTTCCATAGAGTGACATGATGCCGGATTCTCCGCCGATGAGCTGATGATCGAATTCCTTTGCGTGAACGTAGATGCACGTAGATCCCACAGGGCCGAGCAAAAATATCCATGTGGGTTTAACCACCATGCCCGCAAGTGAACATTTTCCACCTTTCACTTTCTGGTACTCTTGCCAGTGTGGTGCAAGGTGTGTTGGCATCAACCAGGTTCATCTGGACACCATGAGACGGCAAGTACCCAGCTTTCGCTCCCATCATCCCAGGCTTCCTCCGTTGGATTGGACGAATCCCCCCATGGGGATGTGCGGCCAAATCCCAGCCATTTCAGGCGACGACTTTTCGTAGTGGTTGATTCATGTGGTGGCGCGGTTGTACACTCGAGCACACAAGAAAGAAAGGCGGATAGATCGTAGATGATATACCATTGCACATAGGATCCATGGTGCTGGTATATATGTTCACATTTGGGGTATGTTGATGGTACTGTACATGTTACCATATATAGCAGGCATAGATCCTATGGGTTGGCAAACCACTACCACTATAGATGGATTGTAGATGATGCTTATGGTGGATATATCTATGGAGTTCTATGGTCAATGGAGCTTGTGGAGCAACAGGAAGTCTTTGTAATCGTGAGGTCGCAGTGAGATCGTTATAATTCACCCAGGCTTTCAGTGACTTTCAGTGGCAGGTCAATCCGCATCAAACACGAAGCCACCACGTCATCTGATCCCGATGACAACCAATGGACATTCAACATGATTCAACTATCAAATACCCTCTGGTAAATCAACATAGCTATTGAACATGGCCATTTAGATCGTTGATTTGCCCATTAAAATTGGTGATTTTCCAGAGTTTTTTGTATGTTTACCAGGGTCTTTTTTGGGAGGACCCAAGCAAAAGTGGTTTCCCAAGCGTCGTCATTATGTGAACATCCGAAAGGATCCGAAAGGTAATACCATTGTGCAGACAATGAAAAATCTCATGTTTGATTCTGTTAGAGTTTAGCTAGTGATTGCTTTTGACTGCCTAGTTGTAATTGTATAAAGCAATAGTAAACACAAGTAACAAGGTCAGAACACGTGGATTTTTTTGGTGTGTGGCAGTGTGTGGTCCCCCAAACCAATCATGACTGGCTACGGCGATCCCTGAGAGAAACCCACTGAGGTTGAGAACTAAGAGAGAAGCCCACACTCCTTCTGGATTGAGGCAACGAGTCCCTCAGCGTCCAAATGTGATTTAGGGCTCAGTTCATTAGGCGAGTTGGTTGAAATTACTATATTAGCTAAATTCTAATCATTCTATGCTTTCTGGACTTTAAATGATCTTATGATAGATATATCAAACTATAGTAACTAGTAGCGAAACTAAGCCAACAAAACGAAACGGAGAGGGCAAGGATGCTGCGAAACTTGTGCAAAAGACTTCGCAAAACAGCGTTGACTCAACATCGACTATTATAGCTGTACCCCGGCTGGAAAGCCGTGGGAAAGTGTTGATCACCTGGGCCTGCAGGCTGCCTGCCTGGGTTCAATGTTGCCACACATCCGGAGCCGCAGATCTGGCATAACTCCGTGTTTCCATGGACCCGGAGCTCAAGAATTCTAGATTTGTGGTACCCCGAATCCCAAAGAATTAAAACATCATGTTTTTCCCAATTCAAATGGCACTTTTGGTGGCACCCCATTTTTGGACAAATGCATGTTCGGAATGGCTTGTTGAATCCAATTTTGTTGGTGGCTTCAATTTTCTGAAAAAAAAATCCGAGTCATTGGGGAACATTATCCCAAATATTGGTGAGCTTTTTCGTGAGAGTGCCTTCAAAAGCAGCACCTCTGCCGCCTCTGCCCCTGGAAAACCTCATCTGCACTTTCCAGCTGAAGCCCGGCTGTAGGGGGCTTTTACAGCAAAATTGACAGCGTCCTTCCAGTCCTGGCTTTGACATTTTCACCAAGAACCCAGACCAGCAATTGCGTCATCATTTCAGTGGGAATTTCAGGATCCTAAACTGGAGGTACCTACCATATATGAGGCCTCTTTTTGAGGCCAATGTAAGTGAATATAATATCACCACACAATATGGCCTTATATGGTACAGTACCTCCATTTTAGGATCCTGAAATTTCCATTGGTCATTTCCATACATTTTCCTCCTCAAAGTGCCATACATTTGGACTCCCCCACCTCCGGACAAACAAATCGAATAGGATTCGCAACTAGGAATCGTTAAATAGCACCCATCTTTTCACCAGAAACCGAAAAGATCGAGTAATACCAACCACCCACTGCTTACGGTCCCAGGTTTTTTAGGTCCTTGCGGGGCCCCAACTGTGTATCCAAACTATAGTAAAGTGGTACCCAATGTCCAAGCTGTAGTTCCCAAGTCCATCAAAGCTCACCCCCCTGCGAAGACGACGATGGCGGGTTCTGCGCACGATGGAGAACCAGACCGAAGGCAGTGGCCAAGATCTCATCGAATGCGCAAATTGTCTCGACAAGTCTTCCCAAAGTGTGCTGAGTCCTCAAGTGTTCCTGTTCAAGATGACTCAATCGGGTCTCGAGCGCATGATGTCGCCACAGCAAGGCGGTGAAAGGCATACGAGGTGCCTTAATTCTGAGAAACTAAAGGAACTTCCCCTCCGGTAATTTAACATAGCTATGAAAAATTGTCCATTTTTGGATGATTTGCCGTTGAAACAAGGTGATTTTCAACAGCTATTTTATTAAGATTCATAGGCATGGGATACGATCTGAAACTATTGGTATGAAACTATTCTATTGATATGAACTTTAGGTCAGTAAACTAAGATGTAAATTCAATTATATATATATAAATATGACATGTATATAAAACTATCCTCTGAATGAGGTTGCCACTGTTTGACAAGTGACAATCTATATTTGTTTAATGATTTTTACGGGTTACTCAGAGTTACTCATCCTACCCTAGAAACTCATAATGAAAACCTCTCAGAACACCTTAATCGGTGAACCGCCCTGTGTCATCCTTGGATCCCAAAAAATCGGGTCACAATCTCGGATCATAGTGGCTACACCCCCTGAAATAAGCCGAACAATCATCAATCATCATCTAGTTGGTGGTTTCTACCATCTTGAAAAATACTAGTCAATGGGAAGGATTATCCCATATATTATGGAAAATACAATCATCGTTGGCATAGATCACCACTTTTATACTGATTGGTGGTTTCAACCCCTCTGAAAAATATGAAAGTCAGTTGGGATGATTATTCCCAATATGTGGCAAAATAAAAATATTTGAAACCACCAACCAGTATATATCTCATAAACCCAGGTACTAGAAATCCTCATTGACAGTAGTACGCTTTGATATTGATTGGTAGAGGTGTCAATTTCAATCATGGATTTTGATGATCTGCAACAACCATGATATCATGGCCAGTCTTGGATACGAGTACCCTGTTTTTTAATACTGCTGGTTAGTACATATCTCCATTCATAGCAGCATATTAAATTACACAACTAGCCATCCCACGTTGACCTACCATGTGGTTGGGAAAGTCTCAGTAGCTCCTTAGCTCCCCAGTTTTTTGGATATGGTACACCTAGGTCATCCTAGGTCCACTTAGAGGACAGAAAACATGCACCAATTCATTATGTGGCTTTTTTTGCTGCAAGAAAAAACTCAACATGCCCAGAAATGCCGCAAATCAGAACCATGGTCGCTGACAACATCGTGGTTGAATGCCCAGCAGCTATAAGACATTCTGGCATATTTTCAGCTCCTCTTAGTCTCTCGGCGAATGACGCTGCAGCCACGCGCGTGCAATTGGCAAAAGCGATCTCGCAAAAACGCAATGGCATCATTGAACCATGTTGCAGTCGCAATTATGCCGAATCACGCCGCAATTACGCCAAATTACGCCAACGCTCGCCACAATTGCGCCAAAATACGGCGCAACTACGCAACAAGCCTTAGACACTTTTGATTGACCTGACCGGGGATGTGCAAAAAAACAACATGGCTGTCCATGTATTGCATATCAATCCTGGACAACAAGAGAGCCACAACTCTCGGTTGGAGTTGTCCGAAGCACTACCAGCTTGCAGTGAGTCAAAATTGCTTACTATCAATGGATTGGTTTTGTTGGGAAAAATTGGAACCGGAAAGCCCCATGATCTTCATGGGAAAATCTATGGTTTCCGAAGTTTCCGGTTTCGATTTTCCCAACAAAACCAATCCATTGCTTACTAGGACTAGGATGAAGTGAGGCATTGAAAAACACACCTTCTGGCAGTTTTTTTTGGGCTACCCACATGAACCATATAATTCCTATAAAGTCCCTATAAAATCCTGAAAAGTCTCTATAAAATCTTCATAAGTCTCTATAACTCCCTATAAATCCTAATAAATCCCTATAAATCCAATAAATCCCTGTAAAATTCCTATAACATCCCTATAAATCTTTATAAAATCCCAATAAATTCCTATAAAACCCTTAAAAAAAAATAATAAATTCCTATAATTTCCAATAAATCCCTGTAAATCTCTCTCAAATCCCTATAAGTCCAATGTCGGTCACCGCTCGGCGTTTGGTGTCCGGGCGAAGTCGATTGCCGCGGAGCCGGCTGGACGTCCTGGCGGGACGCTGAAGCGTCGACTGGGACATGTTGAGCAGTGGTTGGGTAAAAAACTATCAATGGAGGTACCTCAATAGCTGGATGTTTTTTTGGTGGATGTATATGTGAATAATTTAGTGATGGCTGGGCAAACTGATGGGTTTAATGATATTTATCTCAATAACTGATACCCAACGATGTTCATTTATTGAGATCAGTGGCTGAATTTTGGATCTTCAACGTTTGGATCATTTTGGATATTCATCAGTTGGGCTCAGTGGTTTGGCATCGTGGCATCGTTGTTCAAAGCTACTGATGTGTTGGCCATGTGGTATGGATCTAAGCAGCCAAAGAAATAGGGATTTCACCATTTCACCGAGCAACAAAAACTAGGGATATACTGGGATACAACAGGTTTACCTCATTATATATATATATATATATGATCCATGGTGCTGGTATATATGCTAACAATTGGGGTATATATAGCATACATGGATCCTATGCGATATATATATATATGGAAAACACCAGGAATTTTGGTGGTGAATCGATACATCAGCTGACTCGCAATTGGATATATTGATGGGATAATGGGAATATAAGGGCAATTGATCAATTATAATATAATGATGATTAATATTGACTTATCCAATAGTACATGGGGATGGATGAAGACCTCTACCAGTAGTACCGCGCAAGGCGGTGGCGGAAGTTTCAAAAATAGGAAACCTATAGGAGAGGTTGGTTGTTGTGAATCCGGGATGGCAGAGCGAAGCCACTGATGGACCGAAAGGTGCTTGAGGTCTCCTCTCTTTCTCTCTCTTTCTCTGACTACCTACCTACCTACCTATCTATCTATCTATCTATCTATCGATCTATCTCTCTCTCTCTCATCTAATTACATATCTATCTACCTAATTATCTATCTATCTATCTATCTGTCTGTCTGTCTATCTATCTATCTATCTCTCTCTCTCTCTCTTTCATCTGTCTATCTGTCTAGCTGTCTACCTGTCTATCTGTCTTCTATCTATCTATCTGTCTATCTGTCTATCTGTGGTGCAGTGTCATTCAGTGTAATGTAGTGTAGTGGAATGTAGTGTAGTGTAGTGTAATGTAATGTAATGTAGTGTAATTTAGTGTAGTGGAGTGTAGTGGAGTGTAGTGGTGTGTAGTTGTAGTTGTAGTGTAGTTGAGTGTCGTGTAGTGTAATGTAGTGAAGTGTAGTGGAAGGTAGTGTAATGTAGTGTAGTGTAGTGGAGTGTAGCGTAGTGTAATGTAATGTAGTGTAGTGTGGTGTAATTTAGCAAAGTGGAGTGTAGTGGAGTGTATTTGTGTAGTTGTAGTTGTAGTGTTGTGGAGTGTAGTGTAGTGCAATGTAGTGAAGTGTAGTGTAGTGGGAGTAGTGTAGTGTAGTGTAATGTAGTGTAGTGGAGTGTAGTGTAGTGTAATGTAATGTAGTGTAGTTGAGTGCAGTGTAGTGTAGTGGAGTGTAGTGTAGTGGAATGTAGTGAAGGTGTAGTTGTAGTTGTAGTTGTTGTGTAGTCTATTGTATTGGAGTGTAGTGTGATGTAGTGGTGGTTGTAGTTGAAAATGCTACAAAACCCTCACTTTTTGCGCACTTTTGACAAGGTGCACAATCCCTTGTGCCTGCCACGCGAAGCGACATCTGAACTTCCAAAAGTGGTCCGAACCCCTAGTCTTTTTGAACATTTTGACTTCCAAATGTGCTTCGCGCCACAATGGCGTGCACTTTTTCGACATCTCAACTGCCAAAAGTGGTCCGAGAATGCTGTGCTTTGTACATTTTGACTTCCAAATGTGCTTCGCGCCCGAACGGCGTGCACTTTTTGGACATCTCAACTTCCAAAAGTGGTCCGAAAGTGGTGTGCTTTGTACATTTTGACTTGGAAATGTGCTTTGCGCCACAACGCCGTGCACTTTTTCGACATCTCAACTGCCAAAAGTGGTCCGAAGCTGAGGTGCTTTGTACATTTTCACTTCGAAATGTGCTTCGCGCCACAACGGCGTGCAAATTTTCATCTCTCATCTGGCCAGCTGGCTCTGAAAACGACGGCTGATTCGGCAGGATGCCACTCACTGTAAACAGCTTTTGATGGATGACTGACCTGCAAAGGTGCTTGGCACCTGATGGGTCATGGATCACCACACAACATTGGACATTCAGTAGTTGTCCTACGACCACCTCACCCCATCTCGGTTCTAATGCCAGTGAAGAAAGCCCCATGGCAAACAAGGAATGAAAACTACCCTCCCAAGGGTCAGCGGGGTCAGATGCACCGCTGGAAGGTCTTGGGCCACATCTTGGCCTCCATATGCTGCATTGTCCACGCGCCACCATAATGGCGTTTGAATGGGCGCATACGCCCCTCGCTCCCGCCGCTTCATGATGGAGAGCAAAATCAATTCCGTCCATTGTCTCTCGTGTGAAAACCAACTACACCAAAATGATCTGCGCGATATTGGTGAGTAAAATCCCCTATATGTAATCATCAATCAACCATCATCAACTAATTATATACCAACTATATCTCCATATTTTGATGGTTAAAACAGCTAAAACCCCTAATTTAATGATGTAATCTCCATATTTTCAAGGTTAAAACTCATCAACGGGGCTTTTGAACACGGCTCACTTGGCGATTCCCAACGTCACCACCGTCGCAGGTGACGCGAATCGTCACCGCCTGTGTGAAGAGTTGGAGCCCTGTGCTGCTGGCAGCCTCCTGGGGGGATCTGATCAAAATAAAGGGGCCAGATCCCCTAAGTCAATGGGAATTTCAGGATCCTAAATTGGAGGTACCTACCATCTATAAGGCCTATGTAAGGCCTATGTAAGGGGATATCCCCACAAAATATGGCCTTATATGGTACAGACCTAGTAAATCAGTCATAATAATGATTATTTTAATGATTAATTTGCCATCAATAATGGTTTGGTATACCATCTATGGTTAATTTACCATCCTAACAATGATTAATTCAAAATACCATTATAATAAAATAGAGCATCACATGATTAATTTACCATCTTAACAATGTCCTTTTGATGGTTTGGTATACCATCTATCATCATAGAAACCTGTTGTTAAAGGGGTTTCTTCAAACCCCTCTAGTAATCAACCAATGGGAATTTGGGATAAAAAGTGATATAGTATATTTGTAAACTAACTATGAAAAGTAGGAATAGTGACATAGTGATAACCATTATCTTATAATATAAGCCATTCCAATATATGACATCAAGCTGATTATCATGATTAACAGCCACAATTAATAATCATTATATAGTAATGAATATTAAGATTGGAATTAACACATGAAAAATCATGGAGGCATAATATATCATCGAAAAACATGGGGTGTATAATGAAACTATCAAGGGACTATTTTTCCATTGTTGAATCTAATGGGGTGAGTCTTCACCAGATATTTCAGCAGTAAAATCTGGAGGATTTCAACATCATATAGTTTTTTTTTGGATGATCTAACCACTATAACTGGTTGGTGGTTGACCTACCCCTCTGAAAAATGATGGAGTTCGTCAGTTGGGATGATGAAATCCCAAATTTATGGAAACATAAAATTCATGTTCCAAACCACCAACCAGATAAAATTGGTTTTGTTGCATGGGAATATCACCAACAATAACCATTCAGAGGGGAAATTTAGCATTAGGAAATTGTGTAGATACCAAAGCATGCAGAAAACATGATGAATTTTCATAGAGAATTCATGGGGATATAAGGGAAATATAAACATCAAAAGGGAACACATAGGGTATTCATCAGTGAACTATGTTTTTTTTCAATCATCGATGTCCCTGATCAACATCAAACCTCAGATCAAAATCTTGAGCTTGCATCGATTATAAGTACTGGCGAAAGGTAGAAACTTTTCCCAAATAGGGATCCAGGAATGGTGATGCAAGTATGTCCAGGATACAAATACAATCACCAACAATGTCAGTGGATTTTTAGATGGGTTGTTTAATCAGAGTAATGATTGGAATCAATTAGGAATATACAATGTGCTCCCTCACTGATATGTTTCTGTGTCTGTTGCCGATATATCCATGACATTATGAGCCCAATCGTTAGCCGAGTGAAACAAACCAACTTATCCGAGCAGTGTTCAAATCCCTCTGATGTCCCTGATTGGTTATATAATAGGATTTCCCACAATTGTGTATGCTAATCCACAGCGCATTTGGCTAGTAAAACACACAAACTAATCATCAACCAGGGTTCTTGAACATCATGAATCTCATCCTATCTCACTATGTCCAGATCATACTCCATGAAATAACCCATCATATCCCTATGGAGTACCCACTGGTAAACTAACATAACTATGGAAAATCACCATTTTTTATGGGTAAATCAGCTATTTCTATGGCAATTTTCAATAGCTATGTAACAAATTACCAGAGGGTATCTCAAACAAAATCCTAGAACTTGTTGAAGCGCTTGAACCTAGCTGATGAAAAACCCATTGATGGTTACCATGGTTACCTTGCACATATGTGTTGATTTTTTGTTGTGCGGTTGGGTCAAAACATGGCATGCGGCTTATGGATACCCTCCAGTAAGCTAAAAGTTTGCGAACTGGATAATTAACTTACCAGAGTATACTTACCAGAGAACTGGATAATTATATAACTAACCCTCCAATATGCTTATGGATACCCTAAGAGTATTAACCATTGACTTCGATGATTTACCTAGTAAAGTAGTACTTTTAACCATAGCTATGTTTACCAGAGGGTATCCATCCCATATTGGGAATCCTAACATCATAAGTCTATTCTCATTCAATGGATTGATGTGATGACCATTCCGAACATATGGATGTGGGTCAAAATGGAAGACCTAGGGGACCACAGATGTTAGTCTAGTTTAGTATTAACCATCCAATTATTGGGGTACCTAATTTTGACCCATACCCATATGGGGGACAAACCTTCACCTTTTGAGTATGGCACATAATTATGTGTCAATCTTACCATCTGGTTATTTAACATAGCCACGGAAAATCACCATGCTATTAATAGGTAAACCATCTATTTCTAGGGGCCATCTATACCATGGCTATGTTAGTCATATCCGGAGGGTATATATTCCACAATCCCGTGAAATAGATATCAGATTGCCAAGTTGTACTCCCACTAAAAATCGAGATTCTTGGATATGTTGTTAGATATTGTTGGATATTTCATGATAAACAATCATGATATTGCTACTTGGTGGCTCATCCCACTGAGTAAGTGGGTTATAACCCCAGGTATAAATGGGATAAGTAGGGTTAATCCACTTATAACTGGGGTGAACTAACCCACTTACGAGCCGTGGGATGAACCACCAAGTAGCATCATGCTAATCATGTCATCGGGATATCATATGGCTACATATATTAACCATCACTATTAACCAACCATATATATATAGATAGATATTCATGGTCCAAACCACCAACCAGTATAACTATAGTATCTGGGTAAATTACAATATTTCACTAACCTGAATCGAATTAAGGCCATAAAAGGGGATGATTCCCCGAATCCTAACCATGATTCCCAGTGAGGGAGAACAGTGAGGTCGTGATGAAAATTTACCCACAACTATTGATACTACTATAATATGATGACATTCTTGGTAACAATTAATTCCCATATATTGATATATATTGAATATTATATAGAATGTGAGGCCCCCCAGTTATAAGTTGGTTTATAAGCCCCAGTAACTATAGTTATAAATACCATAAACCATAGTTATTGGAGTTATAAACCAACTTAGCTATCTTGGGGGCCTCACATTGTAGAATATGCATGAATATGCCATGATAATCTGATATGCCCGTATTTTGTCGGCTACATATTTCATGGGCCTAATGGGCGGCTGCCGGCTCCTGCTCGATGAAGGCCGTGCTGTGACGATGTTCTCGTGTCCTAGCAAAAAAAACATGGGAATCTAACAATCAACTACCCTCTGGTTATTTAACATAGCCATGGAAAATGGCCCATTTATAGATGGTTTACCTGTTAAAAATGGTGATTTTCCATGGCTATGTTAAATAACCAGAGGGTATTTGAAGTCAGTTTCTCTGGGTTAAACTATCAAACAAAGGAACTATAACTCACAAGTCATGGCTGATTGGGCAATAGAGCGGTTATACCGACGAGTTTCTTAAGGGTTAACTGTTTGAGATGGGATGGCTGATGGTTGATATGGGTTTAGCCATCACAAAATACCATAAGATGCCAGGTTTAACCACGATCAAATTAGGCTTCATACTAACCCAGCTATGTCAAGCTAACCCAGCTTGGAATATAGCGGATAGTCTAGCCCTGCGGAAACGTCAACCAAAGGCGCGCTATTCAAAGTGCTCAAAAGAATGGGAAGGCTTTACTTCTGATACATTTTTTGAACCCCCCCCCAAAGCGGTTCCATTTTCGGGGGTAGTTCCTTTTTCAAGTCTGGAAGTCCAAAAATATCCCCTGTGCAAGAGTTTATGGCCCATCCTAGTAGTATACCTTCTGATCCCAGACCGGAGTGAAGGATGGTACAATATACCCTCTGGTAGTTTAACATAGCTACTGAAAATGGCCATTTATAGTGAATTTTCCCATTCAAAATGGTGATTTTCCATAGCTTTTTGTATGTTTACCAGAGGGTACGAGTACCATCACTATCCGATCGACCGGCCATATGAAAATCGTTGCCAATGACATCCTGACTGCCACCCACTGTCCATATGTGGCAAGATTCTGAACAAATTGATTTGGAAAACATCCATTATTGACAATACCATATGGATACTTATTTGTTTGGGTTAAACTATCAATTAAGGATATTTACTATCTATTGAACCATAGTATGAGGATTGATAATCGTTGGATCTCTGCAACTGCTCCGCTTACATTACATCATTTCCCAAATGCAGGTCATTGATTTCATTGAATACGTTCCATGTCCAGTTCTCTCCCCAAACATCAGCTGCTGCTGATGCTTGATGGTACTCTTATTTTTTCTCGGCTATGTCCTCAGGGCATTGTGCAGTTCAAAACCACCAAACTTCTTCTCGTGATGGTTTTTGCCTCTCAATATTTTTGGGGTGAAGGCCGGCCTATTTTTACCCAATTAGTTTTTTCCTTTACTTGAGAATAGCACTATTAAAAAAATAACATGGAAAAGATCTGCCCAGTGTTTTCAACTATTGTAGATATGGAAATCACTCAATGGATAGCACTCCATGTATGACTCAAAAACACATGGATTGGCCAGTTTGGTATATCATTATCACTAATCCCCTCTCCCTATTACTAAACGTCCCCCAAATACTAAAAACAGGCGTCCATCCCCAATTTCTGAAAGTTTCAGTTTGGCCAATTTGACTTTTAATTGATCCCCTTTAGAAAACAATTTAAAATTAACCTACCATTTGTGGGTTTCCCCCCTAATACTGAGTAGGGATATCAAAGTAAAAATTTTGGAACTGAATTCTTCGCTGCCTATGGGATTGATAAAATTGCTGCCTAGCTGCCTAGCTGCCTGTCTGCCCTCCATGCACGACACTTTCTTCCCTATCAAATGCAGCTCAGCCTGCATGTCAGTGACTGCGGCAGCCACTGTGAGGCTTGTGTGAGGCTTGTGTGAGGAGCAACTGCAGCGCACGATGGCAGCGAAGGTTGGACGTCAGTCAGGCCTGGTTTTCCCGTATCCCTTTGTTGGGCAGAGAGTAGATACTTTGAGCCAGATGACCACATCGCCATGGGCACTAGTGCCTCCCCAGCAAGGGCTTGGTCTTGGTACTGCCGCAGTAAGGCCATCGATTGCCAACTCACTCTGGTGCAGAAGCGGTGCAAGCCCTGCTGGTTGGCCATGTCATTTGCCAAGGATCGAAGGTGTCGCTTCAATTGCTGCTGGAATGCCTGAGAGGCACAGAGACGATGATGCTGATTGCATTGCCTCATGCATACCTGGACAGAGCTCCTCGCCAGCTGCAACGGCAACACACCTGCAGTCAAGCAATGGACAGTTGGGGTAAGCCCAAAGTGCCCTCGCAGCTTCATCGGGCCTGGAGGGAAGCCACCTCACAAGCTTGAGTGCAGCAGAGCAATGGTCGCAGCTCATCATGGCTCTGGTTTATATTAATCCATTATACTATGGTTAAATAAGTTGTTTAATCCTCATCCATTGTTAAAAAATGAGGATATTACCCATATATTAGATGATAATCCATTATATTTTCATCCATTATATTCCATTATATTATCCATATATTATCATTCATTAATTCCTTAGATTGGTGAAATAAGTTGTTGAAATCCTCATTTTTTCACAGTGAAATCACTATCCAATCACCTATTCATATTCAATGGATTGGTTTAAGGGAAAATCTACAGGAAACCATGGTTTTTACCATTAAATATGGGGTTTTCCTGTAAATTTTCCCTTAAACCAATCCATTGACATATACTATCCATCCATTGATTGATGGTATCTACGCCCGGTGAACCTCACCGAGCCTGTTCTTCCGTTCGTGGGCTTGCTTGGCTCGGTGACGGATCTCCTGGCGTCCGTTGCGTCGGTTGGGGCCCGTTGCGGCTCGCAGTGCTTAGGGTCCATGGCCAATCTTGGATGGTATGTATTGAATAAATATTGGCTATCTATATATATATATATACAGAATTATATATATACATATTGATATACAGTAATATGTATATAAATTTTATTGTATATAATTATAAATATATTATTATTATTATTATATATTATATTATAAATAAATGGTAGATGATATTTTATATATCATATTATTATATTACTATATTATTATACTATTATATTATTATATTTTTAAATATTATAATATATATACATATATTATATATTACATATTACATATTACATAGTATATATTATATATTATATATCATATATCATATAACACACATCATATATTATATATTATATAATGTATATTATATATTATATATATACATTGGTAATATAGGTTATAAACATGGAATGAGCACTTTTAGCTTGCAGGCTACATTGGTGTCATATTGTTTAATGGGTGAGACATTCTTTGCAACATGGCAACATATCAAGATACTAAAGTTCCCATCCAGTTGGTTTCCCAAATTGGGTCTTGGGTTGGGTCTATTAAGGGGATAGATTGATAGAAGTGTTTTCCCTTTCAAACAAATCGCAATGGAACATCTCACTATATTTCATTGGTAAATCAGCTACTGTACACATGGCTACTGGTAAGAGATGTACATACCTACAAAACGATTTAAAGTTGAATCATCCCAGTTTGTGCTCGTGAAAACTTGGGTAACCCTGGCCGGTTGCCTACCCCTTCTACGCCAATTCTTCAGCAACCCACGTCAATGGCTTTCAAGCGGACGTGACTGATACATACGTATGTATACATATATATATATCTATATATCTATATATGTATACATATGCCATATGCTGCTGTGCTCCCATGTAAAGTATATGTTGCCCACATTTGGAGGTTTCCTCAAATGGGGATAGCGCCCATGCCAAGTCATAAATGACCATGACTTAGTATTTAAACTTAAACACCTATGGTGACTTGGGGATCCCCCATGCCCGGTTTGTCAATGTTTGTCATGGCTTTCCCTACAAAAAAAACTGGCTGTTTGATGTTGAATTTCGCCTCATTTGATCAGACAAAATCCATGAAAATCCTAGAGGCTAGAAATATCTAAAAATTCTGACATGGCCCCAGTTGGATCCTTCCATACTTCATCAAACTTCCCTCCACTAAGTCCTCCAGCTTCAAGGGCCTTTCTTCAAAGCCTTCATCTTCGCTGTCTTCTTCCAACTCCACCTGTGAGACGGGGACGAAAGAAGTGGAACGTTGGGCCCAAATCAAAAAAACAAGAGTCAATAGGTATGAGGCCAGGACGCCACAAACAAAGACATAGGAACACCCTTTCACACGAACATGTTTTTGATTTTGTTTTGTGAATCGGCAGGAATACGATTCAAGTAAACACCGTTACACACCATTAAATCACCATTAAATCAGCATTCAACACCATTAAACGCCATTAAATCACCATTAAATCACCATTAAACACCATTAAACACCATTAAACACCATTAAACACCATGAAACACCATGAAACACCATGAAACACCATGAAACACCATGAAACACCACTAAAATCACCATTAAATCACCATTAAATCACCATTAAGCACTATTAAACACCATGAAACACCATTAAATCACCGTAAAATCACCATTAAATCACCATTAAGCACCATTAAACACCATTAAATCACCATAAAATCACTATTAAATCACCATTAAGCACCATTTGACACCATTAAACATCATTAAACAATTAAACAATGGGCCAAATTTTTCCAAAGAATAAAATGCTAATTTTTTTCGAAGTATAGTCGCCTCCTCGGCCACCGGAAAGCCTCGCCAAGGTTGCCTTCAGTTTGTCCTCCTCTCTGGCCCGCCTGGCCGCCTCAAGCCCCTCAGTCTCTCCGGTGATGCCCCGCATCTGCTCTCACCAGCTCTAACTGGCGGCCTACTGACCAGTGAGCACCTTTGCACAGCGACTCCAGCGACTTGAGTCGCTGAGATAGGACGTCGCAAACTGATGCGACCCTGCCACGAAGAAGCCCATCTAGGCAGGTGCTGACTGTCAGCGCCTCCTGAAGCATAGGAGGGCTCATGCCAGATGCCAGCTGTTGCCGGGTGTACTGGGTGATGATCGGCGGCAGTTGTTTCCGATCGACATCCCATAAAGTGCCTGAAGTGCTCATCAAGCTCTCTCTGGCTTCTTCTATGGCCGTGGCCGTCAGGGCACCAGGATAGCGGCGCCAAATCGTCTTCATCCGCTTTTCACTGCTGAACAGTCCTCCTGAACCTCCAGCGCTCAATGAAGACCTTGACGAAGATGAACTTCCCGTCGATGAAGATGATTCTGAGCTCTGTTTTTTTTTTTCCCGCCCAAGCCGACGGGCTTTCCTGATAACGCCCTTCCTTGTCTTGGCCCATTGTTTAATGGTGCTGCAGCCGACTGGTCGGCCCAGCGGGGCGGAAATGGGTGACCAGATATGCGGAAGCCGCAGCTGCAAGTTGTTGTAGTTGTTGTAGTAGTAGTAGTAGTTGTTATTGTTGTTGTTGTTGCTGTTGTAGTTGTAGTTGTATACGTTGTAATTGTAGTTGTAGTAGTAGTTGTTGTAGTTGTTGTCGTTGTCGCTGTTGTAGTTGTAGTTGTAGTTGTACTTGTACTTATTGTTGTAGTTGCAGTTGTAGTTGTAGTAGTTGTAGTTGTAGTAGTAGTAGTAGTTGTTGTTGTTGTTGTTGTTGTTGTTGTTGTTGTATTTGTAGTAGTAGTAGTAGTAGTAGTAGTAGTAGTAGTAGTAGTAGTAGTAGTAGTAGTAGTAGTAGTAGTAGTAGTAGTAGAGTAGTAGTAGTAGTAGTAGTAGTAGTAGTAGTAGTAGTAGTAGTAGTAGTAGTAGTAGTAGTAGTAGTAGTAGTAGTAGTAGTAGTTGTTGTTGTTGTTGTATTTGTAGTTGTAGTAGTAGTTGTTGCTGTTGTATTTATATTTGTTGTAGTAGTAGTAGTAGTAGTTGTTGTTGTAGTTGTTGAAGTTGTTGTAGTTGTTGTAGTTGTTGTAGTTGTTGTAGTTGTAGTAGTAGTTGTTGTTGTTGTATACGTTGTAATTGTAGTTGTAGTAGTAGTTGTTGTTGCAGTTGTTGTTGTAGTTGTTGTCGTTGTAGTTGTAGTTGTACTTGTACTTGTACTTATTGTTGTAGTTGCAGTTGTAGTTGTTGTAGTTGTAGTTGTAGTTGTAGTTGTAGTAGTTGTAGTTGTAGTAGTAGTAGTAGTTGTTGTTGTTGTTTGGATTCCGATAGAAATGTGCATGTTTGGTTTTCAAACAAATATGTTGGATCATGTAAACACATGATGAAAAACAGTCTAATTATGGTGGTTAGTACCCTCTGGGAATTTAACATAGCTATTGAACATGGCCAATAGTTGATTGTTCTTTGAACATATCTTCCAGAGCTATGTTAGTTTAGCATTTGGTGGATTTGGGGGATGAAATCTGCTGGTTCTTTTTGGCTCGTGATGTCATTCCCCATGACATCACGTGATGATCGCGTCATCATCCTCCTTTTATGGCTGCACCATTGGGGGAGATGGTACGTTGTGTCGAACAAATTCCCATATCAATGTCCCAAATAATCTCTGGTAAACTAACATAACTATGGAAAATCACCATTTTTAATAGGAAAATCCACTATAAATTGCCATTTTCAATTGCTTTTTGTTCGTTTACCAGAGGGTAATCTCAAGATATTCCTATGAATTGTCAGGCCAATCAAAGGTCACCTGAACTTCCTGAACTATTGTTGATTCTATCCGACTTTACTTTTTTTTGACGCACTCCTGTTAGTATCAAATTTCAATTGGATATGAGCGCCCTTCAGTCAATGATAGACCTTGTCTTCAGGGAACATCATGATATTCCAACTTGTTGGATCGGCCATTCATTTCTAGATAATCATATTGATGGATATACCCACACTATGTTTACATCTTACTAAACTATACCCTCTGGTAAACTAACATATCTATTGAACATTGCCATTTATAGTGGATTTACCCATTGAAAATGGTGATTTTCCATAGCTACGTTAGTTTACCAGAGGGTACTAATTCACCAAACTAGGGAACAAGACACAACCATTGAGCAAGTCCGCTTGCGAACTATTCTCTACGGGGAAGTCATTGTGCGGGTGTTTGAACTCATTATATATTATATAGTTATATATATATACATTTCCATGGACACAGCAGCTCCCAAAAAGATAGAAAAGTGAATTTCTACTAAAACAGTGGCAACTTACGTTTTTATGTAGACATGTATAGTTGCCCCATGTTGCGCCCAAAGAGATAGAAATGGATTTTACCACTATTGAATAGGATTTTACTCTTCTATCTTGTTTGGGGGATGCTACGTCTATCTACTATACACATACTAGATGGATCCAAGTACCTTCTTATGAAGTCTTTGGGGAAGCCTTTGGATCTATAATATATATATATATATATATACATATAATTAAATATTTAAATATATATATATATATATAAATAATAATAAGCCCAAAAGAGATAGAACAGTGATTTATCCAGCTACAATAAATCGGGATAATCCAGCTACAGCAATGGGGATTGGGATAATACATTTTATATATATATATATGCATATCTAAATGATCATGGGGCTACAATAACCATCCCCGGGAAGAGGTTTGATAATTGTTAATATTGGGTCAATATTGGTTACTAAAACAGCGATAGTTTACTTTTCTATGTATGTAAAGGTTTGTATATACACACACTAATATATAAGGTGGTTCATAAACCATAGAAACTAGTTTGATATACCTACCAGACATCCTAATTATTGTAGTTCTTTGCACCAACTTCGCGATTTAGCTCACTGTGGCACCAAGTTAGCGATTCCACAATATCACCGTCACTAGACCTACACGAATTGTCATCCCGTGGTGCACGAACAACTCGCACCTTTGCAGTGTTGACTTGCCTCGTCAGAAGCTGGATTATGGAGGGGATATCACCAGCAAAACTGGTGATTTCATACGTTTTCTTCAAAGACATAAGGGGATTTCACCAATAACAATAGAAAATTTGCCAACCGATTTTTTTGATTTATTTTTTTTGTTTAAATTGAACATGAAGCAACAAAATTGGGAATGAACCAACAAGAATTGCGATAATAATGTGATGTACTGAATACATATATTATATATAATTATATATATGTCTGTAAATATAACATAACTAACTTGGTATTGTGATATGGTGATTTGATCAAACTTAAATCCAACCGACAAAAAGGGTGATCTAGTGGGATTTTACAGGGTATAATGGTGATCTCATGGGATATTTCAAGATATAATTGGAATGTAATAGGATATATGATTAACCTACTTGGTTGTGTCAGTGGGGTTACTTCTACGGAAAAATGATTGTGGTTTTATTACCCTCTGGCTATTTAACGTAGCTATGGAGAATCACCCTGTTCAATAGGTAAATCATCAGAAACACATTTATAAATAGGCCATTTTCCATGGCTATGCTAAATAACCAGAGGGTATATGTTATTGTAGCATGATGACGGGAAAGTGTGGGCTGAGCCTGATTGATCTTCGCTGTTTTTTCCCCCTCCAAAGTGCAGCATAGTGGCATAGTGCAGCTGTGCCTTGGCCTCGTACACGCGACAGTACAACATGGTCTGTGATGTCAGTCAGGTTCTCAGGGAAGGCCACCTTATTGATCCTTGATAGTGATAAATCCTCCGTAAATCCACCGTAAATCCTCCATAAATCCACGATAAGTCCACCATAAATCCTCCATAAATCCTCCATAACAGGTGGATGATCCTGTGCCAGCTCTGCCCACGGGTTCCGCCATGCGATCTGATGCTCCAAGATCTCAATCCGTCGTTGTGCCGTTGTGCCAGCTCTGCGTCGCCAGTTGTGCAACCATGGCGTCGCCTGAGTCAGTTGAGAAGGCGTCCTTGGATCACAAGCGATTCGTCTGCCTCTTGGTCTGCGCTGGTGGGGTGAACTTTCCAGGTGCATCTCGTTTCCAACAAATCAATCCATCCCCATTCTGAAATCACCCCCAGTTGGGATACCCTCTGGTAAACAGAAAACTATGGAAAATCACCATTGATAGTGAAATGTACCATGAAAAATCGTGATTTTCCATAGTTTTTTGTATGTTTACCAGAGGGTAAACCTCATAAGGCCATGTCAATACTGGGAAAGTTCATCTGTTCCATCTCTACTAACGATCAATTCTACACGCAATCATTCAAGCATGGTATCGGTATGCATCGGTCCAGAATCATGGACGCTTCACCAACAAAAAACAAAAGCAAACAGCAACAACAAATGCAATTGACAGGATCATCACAGCAGTTTTGCACTAAGTACTAGTCATCATTTTTCTTTTTAAGGCAGAGTTCTTTGTTTGAACCCCCCAATTAGCAAACGTCAATCTCATTTCCAAGATAATCCTGGAGGTATGTTATCAAAAATCACAACCAGCAATGCCAACTCCAGTCTTGGACCCCGTCGGACTGTTTGGGGCTAGAGTGTTAATATGGTGCAGGGTCTATGAATCCATCCAGGGTCAACATTGGTCGACATGAAAAAAACAGAATGTTGGATCCACAATAGCAAAGCATCCCCAGTTATCTCCGAAATACATCCAGATCATCCAAATACAGGATTTGATAATTTGGGGATTGTTTACTATTCTGAAATTCATGGCCAATCTTGGACACCTCAGATTTTCTCCCTGGTACAGAAGATCGTCCCATTTATAGCATGATTAAACTATTGAATTTCCCATCCAAGGTCACCCTCGTACTACAAGGTGGTGCCCAATGCCTAGTTGGTTGAAATTCAAAGGTTCACTGTTGCGATTCCGTTGAAGTAACTGTGGTTGGGGGTAACATAAACCAACAACCATAGCGAATATAGGGGTACCACCCTATTATCCATGTCTCATTCTAACCCAATAGTAACCTTATAGATCCCTAGAAAGTTGTTGGCTTCAACATAAACTTTATGGTGACTAGCAACTGCTAATAACTCTGCTGATGAACATCTAATATCATAAACTATATGTCAATATATACACAATAAATATGCATATACTATAGTAGAAATCAACTTAAGCTAGAATTCCGAGAAACTGCCATAAATATACTCCATATTTTTTTATATCACCTAGAAATTCCTCTTTTGTTCTTGCTTCGAATTCCTCCGTTTTTGTTGCATTCCCCAAACCAAGCTTTGAAAAACACGGCCTCTTCGACGCGCCGTGCTCCTCCACGAACAAAGGAGCTGCAGGCAGATCCTGCGCAGTCGGAAATGGCGATTTAACCAACAAAAAATGGGGATTTCATGGGATCTAATTATAGCTGATTTATGATTGCCAAGTTGGTTAACCAACTAGAGTAACTCTGGAATTTATGATAGATGTGTAGATATATATATATAATGTATATATGATAGACATATATATATAATTACATATATATATATATGTCTTTATATATACATCGTTCCAGTCAAACTAGTTACTGTAATGGGGGTTGTAAACCAACAAACATTTCACAGGGGGAGCACCACATTGTACCATGAAAGTTACCATCCACGGGAGCTACCTACTGACCTACTGGCTAGTATCCACTACACAAGCGCAGGGGGGAGACCATGACCATTGATGGGGGGAAACGCATTGCAAGGCCAATCTTAGATACCCCCCGAGAAAAAAAAACATTTGCAGCAAGATATTAAAGAACAAAGTACACGTCCGAGGTTTGTCTGGACATAACATGACATAACTCCAATGCCAGTGGTGTATCATCATTTTCCCTCTTGAAATGCTATACATGGGATTTATAAATCCCATGTTCAGACGCTCTCATTCTATTTTTTCTATCCCGATTCTTGGAAAAACACAACAGTTTTCCCACCACTCTTCCACATACTTGGTGGCTCATCCCTGTTAGCAAGTATAGGTTATAACCCCAATTATAAGTGGGATAAGTAGGCTTAATCCACCGACATAACTAGGGTGAACTAACCCACTTACGATTCGTGGGTAGTTCGCCACCAAGTAGATCAGAAATCCACTAATTATTCATCACTACAAAACTAGGTTTTCACTAGGTTTTCCATGGTTTCCCACCACTCTTCCACATTAATCAACCCTTGGTATCTCCCTCACATATCAACAGGAAAATCTCCACAACGGTCCTGCATCTTGACCAAGCGCGCCGCTGGTTGATGGCGACTGGCGCAAGCGAAGCGGCAAGCGGGCGCAAGCTCCACCCGGAGAACCCGGACAGCAACCAGCAGTAATGGTTGATAATGGTGAGTTCAAATAGTTATATAATGGTTATTAGTAATGGTTAACAATGGTTAATAATGGTTAATATTGAGGTAATCATGGGATAATAATGGTTGATTATGGTGAGTTATGGTTGATAATGGTTGATAAAACCCATAGGATCCATGTATGCTGCTATATATGGTGACATGGTAACATGGATCCCATCAATATACCCCAAATGTTAGTATATATATATATACCAGCACCATGGATCCTATGGGTAATGGGATAACAATGGTTAATAATGGTTCATAATGGTTAATAATGGTTGATAATGGTTCACAATAATCAATGGCCATTTCACGAACCTAAATTGGAGGTACCTACCATATGTAATCCATATGTGATTTTGTCTGAAAGTGCTGGGCAAAAAAGTACAAAATCAACTGGTCACCCTCTGGTTATTTAACATAGCCATCCTATAGATGGCCCATAGAAATAGATGGTTTACCTAGTAATAGCATGGTGATTTTCCATGGCTATGTTAAATAACCAGAGGGTACCGATTAAACACACAAAACATCATTTTTTTCACAGGAGAAAAAAAAGCGATTCTACCAGGAAAAAAGGATAACAAGCCATCAATCAATGTGGATTTCATCAGCAATCGGTATTTAACCCACGAAAAAAACAAGTTTGACTTACAACCAGGTGATCAAGTAGGCGGTCAATCCAACTCAGGATGGGACTGGTGAGGGAATGGCTTACCCGTTGAAAAACTCAGATATGTCGGTATCAAATGCCATACCCGGCCTGGTAAACGTTAACAGAAAACTATGGAAAGATCTACCATTTTTGAATGGGAAATCACATTTTTTTAAAGGAAAATCACCATTGTTTAATGGGAAAATCAACTATTTCGACTGGGCCATTTTCAAAAGCAAACTGTTAGCTTACCAGGCGGTATCGTGGTCCATGTTCAACCCCGTCTGGTTCAATGTGTTATTCCATACCAGGCTTCTCGTCATGAAGCCGAAGCTTCCCGTCTGGTTAACATCATAGCAAAATCATAGCTATGGGAAATGGTCCATTGTGTGATTGATCTATCAACCGGTGTTTTTTCTTATGTGATGGATCAGTACATATTGAATATGTTTCCAAAGGTGGATCCATGTATATATATATATTTACTATATTATATTATATTATATTATATTAAACTATATTATATTAAATCATATTATATTATATGATAATAAATTAAATTATATTATATTAAATTATATTATATTATACTATATAATATTAAATTATATTGTATTATACTATATTATATTAAATTATATTATGTTATATGATATTTTCTTATATATATATACTATACTATATTTTATTAAATTATATTATAGTAAATGATATTTTATTATATATATATTATACTATATATATATATTATATTTATGTGAGTCATTATCCGAATCAAACATCCGATGACCACCCTGAAACTTAGACCAGAGCCCCAAAAAGAGGTTCCTAGCGAAGATCAAGCCACAGCTAATCTTGGGTACCTGTATATATATATATCTCTTTCCAACTTCAATAAACAAATCCCAAGCACTCCAGTTAGCTGTATATCCGGAACCAAGACTGGTTCCAGGAACCAAGCTTGGAACCGGCCCTGAGTAGGATAAACTGGTTTGAACAATTTCATGAGGAAAAACCCTAGCGAAGTGGTCAAGCAAGGATCAAGGTAGAGCACAGTGCAAGCTATTTTTGAGTCATGGGTTGCGTTCTCAAATTTGAAAAGGTTTGTCTTGGGAATATATATCTATATATATATATGTATATATAAATATTTGAGGAAGGACAGCTAGACATAATTCACATTGGTGTATCATGCAATGAAGGTCTTGGTAACTCCAGGTGTGCAAAAAATCTCAGCTATTCATTGAAATGAAACGAAATTTAATGGTTGCTAGGTTCGCCAGTTTTCGCACTATGAAAAATGCATTTGCCTCAAATATCTTCTGCAGCAGTTGGAACATGTTCCAAACCACTTAGCTTCCCCTATGGGCGCCTCTTGGGTTGCAACTGCTTTACCAAGCCAGCTGCGGTGGGTGGGAAGTAGTCCTGGGCGAGGACGTCAATGGAGAGCAACCGGTGCTAAGTGGGCTATACCAACTATTGCTGATATATTTAAATACGTATATATATATATATATACACATATAATAACTGTTACTAAATAATAAATCGTTGCATTATTTGCAAACTTTTTGTAACAGCTATTACTAATAGATCATTTATACAAATACTAATCTTACTTACTAGTACTCATATGTTTCAAAAGGGTTGGCAGCAACTAGATGATGGGCATATTGCAAACCAGCAAACTCAATACTGGTTGGTGGTTTCAACACCTCTGAAAAATATGAGTCAGTTGGGATGATTATTCCCAATATATGGGAAAATAAAAAATGTTCCAAACCACCAACCAGAATACATCCTGTGTACCGAATAACTGTGGATATAAGATTTCTGTAGACAAGGATGTCATGGTTCAACCTAGTTCAGCTTCAGCACGTGCTCCCCATATGCTCCACGGATGGTCGGTTGACGGACTACATGATTGGACCATGATAAGGGAAAATGTTGGTGAATATTCCAGCGCCATGGATCGTGTGGCGTGTATTTTTGCAACTTCAAAAAATCCATGTACCGACTCCGGGTGGTTATTCATGATTACTTGGTGGCTCATCCCACTTAGTAAGTGGGTTATAACCCCAGTTATAAATGGGATAAGTAGGGTTCATCCACTGAAATCACTGGGGTGAACTAACCCACTTACGATTCGTGGGATGAACCACCAAGTGGGAAATCCTCTATATCCATGGGCTATGGCAATTTCAATAGGAAAAAACCGTCTGCGCTTGGATCATCTAACGACGAGTCGTGGACGAGTCTCAAGCGTTTTTTCGTCCGTCGCTTAAAGTTGGATCTTGTGCGCCCCATGACAGGAATTATTGGAGCCACAAGAGAACTTGGCTCTCTGTTTTCTATTCTCAACATCTTTTGAAGCCAAAGTAACAACAAACTCGAAGCATAACCAATCGATTAACCCATTTCAGCAACAAGCATAGGAAGCGGTGCTGCTTAGCGATGGCTCGTATCAATTGAAAGGCCAGGTTGATGCGTCACATGACTTGTCAATCATAGCTTATATGGCTTTGTACAGTGTTACACACACAGATTGCCAATCTTAGATACCCTGCACAAAAAAATGCTGGTTAGTAGATATTCCCATTAATACCAAAAGACTAGTTAGGATTAATACGTATCCATGTAAGATTGACCTAGCATAATGGCCAATTTGTGTGGTTCCCCACCCCCAAGGGGTCCTGAAAAGTGACATCCACTGACAATTAGTCCACTTGATTGGCATTGATTGATGTGCATCCCAGGGACGCTAAGTGCGTAATAGACATATGTTTTACGCCACTGAAGTGTCCCAAGTCGTTTTTTTGGAGGTTTCCTGAGTCATGGGGGTACCCCTAGTTATCATCCATGTTTAAAGGATGTTGCATTACAAACCATCTAATTGGGGGTACCCCCCAAACCATGGAACCCCCCATATTTCACCACTTACCATGTCTGGGATACACCAAGTAGCATCCCCATATTCATATTCTGACCCAGTTAATATGGAGGTTTATGGAGGTTTCCCTAAAATCGGGGGATCCCCAGTCGTCACCATTGGTTTCAATGCTAAGTCTGCTAAGAAAAATGGTCCTGACGACTGGATGCAAGGAGGTACCCCATGACTAACGGACACCTCCGCTAAGGGATATCAACGGCTGACCCAAGGTGCTGCGGAGTCTTGCACCGGAAGCAGATCCTTGAAACCTTGGCGATGGGGCCATTTTCAAGAAGCTGAACCTATAGGAGACCCAGGTCCACAGGTTGGCCAAAAACATGTGTGTTTTTTTGTGGCAATGACTCAATACAAGGTGGCACCCCAGTTTGTTAGCGAAGGTAGAACTAGGCCAACTGTTGGGTTGAAGGTGGTTATATTGTACTAACCAACTAGTTCAATGGCGTTATACACCAAGCTGTAACTACAGGACACCACCTTGAAAGTGACAATCTTCAACAGGAAGAAAATTAGGCAACGAACTGAAGAAACAAAGTTATTAAAGTTGTAGGTTTGCAGGAATGGATATCAATCTGTTGGATTCTGTTGGTATAATCAATGGCCATTTCAGGATCCTAGATTGGAGGTATCTACCATAAGGCCTATGTAAGGCCTATGTAAGGGGATATACCTCCAGAATATGGCCTTATATGGTACTAACGTACCTCCATTTTTTTAAATTTTAGGATCCTGAAATTCTCATTGATATAACGGATTCTTTTTTAGTAAGCCATGAATGTTCAACCACATATCGAGTTCTCCTCCAAATCCAGCAGGATGGCAATGTCAACCCTGGATGGATAACCCTCCTACTAGGCTGTTTAATCACGGGTACCCATCAAGTATCATATCACTATTTGAAGGCTACGGCTACCTCATGATTAGTAAACCATGGTTTATGAATTCGGGGTTGACTACCATTACATCAGTATAGTATGGTCTACGTAATCAGCATCAACATCAATGGATTGGTTTAAGCGAAAATTTACAGGAAAACCCCAGATTTCATGGGAACATCTATGGATTCCTGTAGATTTTCCCTTAAGCCAATCCATTGACATATGGTTTCCTATGGTTTTCCCATGGTTTTCCTATGGATAGAGCCAACAAACCTCAGGATATGACAAACCAACAAACCTCAGCATCCGAGTTGCGGCTCAGCACGTCCTCCACCTTAGCGCCCGTTTCGATGGCATTAGATGGGTCTCTGACAAACACAACAACTTGTAGCCTCTGGTAAACGTTTACATAGCTACTAGTATGGAAAATCACCATGTTTCATGGGAAAATCCACTATAAATGGCCATTTTCAATAGTTATGTTAGTTTACCAGAGGGTAGCTGGTTCGGTTGATCTATTCCTATGACACTTTCTGATGAAAAAAATATCAATCCAAGATTGTCCCAGTTACAGTAAATGTAGACTGAGACCAAAACAATGTAACTGTACGAAACATATATCTGGACAAAGATGACATATCTTTACCGTAGTCTTAATTCCAGGGCCCATTCTAGAATCCCATATAGATTGGCATACAGGTAAACAATAATCTTACGGGTAAACTGAGATGGGATAGAACATGGAGTCTGAAAAGGCTTAAGACCTAAGATTTGATAGTGAATGGATTGATTTGAAGGGAGACCCGTATACCATGGCTTGAACCATCGAATTTAGTGAATATAATTGTGAATATAGGGTTTCTCATCATCCAATTCTGGCACTCAATGTAGTATCATGGCCCGACTATGAAATACAACCCAATAAGTGACCCCAAGGTATACCTGGGTTGTAAGACGGTTACTACCCACTTATTAACATACTAGCATATCGGTTTTTGTTCAACTGTATGGATCTATGGCTCATCTACAATCATCGGGATGTGTTATATAAACAACTGGAGTACCCTCTGGTAAACGTTTACATAACTATGGAAAATAACAATGCTATTAATGGGAAACCTCACGATTTCAATGGCCATGTTCAATAGCAAATTGTTGACATCACCAGAGGGTAATATCCCATATCATCCCATGAATTTCACCATTGTTAACCATAGAAAATCACCATTTTCCTAGTGGTTAAAATCACCATTTTCCTATGGTTTTCCATGTTAACCTATTCTCAATAAACAACCTCATCTATAATCATAGGGATGATATAAAACCTATTCTCAATAAACAGCCATCTATAATCATAGGGATGTGTTATATAAACAAGTGGATTAAATAGCAAACTGTTAAATTACCAGAGGGTAACAACCATAAGTTGGGATATAAGCCCTAAAACTTTGGCTATAACTCCAAATATATCCAGTTGTATCTGGGATGTGTTAACCTATTCTCAATAAACAACTGGATTAAACAATGCACATCCACGTAGCATCTGGCAGATCTACCTGTGTCGCCCGGGCCCATTGCAAGTAGATCAGCATGGTGTCGACGCGAAGCTCATCGGAAGGCCTGCGGTCATTTGAGCCCGGTTTGGTAACCCATAAGGTTACTATGAAAATATAGTGAAGAATTGGGATATATATATATATACACCATAATATATCATTATATATATATATTTCATATGGTAGATAGTGAAATAATGGTGTGTATATATATATATCATTACAATATAGTGAAATATGGTAGATATATGATATATCATTGTTATATATATATATATATCTATCATATATGCTTATTATGGTATATGCACCAAAATATGGGGTCCTCAAGCCACAATGGGTTTACCAAAATGATCTAACGTCTTGGATCATTTAGGGATACGTACCCCCCATTTTAGGGAACCACCATAAAACTGGAGATGGTATGGATGGGGCTTTTTATTTTTATCTGGCTATATTTGGTTATTGTCCCCTTATGATTCCTTGGATGCACTCTCAAGCGGCTGAAATGACCAAAAGCATGCCCAAATATATGAAGATATATAAGGGATGACCCTTTGCTTTGCAGTGAATCAATCAAAATGGAGGTGGAGTAGCATGTCATGGGATGCATAATCAACAATATGATAGGGTATACTTGGGGTGCGGTTTCGCTTCATGAGTTAGTTTATGGCTGTGATTACCGAGGTTAGCTGTACATATGACGTGGTCTGCCCAGGATAGGCTGTGCAAAGAGACGCCACGAGCTTCCTTCAGTGATCTATCCCGCTGTCCCGGCTACAGAGAAAAGTAATGAACATGTCAGAAAATAAATAGAAAGTAATAGGGTAAACCCCATGGATAACCTAGCTGGATTCCATGGCAATAGAAATAACCCATTATTATGGTTATTATCAGAAAATTAATAATAAATTGGCAAATAGAAACATCAGGGAAAGAATAGAAAGAACATGAAAGAAGAAGCTGCACCAATGCATCCAGCAAAGAAACGCCCACTAGATGGAGCGGTTCTCGTGGCTCTCGGACATGTTCAGGATGTGCTGCAGGTTGAAATGCACCTGACCCCTCTGTCCACAGAGGGTCCAAGATTTCGAGGCGAACTTGCGCGCCATGGAATCAGCATCCGACTGTCTTCGCCCGTTCTTTTCGAGGTACCGGCGCCTGCTGTCATGGTGCTGCTATATGTGGTAACAGGTAACATTTACCATCAATATACCCCAAATGTTAGCATATATACCATACATGGATCCTATGGGATTAGACCCCAAGAACATCATTATGGTTCAACTCTTCCATCATCATGCTGCCAGTAGCCGCCATCACGGCCATACGGGTCTATGTGCTGCCATCATCTTCAGGTACAGCTTCATCAGCATAGCTTGGTGCTAGGTCTTCATATGGCATGTTGGGCTCCTCCTTTGCAGCCATTCAGTGAATTGGTAGGTTCAACCATGTAGTGGCTTGTATCAAATATAGAGCGAGTATGACCGAACAAATGCAAACCCAGGAAAGCCAACCATTTCAGCTTGATGGTGATCAACAGTACCTCAATAAGGCCTTTGTTTGGGGGTACCTTGTGTGCGACACCCAACTTGGTTTTCTATGGGTCACCCTTGTCCAAGTCTGTCCAAATGTGTCACCCAGCATGCAATCTGAAACCAGGCAGCTTGCTAAACTGCTTCTGAGAAGCGATATATAGAAAGACTCACTAGAAAACGGGGGTTCTACTCACAGATTTGGACATGAGACAACCAATGAAACTTGTGTTTTAGGGTTACATGGGGTTGTACTCATGATCCCTGGCATTTCCCATTTTTGTTGGGAGAAACAAATCTCAAGTGTTATGTTGCTTTGAGGGTGGGATCACCCCGTCAGCTTCTTATCCACGGGAATGCACCTCCGTTCATCAACCATTGAAAATCACCAGCCAATTCTGTAAACCGAAGCCATGATTCTCATGTGCCATGCAACCTTTTGATATCATGTGCTATCCACATGTGTCACTGGCCTCAAACCATACTAACCCACCGCAGCGTCAATGAGAGATGCCTCCATGAGTTGAGTTCTCCATGACATGCCTATATTTGATCCAGAAAAATCCTTGTCGAAATTGAGTGAAAGTCTCAACTGAAATTGAGATTGAAATTCATCAATCAATCGGCGGATAGAATCCATCAATCAAAAAAAATGCTGCTCAAGCCAACCATTCCAACCATTCGCAACTTTCGATTTCCGCGTTGACACAGAACGACTCCCACAGAAATCGATGCGCCATGGCACTTCTGGGGAAACTCACGGTTTTCATCTTTGGAAGCCTGACCTGAGCCACATGAAACTCATCTCTGGTGGTTGCTGATTCCAAAATGGATCATAATGGTATATGTATGATACATTATATATATGTGTGTGTCTGCATATGCAAATATGTATATATATATATATTATATATATGTAATTCTATAGAATATATGTATATAGTATATATGTATAATACACACATATATATATATTATATATATACATAGGTATATGTGTAACAATGGGGTATCAGTTTTCAATCATTCATAATGTGCATCAACTGTTTCTGTTGTAGCTATTTGGGTGTGCATCCCACTTAGTAAATGGGTAGTCACAATGTCATAACATGTAAAGATTAGCGGGCTAGCCGTTATACACAGGGTGTAAATAACATTAAATAACATGATCTGTTAACATGATCTGACAAGGATTGATACGGCATGTGCCTTCCCTGGAGGCTTATCGTTTTGAAATCTTTCAAAGGTACCCCCAGCTGCGAGGTAGAATTCAGTGACACAATTCGAATCCCCATGTCAAATCCGTGTCAAATCCGCAGTTTTGCCACAATTCAATGGAGTATCCCCAAAAATTCAATGGTCGGTCTGTTTTGCCTCATTTTCAACACTGATATAGCATGGAAATTGAGGAAACATCCCCAAATTTGAGACAACACCATAATATTATGGTTGGCCAATCCTGCAAGGTGGTGCGCCTTAGTTAATTTTGTTGGTTTATAAATCTACAACCTCATCTAACCACAGTTATACTCACCATAAACACAACAATTAAAGGACCGGATAACCCCACATGTTACCAACTTCTTTAGACTTAGACTGACCATAGAAAAGCAAGAAGGGAAGAGGAAGTATAAGAGTGATGGAGAGGTGATGGTGGGTGAGTTTGTTTGTATGTATGTATGTTCATGTACAGTGAGTGAGTGAGAGTGTGAGTGAGTGATGTGAGTGTGGTGTGTGTGAGTGAGGGATGTGAGAGTGAGTGAAGTGAGTGAAGTGAGTGAAGTGAGTGAAGTGAAGTGAAGTGAAGTGAAGCGAAGCGAAGCGAAGCGAAGCGAAGCGAAGTGAAGTGAAGTGAAGTGAAGTGAAGGGTGAAGCGAGTGAGTGCGAAGGTGAAGGGAAGGGAAGGGAAGGGAAGGGAAGGGAAGTGAAGTGAAGTGAAGTGAGTGGGTGAGTGAGTGAGTGAGTGCGGTAGGTGAGGTAGGTGAGGTAGGTGGTGAGGTAGGTGAGGTAGGTGAGGTAGGTGAGGTAGGTGAGGTAGGTGAGGTAGGTGAGGTAGGTGAGGTAGGTGAGGTAGGTGAGGTAGGTGAGGTAGGTGAGGTAGGTGAGGTAGGTGAGGTAGGTGAGTGAGTGAGTGAGTGAGTGAGTGTGAGTGAGTGAGCGAGTGAGTGTGAGTGAGTGAGTGAGTGGATGAGTGAGAGTGAGGGGACGGGAGGCGGCGGCGGCAGGCGGATACAGAACTAAAAACAAAAACCCCACACGTCAATGTGGGGAATAATTGTGGTAGTAGTAGTAGTTGTAGTAGTAGTAGTAGTTGTTGTTGTTGTAGATGCTGTTGTAGTAGTTGTAGTAGTTGTAGTAGTTGTAGTAGTTGTAGTACTTGTAGTACTTGTAGTACTTGTAGTACTTGTAGTAGTTGTAGTAGTTGTAGTAGTTGTAGTAGTTGTAGTAGTTGCAGTAGTTGTAGTAGTTGTAGTGTAATTAGTGTAATTAGTGTAATTAGTGTAATTAGTGTAATTAGTGTAATTAGTGTAATTAGTGTAGCGAAATTAGATGTAATTAGATGTAATTAGATGCAATTAGTGTAGAGTAGTGTAATTAGTGTTGTGTAATGTAGCGTGCTATATTTGTAGTAGTAGTAGTAGTAGAAGTCGTCGTCTATCTATCTATCTATCGATCGATCTATCTATCTATCCATCTATCTGTCAAACTTGCCAGGCCGACGTGAACATGCAACCTGCAGGTCAAAAATGCCAGCTAAAACATGGCAGGGAGACGAATGGCGTAAGCCATGTATATCAAACATGCCAAGCCGACGCCAAAAAAGGCCACCTGAAGACCACAAAAGGCCACCTGAAGGCCAAAAATGCCAGCAAAAACATGACAGGGAGACGTAAGCTACCTATCGAACAATCTATTTATCTATCTATCTATCTATCTATCTATCTATGCATCCATCCATGCATCCATCCATGCATCCATCCATGCATCCATCCATCTATGTCTCTATCTCTCCATCCATCCATCTATCTATGTCTCTCTCCCTATCTCTCTCTCTCTCTCTCTCCCCCTATCTCTCTATCTATCTATCGATCGATCTATCTATCTATCCATCTATCTGTCAAACTTGCCAGGCCGACGTGAACATGCAACCTGCAGGTCAAAAATGCCAGCTAAAACATGGCAGGGAGACGAATGGCGTAAGCCATGTATATCAAACATGCCAAGCCGACGCCAAAAAAGGCCACCTGAAGGCCACAAAAGGCCACCTGAAGGCCAAAAATGCCAGCAAAAACATGACAGGGAGACGTAAGCTACCTATCGAACAATCTATCTATCTATCTACCTATCTATCTATCTATCTATGCATCCATCCATGCATCCATCCATGCATCCATCCATCTATGTCTCTATCTCTCCATCCATCCATCTATCTATGTCTCTCTCCCTATCTCTCTCTCTCTCTCTCTCTCTCCCTCTCTCTCTATCTCTCTATCTATCTATCGATCTATCGATCTATCGATCTATCGATCTATCTATCTATCTATCTGTCAAACTTGCCAGGCCGACGTGAACATGCAACCTGCAGGTCACAAATGCCAGCTAAAACATGGCAGGGAGACGAATGGCGTAAGCCATCTATATCAAACATGCCAAGCCGACGCCAAAAAAGGCCACCTGAAGACCACAAAAGGCCACCTGAAGGCCAAAAATGCCAGCAAAAACATGACAGGGAGACGTAAGCTACCTATCGAACAATCAATCCATCTATCTATTTCTCTCTCTCTATCTCTCTATCTATCTATCTATCTATCAGACCTGTCTATCTATCTATCTGTCTATCTGTCCTTACATCAGGATATCTATCTATCATCTATCTATTATCCATCGATACATCTCTCTGGCTATCTATCCATCTATCTATCGATCTATCTAGCAATCTATCTGTTCTGTTCAATCTATCCATCAACAATCCATCCATCCTGCATGAGTGAGTGAGTGAGTAAGTGAGTGAGTGAGTGAGTGAGTGAGTGAGTGAGTGAGTAAGTACATGTTCCACGCCTGCCAAAGCGTATATCTGACCCCTTGGCAGTGCACATTGTCCCACACCTGCCACGCAAAAGCGGCGGAGGCCCATGCCTGCCACGCAAAAGACGCGGAGCCCGAGGGACGCCAGGGCGTACATCCGACCCCTTGGCTGTGCACATTGTCCCACGCCTGCCACGCAAAAGACGCGGAGCCCGAGGGACGCCAGGGCGTACATCCGACCCCTTGGCAGCTCACATTGTGCCACGCCTGCCACGCAAAAGAGGCGGAGCCCAAGGGACGCCAGGGCGTGCATCCGACCCCTTGGCAGTGCACATTGTCCCACGCCTGCCACGCAAAAGACGCGGAGCCCGAGGGACGCCAGGGCGTACATCCGACCCCTTGGCAGTGCACATTGTCCCACGCCTGCCACGCAAAAGAGGCGGAGCCCAAGGGACGCCAGGGCGTACATCCGACCCCTTGGCAGTGCACATTGTCCCACGCCTGCCACGCAAAAGACGCGGAGCCCGAGGACGCCAGGGCGTACATCCGACCCCTTGGCAGTGCACATTGTCCCACGCCTGCCACGCAAAAGAGCGGAGCACCGAGGGACGCCAGGGCGTACATCCGACCCCTTGGCAGTGCACATTGTCCCACGCCTGCACATCCGAAAACATGTCCCACGCCTGCCCGCAAAAGACGCCGAGGGACGCCAGGGCGTACATCCGACCCCTTGGCAGCTCACATTGTCCCACGCCTGCCACGCAAAAGACGCGGAGCCCGAGGGACGCCAGGGCGTACATCCGACCCCTTGGCAGTGCACATTGTCCCACGCCTGCCACGCAAAAGACGCGGAGCCCGAGGGACGCCAGGGCGTACATCCGACCCCTTGGCTGTGCACATTGTCCCACGCCTGCCACGCAAAAGACGCGGAGCCCGAGGGACGCCAGGGCGTACATCCGACCCCTTGGCTGCTCACATTGTCCCACGCCTGCCACGCAAAAGACGCGGAGCCCGAGGGACGCCAGGGCGTACATCCGACCCCTTGGCAGTGCACATTGTCCCACGCCTGCCACGCAAAAGACGCGGAGCCCAAGGGACGCCAGGGCGTACATCCGACCCCTTGGCTGTCACATTGTCCCACGCCTGCCCACGCAAAAGACGCGGAGCCCGAGGGACGCCAGGGCGTACATCCGACCCCTTGGCAGTGCACATTGTCCCACGCCTGCCACGCAAAAAGACGCGGAGCCCGAGGGACGCCAGGGCGTACATCCGACCCCGTGGCAGTGCACATTGTCCCACGCCTGCCACGCAAAAGACGCGGAGCCCGAGGGACGCCAGGGCGTACATCCGACCCCTTGGCAGTGCACATTGTCCCACGCCTGCCACGCAAAAGAGACGGAGCCCGAGGGACGCCAGGGCGTACATCCGACCCCTTGGCAGTGCACATTGTCCCACGCCTGCCACGCAAAAGACGCGGAGCCCGAGGGACGCCAGGGCGTACATCCGACCCCTTGGCAGCGCACATTGTCCCACGCCTGCCACGCAAAAGACGCGGAGCCCGAGGGACGCCAGGGCGTACATCCGACCCCTTGGCAGTGCACATTGTCCCACGCCTGCCACGCAAAATGCACATGAGTGAGTGAGTGTGTGAGTGTGTGAGTGAGTGAGTGAGTGAGTGAGTGAGTGAGAGTGAGTGAGTGAGTGAGTGAGTGAGTGAGTGTGTGAGTGAGTGTGTGAGTGAGTGAGTGAGAGTGAGTGAGTGTGAGTGAGTGTGTGTGAGTGAGTGAGTGTGAGTGTGAGTGTGTGAGTGTGAGTGAGTGAGTGTGAGTGAGTGAGTGAGTGTGAGTGAGTGAGTGTGAGTGTGTGGTGAGTGAGTGAGTGTGTGAGTGAGTGTGAGTGAGTGAGTGTGAGTGAGTGAGTGAGTGTGAGTGAGTGAGTGTGAGTGTGTGGTGAGTGAGTGAGTGTGTGAGTGAGTGTGTGAGTCAGTGAGAGTGAGTGAGTGTGAGTGAGTGAGTGTGTGTGAGTGAGTGTGTGTGTGAGTGTGTGAGTGTGTGAGTGAGTGAGTGAGTGAGGGAGTGAGTGAGTGTGAGTGAGTGAGTGAGTGTGAGTGAGTGAGTGAGTGTGAGTGAGTGAGTGGATGAGTGAGAGTGAGGGGACGGGAGGCGGCGGCGGCAGGCGGATACAGAACTAAAAACAAAAACCCCACACGTCAATGTGGGGAATTAACCTATTGACGTGCACACTTCCAAACTGGGGCACCATGGGTTGCATATCCCATTATGTTTCCACCAATCCCATTAAACTACCATTTCTGTATGTAATCCCAACTTGGCGAACGAACTGGGGAACCTTGGTCATCATCACCAAATTGGTGGACACATTGTCCCCTTTGAGGCCATTCCTGTGATGGACCATTTCTTTGGGGGAGAGTCTTCTGCCATTGAGGTCCTGCCATAACTGGCGATGAAAGAGGACCTTGTTGGGATCAGGGCATGGCAACCTGAGGAAAAAATAACCATCAGGATGCTTATGGTGTGGAACCACAGCCGACGAAGGTTCCACAGTTCCATCTTCCTTCCTCTCCTCTGTCTCATATTCAGGATAGTAATCAGACACCAACCCATTTCCTAGCTCATGGCGTCCCACATGCACCCACCAGCCAACAGCAGCACCAATCTCCCAGTTGGTCATGACCACAGGCTCTTCTGCCATTGCTGCACACAGACAAAGGAGGGGGTGGTAATCACAAGGAGAGCTTAAGAGCGAAAAAGCTGCAGCCTGTGTAAAGTACCATCTTGTAAACTGACATAGCTATCGAAAATTACCTATTTTAATAGGTAAATCCACCAGAAATCGGCCATGTTCAATAGCAACCTCTTATATAAATTTCCGGGTAACCACTATAGCCCATGATATTCCCATTATATCACATTTTTTCTCTATTCCCATTATATCACAATATATAATCATAATCATCCCCCAGTCACCATAAATATATCTGGTATGTTTACCCCAAATGGCTGGTTCATGGCATTGTTTTACCGACATTAATGGGATTGTATAGAGATTTTTGATGGTTGACCCCATGTTCAATGGTATTTTCACACCAGTCCTCCCCCAGGCACGTAAGCGTTGTGACTCCAAGTCCAAATGTTTGGCCACCTGCAGGGTTTCACGGCGCCGGAAGTCTGCAAGTGGTGCCCAGAAGTCATTTTCATGGTGAGTCAAATGGGAGTGAAGTGATTTTATGAGAGTTTATCATAGTTTATCGTGATTTAATGATGATTTAATGGTGATTTAATGGGATTGAACAGGATGTAATGGGAATACAATTGGATACACAACCTACTTGGGCAGGCCAGGGGTTTGTAGATGGGAATTATATTACATAACAACCATAAGTTGGGATATAGGCCCTAAAATTATGGTTATGTCTCCAGATATCTCCAGTTGTATCTGGAACTGGCACCCCAAAGTATAGTTCAAAGCCCCGGTGCCCGTTTGTTCACACCCAACAGTTGGATACAGTTGGTAAATGGATGTTCATACCCAAAAGAAGGTCAAAAAAAAGTGTTCACCCATCCCCACTTACAATGTGAGGCCCCATAGATAGCTAAGTTACCCTCTGGTAAACGTACAAAAAAAAGGAAAATCAACATGCTATTAATGGGAAAATCCACTATTTCTATGGCCATGTTGAACCGCTTTTTGTATGTTTACCAGAGGGTAGGCAACATGCCTAGCTTGAAGATGGTTTCTGGTGATGCCACAAGTTGGATGCAGGGAGAGGGGACACATCCTAACGAAGTTATCAACAACTAGGCTGACTAGGAGTTTATGACGGATATCATGTGTATGTATATATATATATGTATGTATATATATATATATATGTATGTGTATATATATATATGCAGCATGCATGATATGCAGTTCGATTGGTGAACTTCAGAAAAATGAAACCAACATATATATATATATATATATACATAATTAAATAATGTATGTCTACATAATTATATATAATGTATGTATATAATATATATATACACATATATTATGTAATGACTATAATAGTAAGGACCCATTCTGATACTAGTGGTGTACATCAGCTATGTGATATCAGTACAATTATATCATATGTGAACTTCAAATTTCTAGTTCGAGTGAGGATGAAGAACACGTTACAAACTGGGGCCCACATGGCGCTGTACTTTTTAGAAATCAGTAAGCATGAAAAAAACAATACAATATCCCACAATATCCCACAATATCCCACAATATCCCATAATATCCCACAATATCCCACAATATCCCATAATATCCCACAATATCACACAATATCCCACAATATCCCACAATATCCCACAATATCACACAATAACTAAGTACATTCACATCCATTCACCCCATGGTGATTTTCCCACGACCAAAGAACGCCACGCCTGCGCCACCAGTGGAAGGACCTGGTGCAGCACACCACGATGTTCCTCGCAGGCCTGGCGTCATCAAGCCCTCAGGATCATCCAGGATGCTGCGATAAATTCAATCAGAAAAGTTCCCTTCTTGGTGGCGAACTACCCACGAATCGTAAGTGGTTTATAGTCCCAGTGATTTACATGGGATAAGTAGGGTTAATCCACGTCTAACTGGGGTTATAACCCACTTACTAAGTGGGATGAACCACCAAGTTGGACCTACCTACGGCATGCCGATACTCCCAAGAAACAGAGAGCGACCTTTGAAATCCCGCGGGGGTTCGTCTCCTTTTATGGGATACTCATCCATGAGTTTGGACCATGTTTTGCATCCCTATGCAAATTCATCGTCAGTCGAGCGTCAGACCGGTTACGGCGTATATGTTTAAACAATCGGATTTTAAACAAATCAATAGGTATATTTTGCATACCTCTCGAAATTTTGCTCAGGGCCGCCTTGTCAGTTTATGTCAGTTTACATTAACAGTCGGAGAACATTCGGAAGTCTGCTTTAAGATCACCATGTGTCCTTCCTTTTTTGCTGGAACGTCCCCTTCAAACACCAGTGTTGACAGTAAAAATATCATTCCAAGTTGTCTATTCTCAACTCAAAAAATCTTTGCGAGCTGTTCTATCTACTTTTTTGGGTTTTACAAAAAACTATCGGAAATCACCATGCTATGAATGGGAAAACCCACTATTTCTATGGCCAGGTTCAATAGGTTTTTGTATGTTTACCATGTTGGGTAGATTTAATTAATGGGATTCAACTAATGGGATTCATATGTGTATTGAATGGAATCATTATATAACGGGAAAACCAAACCACCAACCAGTTTTTTTCTGGTTACCCTCTGGTAAACATACAAAAAAAATGATGGGAAAATCACCATGCTATGAATGGGAAAACTCACTATTTTTATGGCCATGTTCAATAGCTAGCTGTTAAAATTACCAGAGGGTAATATCCCATATCATCCCATTATTCACCATTGTTAACCATAGAAAATCACCATTATCCTAGCGGTTAAATCACCATTTTCCTATAGTTTACCAGCATTTTCCTATGGAAATCCACCATTTTTCACCATTTTCCTATGGTTTTCCTATGGTTTTCCTATGTTACTTTACCATGTCGGGTACCATCCCCATGAGAAAATCCCATCCCCGGAGTTGGCCTCGCGGTCGTCTTCGGTGGCCAGTTGGATCGACTCAGAGGCCGCGATGGCGGAGCGTTTTCACTGCCAGAATCTGTAGATGGATTGATTTAGGGAAAAGTTACAGGAAAAGCCCATATTTACTGGGAAAATCTATGGTTTCCTGTAGATTTTCCCAACAAAACCTGTAGATTTTCCCAACAAAACCAATCCATGGATAGATGGATTGACTTTGATATGATACAATGTGAGGCCCACGTTCGATAGCGTTCAGTTGGTGAACATAACTCCAATAACTATGGTTTATGGTATTTATAACTATAGTTACTGGGGCTTATAAACCAACAAACATCACTGGGGGGCCTCACATTTTACCAAAAAACAGGAAATGGTGGTTTAATGGTGGTTGAATGGTGGTTTAATGGTGGTTTAATAGGATCTAATGGGAATTTTCATGGCACCTGGTTGGTGGTTTTAGCCAACTTGAAACATATGAAAATTAGTCAGTCGGGAAGGATGCCATCCCAGATATTTAATGGAAAATAAAAAAATCCAAGCCACCAACCAGTAATGGTATGGTACATAACATGGTATAGTTAATGGTGCATGTACCAGTAAAATCCAGTAAAACAATGGCCATTTCAGGAACCGATTGGTTTTATATGTGCCATTACCCATGACGGATCCATGGTGCTGAATTTTTTGGTGCTCCATGGATCCCATCAATATACACCATTTATGTTAGCATTTTTCTATCAGCACCAGCCGGATCCGTCATGGGTTATGTACCTTCATTTTTGGGTCCTGAAATGTCCAGGACCCAACAAATCCAATCCAAACCTGGTCTGGGATGATCGATCATTTGCCCCTTCTGGCTGGAAAATGCGCCTAGAAAAATCCTATAGGTTGGGGCAATCCCTATTTCAAAAATGGATTGGTTTAAGGGAAAATTTACAGGAAAACAGGAAAACCCCATATTTAATGGGAACATCTATGGTTTCCTGTAGATGTTCCCTTAAACCAATCCATTGACCTTTTGTAAGGGGATAGGATATTCATATTTTTTCACTTCCACCCAAAGTCTTGGATTCTTACTTTCCTGGAACAAAAAACGCCACTTTTTCCAGGTTTTTCCATCAATTGGATCATCTCGAGCAGTTCGGTTCTGCCAAGCTGCCCGGAGCTTCTGCTGCATGTCGCCCAACGCATATTTCCGACTCTTTTCGGCACTCTCCTGGTGGATCGACAGCCCACGGCATGACGATTCTTATTGCGATTGATGTGCCGCAACTGAAATGATGTAAACATATCATATGAAATCCCGAGAAAAGCAATAAGCGTAGCTTATATCTAACATATCATATGAATCATATGTTATAATATGCTTATACTTATGGTATCTTATGGTATAATCAATATTGCCCATGAAGGTGTTTCCTTTCCTATGAACCAAGTCCTGCACCCGATGAAATGGCACCTCTTTTCGCTTCAGGGACCATTCGCCCTCTTGTCGCGCTCGTTTCTGACCTGGCTGGATCAAATCCTCAAAATGAATGGGGATTCCTGATCTTTTCGATTGTGTCCAACCAAAATCATTGAAATCCCAGCGAGAGTACACATTTATACATAGTATATCATTCATTTACTCTCTTCCCGATATGAAAACCACCCAATCTAGGGCTCATCGGATCATGACGTTCTTGAAGAAGCGGCAGAAGTGCTCCTCATCGCCACAGCATGCCACAGCTTCACTTGCGTCGATGCCATGGTGCCGCAGCTTCAGGCTGCCCAGTTCGCTGCAGGGCTTGGCAGGGCCATGGACAATTTTCCGGGCAGATCCGGGCAAATGTCTCTCACTGGTCGGTGATCTATTTATTTTGGGTGTCATAAAGGTGGTTTTGGTGTCTTACGGGCATGGCATTACCGTTCAAGAAATAGTTATAATGTTATTTAATTATATATGTAATCATATCATACAATTCAATATAGTTATCACAATGTGCAGCCAATACCTACAGTAGCAGTCCACATCAGTCTAGCAGGATCCCAGCACTGCAAGGAAGGATGAACCTCCCCGAAAGATATCAATGGGGATAATCGTTCCATATTCCAAATAAGGTTGCAACAATTGAACACACCACAACTTTGACATCAATTAATTTGATCAAACATTGCACAAAACATCTTTGACATAAGGAAACAGCAAGGTATGTCAATGCCTTGGCATTCCGCAGTTCAAGAACATTCAAGAAGCATTGAACCAGTGGTGGTTCCAGCTACATGGACTTGAGGCCCAGGAAACCGTGTTATTTGGGGATATTTGGGGTCCATCTGGGGGTTGACATGTATTGTTCAATGCTGTTTTTTGCTCGTGCTGCTATTGTTTTTCAAACTTTTGTTCCTAGTTCTCTTCATCTGTATATGTCGGTGACATTCCCAAATTTGAGAACAATTTGAAAATCACTCTGGGTTTTCCAGCACAGATCCTTCAACACGCTTGAAATCATGAAAAACACAAATGCTATCCAATAAATTACCAGTTTGACCCTGAAAATGGACTATGTTTAGTGAAACGCAACCTTACAATCCCCTTTTTGCCAGGGTCGAACTTTGGTTCATTTTCGGGGGATGGTACTCCCCAACCGCCACAACAGCCTTCTAAGGCTTCAATCTCGCGGTTCATGTGATTCACATACCTCTCAATCAGTCGCACCAAGACGCACCATGGAAATGGCACGAATCCATATCCCACAATCCATTCCCACAGGATCCATGTATGATATATATGCTAACATTTGGGGTATATTGATGGGATCCATGTTACCATATATAGCGCACCATGGATCCTATGGGATTGGCATCGCATATTTTTGTAATGGGAATTAGTGGGATGTGAATTTTGAAGCCATTAATATTTAGCTCATTTGATTTGATATGGGTATACTTCGGGGCGCAGTTCCAATTACAGGAAGTTGCGTCCTTTTTTTCGCTGTAAATACAGGGGTTATGGGGGTGATCACCATGAGGCTATACCAATTATATCTATTGATAACCCCAACTGCACCCCCAAGTATCGTAATTCAAAAGGGCAATGGAAACAATCCATTGATGTTTGTTGCAATAAACATGTGTAAACATGGATAAACAATGACTGGTTGGTGGTTGACCTACCCCTCTGACAAATATGAAAGTCAGTTAGGAGTATTTTTCCCAATATATGGACAAAAAAATGTTCCAAACCACCAACCAGATAAACGATGATAAACATGGGTCACATACCCTGCACAGCAGATGGGTAAGCCATCCAATCGGAGTGATACGTTCATCATAAACACAATACTTAGCCTAGCCGGTTGAGCCACCTGATGATACAGCAAACCACCACGAACCACACACCTGATCTATTTGTGGTATGATGTGATCCGTGATATGCAAACTCGATGCCCACATTGAAAAAACATTATATACCAAAACAGCAAGAAAAAAACATACATCCGTAAAAAGTGCTTTCTACATGCTGCAAACAAATGCATGTTTCGGATACATCCCCAAACTGGTCGTTGCAAGCCATCCAACACTTCTGTGTCCACTGGTGCGGCAAAAAATATTTGGAACTACCTTTGCAGCCCGCAACAAAACATCTTATACATATCGCTTAGCTTCTCTATCCCATGGAAAAGACCATTTTTTAGCTCAGTCAATGTGATATATATATATAAATAAATATCCCATTTATGCCAACCTCGCACAAGATTGAACAGTAACAATGTATTACTTACATAAATCGATTTTACTGTTACTAAAAAAACATTTCGGGTTTGCGAAAAACAATAAAAAACGCTATACAGCAAAACGTTCACCTACCAGAAGCTACACTCAAATCTCTTAATGTGGGTAAAATCATAAACCATGCCCCAGTCATCACCATTTTTATAGGTGGTATAAATCACTCCCACATGGTTGGTTTATGGCATGGTTCTACCCACATCATAACCATTCAACAAGCAAAAAAAACATCAATTAATCATCACTTAACCATATTATTAACCATTCCCCTGGGTTATGTAATGTAAAATCACCATTGATAACCATTACCCTCTGGTAAACTAACATAACTATAGAAAATCACCATTTTGAATAGGTAAATCAACATGGTTCTTCGCACGGCGTGTCAAACCATATGATCACAAGCAACATTACAGCAACAAATTATCACACTGTCATCATTGCCTACGATGCAGCTGAACAAAGTCACACAGCTGTGACAGTCATCAAAACCACTTCATTCACATCACACGTCGTCCCCACACGCAGCGAGCCGCTGAAACGCAGCCAGCCGTCTCGGCCGACGACCGTCAGAAGACCGTCACGCTGAAAGACTCTCAGCCCTTCAGCACTGAGCTCCACTTGGAACATGACGCCAGCAGGCCTGTTATGTAACAACATTGATACCAAAACAAAACGCCACACAGCAACAGCCATCTCAATAGGATAACTTCGTCTCATGCTGACGCACGATCCGTGCCTCAGTCCATCGGGCCACCATTCATACCGCTCTTCCGCTGCCTGCCGGCTGGGTCGAAGCGAAAAATGTTCCCCGGCGGCTGGCTGTAGGTGCCGCCCAAGCTGTGCCCCGGGCAACATCGCCTCCGCCTCCGGAAGGAGCACCACCAACGACGTCGTGTTCGGCGGCACATACATGGCGGCCATGCTTGCAAGTGTTTCAGCAGTCGTTTGCTTGTTTGTCTCTTCCCAATGTGCGGCTGCGAGCCCGACGCCACTGAAGCTCCAACATTCGACATCAACTGTAACAAATGAAATCTATGCAGCAACTGTAACAAAGATGAAATCAGGAATCGCAAGGAATGAAACACTCCACCATCTGCGCACCTGCTACGCAACCAGATATAGCTTCTTGATATTAAAGGACCGGATAACCCCACATGTCAACTTCTTCCAACAAGCAGCAAAAGAAAGGTAAAGATGGCATGGGGAAAGAAGGAAAGAGAAAAGAGATGGTGAAGGATTGGTGTGGAGCAATTTGTGTGTGGAAGAGTAAGTGTGAATACGTTGTGTGGTGATAAGTTGTGTGTGAGGTGTGTGTGTGTGACACATCTGTACAGATGTAAAACTTCTATTAATATACATCTATAAGCGGGGGGTCACCGGGGTCCCGGGGGGGTCGGTGACCAATGAAGACACCTCCCCGGGACCCGTGTAACCGTACCCGCAGGACTTCGGTGGTGCACCTGGGCGCAATTATAAGACGCAGCTGGTGGCCACCGTAGTCCTATATATATATATTTATATTCATCCTTAATTAGGTAACTAAACTAATCTAATTGCATGTTACAGGACTCAGTTCCTGCCGGATCATATAATGATCCATTCTTGTCTAGTGTGATTCCTATGGTGACTCCGACATGGTGCCATAGGGCCAATTGAGGCAACCCTGTTTAGGGTGAATGTCGACTGACTTGAATTCCGAATTCACACATTTTAATTTGGTAATTCGTTTAAGTAAAGTGCAACAGTGGCCTTACGTTTGCACCTTTTCAGATGTCCCGCTGCTCCCGCGGTCCAGGGATCCCGTCAATGCCGTTCTACCAAGTGAAGCCATACCGAACATTCAGAAACCTCTTTTTTCATTCAGAAACTATGTTTTTACTGCAGCTGACAGGATTCATGACACGCACAAATGAAGGCAACAGGCATGTCCTTTTCCTGCAGGTGTGGTCTCTTTGGTATTTGGTGAGGTGCACCTAATTCGCTGGAACTTGAAAGCCGTTTTATGCCAATTGGGGCAAGACTTGACCACGGTCCCGGTGCAGGGAATAATCGCACGACATTTAGGAATTTTAGGAACTGAATCCTGTTTTAATTTTTTGTGGTTTCATCAACTAATCCCCATTGGTCCCCTATCTCATGCGTTCTTCCCTCCCCAGGTAGGTTGGCTCCGTCGCGTGCTGAGGTGTTTGTAGGTTTTCGCTGTGTCAGGTTGGTTCAGGCGCTTTCGTCCTTCCCCCCCCTCCGCTGGTCTTGTTCCGTGTCCGTCGACCCTCCGCTTTTCTTTTCCCTTGCCTTTCCAGGGTTTGCCCGCTCCGGGCCAGGTGTGTCGTGTTGGTGTTCTCTCCTTCTTCTTTTGCGTTCCCTCTTCGCGTCCTGGTTAAGTAAGTTTTCATCTCATCTTCAAGGTCACCTCATCTTCACTTCCCCCTCATCTTCATCTTCACCTCATCTTCCGTCGCACTACCCTGCCAAAGGCAGGGTGTGTGTGTGTGACACATCTGTACAGATGTAAAACTTCTATTAATATACATCTGTAAGCGGGGGGTCACCGGGGTCCCGGGGGGGTCGGTGACCAATGAAGACACCTCCCCGGGACCCGTGTAAACGTACCCGCAGGACTTCGGTGGTGCACCTGGGCGCAATTATAAGACGCAGCTGGTGGCCACCGTAGTCCTATATATATATATATATATTTATATTCATCCTTAATTAGGTAACTAAACTAATCTAATTGCATGTTACAGGACTCAGTTCCTGCCGGATCATATAATGATCCATTCTTGTCTAGTGTGTGTGTCACCAAGTGCCACGCAAGGTGAAGATACATGTCGCCAAGTGCCACGCCTGCCACGCAAAGTGACAGCCGATGTCACCAAGTGCCACGCCTGCCACGCAAAGAGCCGCGGCGTCCACGGCGTCATTTGGGAACCCGGTGTGCCACCAGAGCCGGCCCAGTGCCGTAAGTGCCACGCCTGCCACGCAAAGTGAAGATAGATATCGCCACGTGCCACGCCAAAACGCCGCGGCGCCACGGCGTCACACCTAAAACCAAGCGCGCCACCAGAGCCAGCCCAATGCCATGTTGTCTGATGACAAGTTGTGTGTGGACAAGTTGTGTGTGAGCAAGTTGTGTGTGTGGGCATGCCATGTTGTCTGATGACAAGTTGTGTGTGGACAAGTTGTATGTGAGCAAGTTGTGTGTGGACAAGTTGTGTGATGAGAAGTGGTGTGTGGACAAGTTGTGTGGGGACAAGTTGTCTGATGACAAGTTCTGTGTGGACAAGTTGTGTGAGGACAAGTTGTGTGTGAGCAAGTTGTGTGTGGACAAGTTGTGTGATGAGAAGTGGTGTGTGGACAAGTTGTGTGGGGACAAGTTGTCTGATGACAAGTTCTGTGTGGACAAGTTGTGTGAGGACAAGTTGTGTGTGGACAAGTTGCGCGTGAGGACGGGAGGCGGGAGGCGGCGGGATACAGAACCAAAAACAAGAACCCCACACAAAGATGTGCCATATTATTAAACAGTCCCCTGGGTTATGTAATGTAAAATCACCATTGATAACCATTACCCTCTGGTAATTAAACTAACATAACTATAGAAAATCACCATTTTGAATAGGTAAATCAACTAGAAATGAGGTATTTTCAATAGCTTTGTTAAATTATCAGAGGGTAATACCCCATATCATCCCATGAAATTCACCATTGTTAACCATAGAAAATCACAATTTTCCTATGGTTTTCCTATGTTCACCAGGGGCAACAGCCAGGACTGTGGGTGACGTCAGCAGAGAGTAGTTCCGGCTTTCCAAATGAACGAAGATCTTGACGATCTCCTGACGGATGATCGATCTGATGATCGTGGTGCCATAGTTCGCTCACGTTGGTGAGCTAACGTTAGTTAGCTAATATTGAGGTAATCATGGGATAACAATGGTTAATAATGGTTAATAATGGTGAGTTATGGTTGACAATGGTTGATAATACCCATAGGATCCATGTATGCTGCTATATATGGTAACATGGATCCCATCAATATACCCCAAATGTTATCATATATACCAGCACCATGGATCCTATGGGTATTGGGATAACAATGGTTAATACCGGTTCATAATGGTTAATAATGGTTGATAATGGTTCACAATAATCAATTGCCGTTTCAGGAACCGATTGATTGGAGGTACCTACCATATAATTATATATATAATGCCTAAACTTCAGGCCTTAATTTCAGGGAAGATCCCCCAAAATATGGCCGTATATGGTACAGTGCCGCTATTTTGGGATCCTGAAATTGCCATTGATATGTTTATAACTACAATTGTTCTAGGATTTATGAACTTTATGGTAGATATATATATATATATCTCTCTCTCGTTAATATTGATGGGGCTTATAAACTCATAACTGGTGGGGTACCACCTTTCGTCAAGATCCAAGACCAACTTCAAGGTTCTTGGATGCTGATACTGGGGATCATGAAGATATACAATTCATTTTGGTGGGTTGAACAAACAATTTCATGTACTTTGAGCAATTTTCATGTGACATTCATTCATCAATGGCGAATTCATGGAAAGCTCACGGGGTTTTAAGACTTTGAAGGACAAAAAAAAGGTTGATGTTTTGACCATACAACCACAAACAAGACGTAAATTACAAACATAGTGAAACCGCCATGTTTGTTGGTGAAAGCAGAAGTTTGTCAAGCCCAAACGTTCACTTTTTTCGGTGGTTGAAAGTGGCATTTTCACAGGTGACACCCTCCAGTAACATAGATTTTGAAAAGCCATAAAAAGCGACCATTTGTTCAGTAAATCATTTTCCGTGCTGGACACCAAGGTTTTTCCATATCTATATTGAGTAACCTTACGCGCAAACCCCCAGTTCGCCCACACAACTTCCTAAGGATTTTGAAGGAATATAAATTCCGACCCCCGTTAAACTTTACATTCAATTGGGAAGATCACCAAGGGTATTAGGAATGTAAATTCCCACCCCCGTTAAACTTTACATTCAATTGGGAAGATCAACAGGGGGATTAGGAATATAATTCCCACCCCCGTTAACATTCAATTGGGAAGTTCAACAAGGGTATTAGGAATATAAATTCCCACCCCCGTTGAACTTTACATTCAATTGGGAAGATCAACAAGGGTATTAGGAATAAAAAATCCCACCCCCGTTAAACTTTACATGATGATGATGATGGTGATGATGATGATGATGATGTTGATGTTGATGTTGGTGGTGATGTTGTTGATGTTGTTGTTGTTGTTGTTGTTGTTGTTGTTGTAACATTCAACGCACAGGTAGCTAAGCTGTGCGTTGCAAGATGAAAGCCATGATCATGGACATGTGCATTTTGTCCCGCAAAACAGAGTGTTTTTTGATGTTCGGACATGTCGTCGGCGTCGGCGCCGGCAAACTGAGGGGTTTGCCCGTAACCTTACTTGTGCTTAGTAGGGAATGAGGGAATGATCCACAATAACTATCAATAATCATCCCAGCAACCCCATTCCCATCCATTCCCTACTAAGCACCGGTAAGTACCATATCCCAAAGGATCCATGTATGGTATATATGCTAACATTTGGGGTATATTGATGGTAAATGTTACCATATATAGCATACATGGATCCTATGGGTATCTATATTGAGTAACTGTAGCTTTATCATTTTTTTTTGTCAAAACCCACTCTGCAGCTGCAAAAGCCCTTGGGTCGCATCGACACCCGAAACGGAATTTCACGGAACCGCTCCGCGATATCTGAAATGCCCGTGGACTGCTTGATGGTGGCAAAGGCCTGCAGAAAAACGAGACATGGAATTCCAATTGAACGATGACTGAGTTGTGATTTAACTATTCCCATATGCTCCATGTATGGTGTATTTACCTACATGCGGGTGATTTTTAGAGCAAATGCTGGTAAATATTTCATACATGGAGCATATGGGATTAGTAACTACAGGTATCAAATCGTTCAGCGTGGTCATAATGATTTCATCGTTGAAAGAAGATGGAACCACAGGAATCTAACCAGTAATGCTTGGATAGTAAGTGGGGTAGAATGGGATGTGCAACTACCCTCTGGTTATTTAACCTAGCCACGGAAAATAACCATTTTCAATAGGTAAACCATCTATAAATTGGCAATTTTCCATGGCTATGTTAAATAACCAGAGGGTAACTTATTCTCAACTCTTCCGGACCTTCTGGGGAAGTATTTGGATCCATATGGATCGCCATAGTGTTTTTTTCCCTGAGTAGGCAGCAACAACCTTATGACCCACTGAGATTCATGGAATATTCCCTTTTTCATTATAGATTATATGGCAGCATAGTTTATAAATACTCTGCATCTTTCTAAGCAACTGGTTTGCATGTACACAACATACATTTCCAACTAATGGCAAACAAAGATCAGTTCGTATAGTACTCAGCCAAGGTTGAACGGTTGGACCATGCAAAACTTAAAACGCTGGCTCATGAAACCAAACAAATGAAACAACAATCAGGGATGGGCATCTAGATTATTAAAAATAATCACGTGTCAGTAAACATAAATTCCAGAAACCTCTCACTGGTTCATGATGTTTTATGTATGCGCAAAAAAACATTGCTGGGCTCTCCAAAGCGGAATCAGGAAACCATGCGCTTGGGCGCCCATGCCATTTTTGTGTGACAATGCTAATTTTACCTGATCCATTAGCCGGCTGTGATTTCTGTGATGAAGGTGATCATCAACCAAAAAAAACGTTCTTGAACCGACTGGCTTCGCAATGTCTCCAGCTATGCTTGACAGATACCTTTGAGGCTGATTTGCTGGCTTACATTTTTGTTTGCCAAGGAAAAAAACATGTGTCAACCAGTCCCATAGGATCCATGTATGGCATATGCTAACATTTGGGGTATATATATATATATTGATGGTAAATGTTACCATATATAGCATACAGTAGCTAAAATGACCATAGACATAGTGGATTTACCAATTGAAAAATGGTGATTTTCCAAAGTTTTTTGTAAACGTTTACCAGAGGGTAATGTGTCAAACATTGGGTGCCTAAAACATGGCATGAATAAATCTCGCTTCCAATGAGCGCCAAAACGCCTAACCAACACCACGGCGGGTCATGTGATTCCCAGGCCCCCCTTCCAACATGACGTGTACGACGATCAGGGATACAACTGATGCTTCTTTTGGCTACCCTCTGGTAAACATTTACAGTAGTCAGTGGGAAGGATGACATCCCATATATGAAATGGAAAAAAAATGTGTGAAACCACCAACCAGAAATTATGGAAAAAACATACCCTCTGGTAAACATTTACAAAAAACTATAGAAAATCACCATGCTATTAATGGGTAAACGAACTAAACGGCCGTTTTCAATAGTTAAATTAAATTACCAGAGGGTAACCTCCCATTTCATGGGTTCCAGATAAATCACATTAATTATTCAAGACACCAAATGTCTGGCTTGGGAACACGTCTCCCTTTCTGCCCCATGGCCTGTTCAAAGATTTCAATGCTTTTTTGATGTTGCCTTGGTACAGGCCGGGTTTGGTGAAAGTTATTCCGCTTAAATTTTGACATTTGAAGTCGATCACCCTTCCATGGTCCTTTAAAGTCAGGGTGACTGGAGTCACTGGAAATGGAGCCGGAACCCACTGAACCCACTAGTGGTATCATAACCCATGACGGATCCGGCTGGTGCTGGTAGAAAAATGCTAACAAATTTTGGGTATATTGATGGGATCCATGGAGCACCATATATTGCAGCACCATGGATCCGTCATGGGTTTTATGGTGCTTTTCACAAGTGAAAATGTTCCGAGCCACATACGACAAATCCCCAGGCGGCAAAACTTGACACGGACCGGAAGCCAAAGAAATATTAGCCTCTGGTAAATTAACATAGACCCTGGCAGATAGGGGTTGGAAGACTAGTTTCCATTAAAAATTGGTGATTTTCAGGGTCTATGTTTATTTACCAGAGGGTAGAAGAACCTGGAAACTCAACCTCCAAACCTTTGTTTTTGCAATTCCATTTGAAATTCAGGAGGATAAGCCCGGATAAACCCATTCTAATTGATGATATATCCAGTTTGGATTCATGATGCGAACAGCTTGCAAACTCAATTCACCATGTGGTTCATGATTGATGTAAGGTACCCCATTGCTTTATCATTTTGTTTCACCATGTCTTGTTCTTAAAACTTCAGGAACATTCAGGAACTATCCCTTTTGGAGCGTCCCCACACCATCAACACCTCCATCCCAGGCACTTGATGTGTCTTCGCTGGATGCAATTCCTTGGCTGCAAGCTTCAGGCTTTGAGGCCCATGATGCTTCCTGATCTTAGATGGGGAACATCACCAAGTCATTGTTGGAAAAAACACTGTGCCCGTTTTGGTGTGAAATATGAATGAACATCGGAAAACAAAAAACACATTGAAGTTGGGTGCCTCCAGCCAAGCAGCAAGAAGGCGGTTTTCATAATGCGTCTCATCATGCTGGCCTGCAAGATATGAGAGCAGTATTTAAACATGGCAATGGGAAGTTAGCTTTCAAAATGGAAGCTTTGAAAGGAAAAACATGGTAGAAACGATGACTTTTTCCAGCGCCACATTTGATTACCGAAGGGTAACAAGCCATATCACTGAGATTTCATCGTTGAAATTCTTCAATTCCAGGGGTTTCCTCCGATAATTTGTTACATAGCTAAAGAAATAAAACACTTGTAGTTGATTTACCTACTCAAACTAGTGATTTTTTAGTTATGTTAGTTTACCAGAGGGTACAGGTTCATTGATGGGTGGTTTAGCCCCATCCTAAGTTTGAAACCACCCAGGATTCCAGTGACAGTCCAAGTGATTGGGTTGAAATGCATCCGAGTATCTATGGTCATATACCCAAATGCCCCATGGTGCTGGAATATTTACCAACAAATACCCTAAACATCACCCAGTCATGTGGTAAATATACCATACATGGAGATATGGGATAGTTATGTTTCTTACCATTTTAAAGCCCATAAACCTTATCTCCAGGGTGGTCGCCTCTGAGAACTCCTCCTCTTCGGGCGGAAGAATCAGCCTAGGCAACTGCGGAGCACTGACGGCTCAGCGTTACGAGGGACAATTTGTGGGGCAAGAAACGGGTGAACAACATAGTATACATATTTATAGTCATAATGCAATTTATGACATATATATATAATTAATTAAAAAAAAACGTGATTGTGTAATTATCATTAAACCTTAATAACAATGTTAGTATATGTATCATATCCATGAACGAAATTGGGGATCAAAGTCATACAACTTATCTATATTGCAGCAAAGTGCGAAAACACAGTATTAGCCTATTTTCCATTGGGATGCAACTGCAGGTAAGTACTCCGTGGTAACGGCAATAGTGAAGCCAAAATTGACCAGGAATTAACCTTATCGGATTGAATCCCACATGCCTGCCGGCATCACATCTCGGCAGCTTGAGACAAGTCATACCCAAACCTGCCCGATCTGAACGGCCTGCGAAAGTGATTTATGATCACGGTAGCCTTGACCATCGCTCCTTTGAGCTTCGCGCTGACCAGTGCCCGGCTGATATCACCCCAAGCTCTCAGAAGCAGCAAGCCTGAAAACCGAGCTACGTGCAAGGAGTTGGAAACTCCGGATTGGAACTCAGCAAGGAAACATTGAGCCCACGACCAACGTCGTCAGCCTCTTGCTTCACCTGCATGTGAGTGTGCATATCTCATGCTAAAAAACCTTGCCATCCCATCTTGCCACCAGCGGCATGAAGTTCGACCCTGGCTGCGGCTTTGAGGTACCGGTTGAGCATGGTCCCTGGCTGTAGCTCCTTGATCCATTGCCAATCTTAGATACCCTGCAACAAATCAAATTCGTTGCTGGCTAGTAAACATTCCCATTAAGACGAAAAGACTAAAGGATTAAAGTACCCATGTAAGATTGACCTAGGATCAAAAAGATTGCTGCGGCGATGCAAAAAATCATTGGGCCCATGAAAAAGTTTGCAGACTTAGAATTGACCGTCTCTTCGTCTGCTACGATTGTCAGGATGGGTCGTTGGTCCAACGGTGGCAGCTGATCAGGATCAACGTTGTTGCATTGAAACAGGAATTATCACGGAAATCCGGGACTTGGGTAAAACATGTCGAAGATCCATAACCTCAAAAAACCCGATAGTAACTCAAATTTACTTCAAGATTTCCATCTTCATAGGGCGGTTTTTGGATCAACTCAATCTAACATTTTCAGTCAAACTACGATTGAGCCAAACTGAGAATATTTGAGTTTCGTCTGAGTAAATTCATCCAGAAGTATAGGCCTGCCAGATTCTATATTTATTCAGAGCTACAAATACGAATTATAATCCTACTCAAATTGAATTCGACACTTGCCCCAAGAGGTCCTCCCTGTTCCCGACCCTATGAAACTCATAGGAAAACACGATTGACTAGTGACTAGTGGGTGACGATATGTGAAATCAAGGATTTTCATGGATTACTCTCTGGTAAACATACAAAGAGCTATGGAAATTGGCCAATAGAAATATATAGTTGATCTACCTATAATAAATGGCAAGTTTCCATAGCTATGTTAGTTTACTGGTATCTTTTGACAGGTTGGATTGGAGGGTCGCACATCCCATGATTCTAGTGGAAAACCTGCTCCTTTTCTTCATGGCTTGGTTTCAATCGCACATGTCTGGGGAAAGAAGAATTATGGGTAAATGAAGATATTTTAAGAACCTGAAATCCTGAAATAAGATGAAAGAAGGGCATTTTGGGATAGTTACCCCTACTAAGCATCATTTAACGTGACGTGTCGTTCTAGTTCATCCAGAATCTCAATCGTCTAAACAAATAAAGCACTTTAAGGGGCCATAAGACTCACACCATATTCCCAGTACCCTCTGGTAAACTAACATAACTATGGAAAATCTCCATTTCTAATGGATAAATCAACTATAAATGGCAATTTTCCAAAAACTATGTTAAATTACCGGAGGGTAAATTATCCAAACGGGTGTGTCTGAAAATGTGATATCCCCACAAATGGCAATTTTTCATCAGGTTTAATGCTGATCAACGAATAGATTTTTCAGGTTGTTCCCATATTTTCCCCTAAATTTCTAGACAACCCCACATGGTGAATGAACCCATGGACGCATCAAAAGAATCGAACCAACAAATCTAAGAGTTTCATACCGCCGCCTGTATTTGGTTCTCTTGACTTTCTCTTCATTTTCAGCCTACCCCAAAGATATGATTCCAGTGACCGGATTTAAATTCTTACACATTGATATATATGTTCTGTCAGTTTTCAATAGGATATTTTTCTATGGATCCAGTGAAGGTTACGTCATGTAAAACGCCCAGCAACTCATTCTTGCGCTGGACACCTTTCTCCATGCGCTTTAAGCGGACCTCCACTTCCCGTTTTTCCTGAGGCAAGGTGAGTGGGCCAGGGGTTATTTTCATGGATACGAACATGGAAATAACCCTCATAAAGTTGGGATTCTGCAAATATATATATATATATATACAGTGTGTATATATATATATATGTATATACAGTAACAGTATATATACATATACAGTATATACAGTATATATATATATATGCTGTTGGTAAAATTATAGGTTGCTGGTAAAATAATCAATCAATTCCATCTATTAAGTCCCATTTCTTTTTGTTGGTAGCTGGGAAAATCACAAAAACAAAGTACTTTCGCTGGATTTCCTTGCTGCTATAAAATCTTAGTTTCACTCGGCAAAATCGAATACCCTCTGGTAAACGTTTACAGTTTGCGAACTTGAAAATGGCCATAGGAATTTCGTGGATTTACCCATGAAAAGTATGGTGATTTTCCCATCAGTTTTTTGGTTAAGGTTTACCAGGCTGGTAGTAACAAAATCGTAAAACACACATCACACATATGGGGTCTCTCTGAAAATGGGGGAAAATTCATCCCCCCCAAAAAAGGACATCAAAAACCATCTCAAAAACCGGAAAATTAAGTGATTTTTAATGGGGATATCATGGAAATCATATGGGATTTACAGGGATTTACTGGGATTTAATGGAAAACCACTGGAAAAACTGAGGGTTTTCCAAAGATTCGAGCCGAACACCCAATTTTTGTTTACCTCACATGAAATCCCACATTCCCATGATATTTCCAGTAAATCCCTGTAAATCCCATATGATTTCCAGGAGTCCCCATTAAAAACCACTAAATCGCATCAACGCCTCAAATCGAAAAAAACGGCCAGAAAGGGCCAGGGACCGTCTCCAGCTTCCGCAGATCGCGACGGATGCGGAGGACCTCCTCCGTGAACCTTTTTTCAGGGATTTGAAGGGTTCAGATTGATATACAAATCTGGCAATTGGCAATAGTTAGCCAGTGATGACATAGATATACTTATAACCAGTTAACTAGATATTAATAGTTGAAACTATTACCAATTGATTAGTTGATTAAAATAATAGATACAACCAGTTAACCACTATCACTGGTTGGTGTTTTGGAACATTTTGTATTTTTCCATATATTGGGAATAATACTTGGTGGCGAACTACCCACGGCTCGTAAGTGGGTTAGTTCACCCCAGTGATTTACATGGGATAAGTAGGGTTAATCCACTGAAATCACTGGGGTTATAACCCACTTACTAAGTGGGATGAACCACCAAGTATATTGGGAATAATACTCCCAATGGGGCTTTGATCAACAATTTTCTGATAGGTGCTTAATCAACCAATCCCATGACGGATCCATAGTGCTGGTATATATGCTAACATTTGGGGTATATTGATGGTGGATCACTATGATGAACTATTGTATGTATTAATGTATGGGATCCCATGTATTAATGTATAAATGATACACCAATGGATACATGTGAATACAAATAGGAATCATCGGTTCAATGTATGGGATATTTAATATTATTTAACTACAAATATGTGGATGAATCTGGGTAAAAAAATAATATGTCACTATATAACCTAAATCTCTGGGCTATAAAAGGGAATGATTTCCCGAATCCAAAACATGATTTCATGGTCTACCTCCTGGTATACGTTTATATACATAACTGTGGAAACTCACCATGCTATTTATGGGTAAATCAACGAACTTTCTATGGCAATTTTCAATAACTTTTTGTATGTTTACCAGAGGGTAAATACAAATCTGTGGGATTTAATTAATGGGATTCACTTTAACATGATTTGACTATTGATTTTTTTAAACCCAAATCTAGGATCCAATCTATTGCGGGTCTATGAATTTTGATTAGCTATCCATGAACTATTCAGTAGAGATTGAGGATTTCTTTTTTTGGTGGATCCTGCATGGCGGTTCAACTCGTTGAACTCCTGTGGGAGGAGTGACTTCAGGAATGAACCAACAAGAATGGCGAATAGAAATTTCAAAACATGGCATTGCATCAGCAAAAATTGGGGTTTGATCAACAAATTAAATAGGCATTTAATCAACCAATGCTTGGCATGATATGTGTATGGCGTGCCAATGGACCCACACGAAGTCATTCATTGTATGTGTGTGTCGTTTAAAATGCATCATTTTGAGTTACAGCTAACCCAAACGCAGTTTCTCTGTTTTGCCCAAACACATGTGGTTTGTGCTGTCCACCATCAAACCTGACCAAACACCGTTGTTTCACCACCACAAGTGATGTTTCCCAAGCACTTTCCACCACAGAGACTGGGTACTAAACCTCTAGCTTTGTCAGGCAAAACATCTTGAAATGGTGGTGCCTTCCAGTTCTGCGTGCTGGTTTTTAAACTCCATTAACTAGTCCATGCATCTATCATAAACCAATAAACCATACTTAAACTAGTATAAACCAACCTAGCTAAAGAACTGGGACGTCAACATGTAGAAATGCTGGAAACCACATGATTTCAGTATGGATCAAAACATTTTTTTCCATACGTTTAGGGGAGGAACATCCATAAATCCGAGTTATTTTGGTATTCACCAGGGAATTCCGTGAATTCCGTGGCTTTTGACCCATGGCATGCCATCGCTATTGTGGACTCGCTTTTGACCCCCAACAAAAACAGGTAGTATAACCCCCTACATTAACAAAAAAAAACGGGTTTTTACTTGTTCCATGTTTAAACCGACACCTAGGATTAATCTTTAGTTTCTATGCATCGTAAGTATTCCGACATCTCAGATTTTTCCAAACTTGGATTCGGCAATACTATATCCTCATGTATTCACATATTGTTGATCATATTCCATTAACATCATGCAAAATGTTTGGTTAAAAACCCCATTGATATGCCACCAAGTAGAAATGGTGGATTCTAACTTATACCACACTCAGGAATTGTTAATTTTACATAGCTTAAATTGGCTTTTAAAAATGCATCTATACTTAACGCGGGCTACCGGCTACAAAACAATGCACAACACTGGGTGCGGCACCCACCACCTTGTATATCACCTACTTTTGCAGTACAGTACGATAGTTGTGGCGGCCCCATCTCCCAACCTATAGTGGTTAATACAAGTCAATACCATAATTATACCCATCCAAAAAATTCAATTGCACCCAAAAGTACACTCTGGTAATCTAACATAAGCATATCAAGGTAGTTTACAAGTAGGTCAACAATGATTTGATGCTAGATACATAACGATATATATATATATATATAGATACATATAGCTAGATATATATTGTATATAAATATATATATATATATATATTTATATATATCTTGAAGATTTTTGAACTAGCTAGATATGTATTGGTTTATATTTAAAAATTTGGTTTATAATCTGTTATATATTTATATATTTTTTTCAAAAAAACAATATATTATAACTAGCTAGATATTAGAAGGTTTTTTTTTAACCAATATAAACCAACGTTAGCTCAGCTCAGCTACTGCCGTCGCTCATCGTCCCGCTGCCGTTGCATCACCTCCACCCGCTGCTCCGTCTCGCTGTACACGGCCTGGTTTCGAACAAGCCGAGTTCATGGGACAGCTGGGGTGCAGATATCATGGAATGATATGGAATGTCTACAATGTGAGGCCCCCAAGATAGCTAAGTTGGTTTATAACTCCAATAACTATGGTTTATGGTATTTATAACTATAGTTACTGGGGCTTTTGTTAACCAACTTATAACTGGGGGGCCTCACATTGTATGGAATGTCTAGAACTTGGATGATGTCCTTTTTTGAGTTGAAAGTGACATTTCTATTTGGGGATGGGTCAAGTTACCTATTGATCATTACCATATGGAGGTTTCCTGAAATGGGGGCACCACCAAAATCATCCATTATAATAGGATTTTCCATTCTACAATGTGGGGCCCTCCAGTTATGTTTGTTGCTTTATGAGGCCCATGAACTATAGTTATTTGCGTACCATAAATCATACTGAAATGAAGTCAGCCATCTGGCCCCACATCAAAAAAACATCCATTTTGGGATGCATTGATGGAAACCTCCATGTGAGCACTGGTCAAAACCCCTGTTGGTTGATTTTAACCATCATGAACATAGGGGTTTTAGCTGTTTTAACCATCAGAATATGGAGATATACTTGGCATATAGTTGATGAATGATGGTTGGTTGATGATTAGTTGGGGGATTATACTACCCAATATATTGGGGATTACAATAATCCAAGAACGGGGAATCCCGAAAAAAAAACAACCAGGATTACTATACCCTCTGGTAAACTAACATAACTATGGGAAATCAACATCTTTAATGGGTAAATCAACTATAGATGGCAATTTTCAATAGCTTTTTGTATGTTTACCAAAGGGTAAATGGAATGATAGAGGGATTGGGAGTCAACATCCATCCGCCAGGGCCAGGGCCGTTAGGTTCCCGTGCCTTGCTTTGGGCCGCCTCCTCCACGAAGTCTCGCAGCTGGTCGCTGCGCTTCAGAATTTGGAGCTTCAGACGATCGAAGATGGAACCCAGTTGCTTCCTGAGGGACGGGTGAATGTAGTGAATGATATATACATAATCTCTATATGAACATATAAATAAGTAAATAAAGACATAAACAGATACATAAATAAATAAATAAATATATAAATACATAAATACATAAATACATAAAAACCAATAAATACATATATACATCAAAAAACAATAAATACATATCATATATATATATGATATATGGTATCATAAATCTGATTTATATCTAAATCTTTGGTTGCTTCCTCAGGGACAGGTGGTGGAAATCTTAGGCTTCATGAGTAAATGGTATATCTATTTGGAAACTTGTAAACTGGTTATGGAAATAAATTCTGTAAGATAAATACAGGTTAAAACACAATAGGATTTATGAATTATAATTTATACATCTTCATGAATAGATAGGAAACTATATGCAGGGAACTATTCATGATATATATATATATATAATTGTATACATAATGCCAAGTGAGGATTAATAGTGCCCCCCGATTAATCAACAGCAACTGCCCCCCAAAAAATGTAATTTAAAAACAGGTGGTCCCCCATGAATAATATTTTTTTTGGCCTACCCCCGATTAATCAACCACCAATTCTGAAATCTATTTTTTTATCCAGCAATTTTTATTTCCAATTCCTTTTATTTCCAATTCTTTTTTACTTTTTTTTCATCATCATTGTTATACTTCAGGTTTAAGTTGATCATTGAGAATTTCAAAAAACAACTATTCCCCAAATGATCGGTTTCTACTTAAAATCTTTATGAAAATCATCAGTTTGGATAGCTCCCCAAGGGTACCCCCCATGAGCCCATGTCCCCCATTAATAATAACCACGGTTTGCCTCTGATTAATCAACCCCCTTTCTGATCCATGAGATTTTAACAAATCCAATGGAATTCTATTAAGATCTAATTGGCGTAAGCCATACCCAAAGTTTTAGGGTTCAGAATTTTATGGTTCAGGGTGCGTTTATTTAGGGGTTGTCAAGAAAACTAGCCAGAAGGTACCTACCTACCTACCTGGTGGGGGGGGGGTTATTAATCCGGTGTTGGCATTATACATATTAGCACGTACATTTTCCAATCTGGGTGGAACATAAAAGTAAATAGATGGAACTATCTTAGTGATGGACTTATGCATGGAACATTATGCAACCAGAGTTCCCAACTTCGCCCGGAAGGACCGACGGAACGAACAATAATTGGTGTATTGACCATCAGAATTGAAACTTCGATATCTTTATGAAATTGTAAAATTGACATTAAACAAAATATGCAATCGAAACTTGGACGTTGGAATTGGGTATTTTAGTTGCTTCTGGAGAGAAACTTGTCGGTGGAGGTTAGGGTTTACAGTGCATATATCTCTACTTGGTGGCTCATCCCACTTAGTAAGTGGGTTATAACCCCAGTGATTTACATGGGATAAGTAGGGTTAATCCACAGAAATCACTGGGGTGAACTAACCCACTTACGATTCGTGGGATGAACCACCAAGTATATCTTTAATTGGTGGTAATTGATTTGGAGGACTTAACCAATTTGGAGGACTTGGAAGATACCTTCTGGCAATTTAACAAACAATTATGGATTTTTAATGAGGTATTTAGTTCGGTGAATTACCTATGAAACATTGTGATTTTCAATAGCTATCTTAAATTGCCAGAAGGTATAGATTGGGAAAAGGTTGGGAAATGTCCATGGGACATTTTTTGAAAGAAATGGATATATAGATATAGATAGATAGATAGATAAGATAGATAGATAGATAGATAGATAGATAGATAGATAGATAGATAGATAGATAGATAGATAGATAGATAGATAGATAGATAGATAGATAGATAGATAGATAGATAGATAGATTAGATAGATAGATACGACATAGCTAGATAGGTAGATAGATAGATAGAAGATTGGTTTTTTGATGATTGGTAGATCAGGTAGATAGGTAGATAGATAGAGAAATGGTAGGTAGATTAGAAGATATAGATTAGATAGATAGACTAGATAGATAGATAGAAGATAGATAGATAGAATAGATAGATAGTAGATAGATAGATAGATAGATAGATAGTAGAGAGGATTAGATGATCGATAGATTTTTTTAGATGATAGATAGATAGATAGATAGATAGAAGATAGATAGATAGATAAGATAGATTAGCTAGAGAGATAGAAGATCGATAGATTAGTTATAGAAGTAGGTAGATGATAGGAGATAGATAGATATGATAGATATGATAGATATGATAGATATGATAGATATGATAGATATGATAGATATGATAGATAGGATAGATAGATAGATAGATAGATAGATAGATAGATAGATAGATAGATAGATAGATAGATAGATAGATAGATAGGTAGATAGATAGATAGATAGATAGGTAGGCAGATAGATAGATAGATAGATAGATATACTCAATATACACACATGTATATATATATATCATCTATTAGCTACTGTGCAAATATACCAATATATTATAATATATTTACAATCTATATGCACATATAATAAACAATGATTAACAGCTGGTTTGGGGCCTGGTGGTTTGTTATTTTGTGGGGTACCCAAACCAACCTGGCTGGTTGACCTTGGGGGAATCAATGGGTGAGACATCCGTTTGTTTTGCGGATGAGCTGCATTGAGACGAGCACACAACAAAACAAGACGCATATGTTTAATGTCCATGTAACTATGTATATATATATATATTGTTTATGAATGCCATCTATACTTACAATGTATGTCCCAAATCATATACATGTCATTTGTCTTATCTTACATGGCCAATATTCGATACTCTTCAAACAAAAAATGCTTCAGCTGCCTAGCATATAGTATACTCTTATTAGAAAGAACAAAAAACTACTCAACCACGGTTTACCGACTTTTGATAAATCCCCATATGTCCTTGTTTTATACCCATACCCTCTGGTAAACTAACATAGCTATAGACAATCACAATTTTTAATGGGTAAACAATCTATAAATGGGCCATTTTCCATAGCAAACTGTTTGTTTACCAGAGGTCAAAAAATCCCATATCATCCCATTGTTCACCACTTTTTTCACCCATTCTTCAACAATCACCATTTATAGTGGTTAAATCACCATTTTCCTATGGTTTTCCTATCGTTTGCCAGCATTTTCCTATGGAAATCCACCATTTTTCACAATTTTCCTATGGTTTTCCTATGGTTTAACCACCATTTTGTCCCATAGTTTTCCTATGCGGCAGTCATCAACCATCCGTGTGGATCAAGCATCTTATACTTCCGGATCTGTTGCACGTCCTCACACGTTTTCGCGTGGCAAAGGAAAAACTTGGCAGCTGATGCAACCAAAAATGGTGAAATTCATACAGGATGGGGCCCCCTTCAGATAGCGTTCAGTTGGTTTATAAGTGGCTGAAAAAACAATGGTTTATGGTAGATATAACGAACTAGTTCATGGGGATTATTTCATGGTTTATAGACCAACAAACATAACTAGGGGACCCCATCCTGTACCATGAAAAAGGAATATCACCATGCCGAACATGCCGATATCCTCATTAAAACTCATGAGGATTCCAACATGAAGAGGACATTTTATATGGACCTTTTGAGACCCATAGGTATCGATATCGTCAACGTGTATGGGTATGTACGGTATAACATCACAGCAAGGGCGATGTCACCATTAAACAATTATGGCGAATGAATTGATATAAGAAATATTTCATCCGAAAATAGGGTATATAGTTCATCCAAAAATAGGGTATACCCGATATACCCCAAAATCCCATGGTTGAGATGATTTTCCTAGACTTGCCACTTGCATTGGAGGTACTTTTTATTTGCAAACACAAACCCAAAAAATCGAATTCCAGCCCATGATGGTTGCTGGTTGGTGGTCGACCTACCCCTCTGAAAAAAACTGAAAAATATGAAAGTCAAATGGGATGATGAAATTCCCAATAAAGCCATGTTCCAAACCATCAACCAGGTTGCTGATTTTCCACTGATCAAAAACCCTGTTGAAACCACAGATTTTCATGCTGAAATCCGCAAGTTTGATGGCTTTCCCCTCGATGTTACGGGTCTGACCGAACAGATGTTTCTACACAAAAAAACACATGGCAGCTATAATCCTAGTTGGAAACTATAAGCTTTCTTTGTACAGGTTCCTGGTTGTTTTTTCATCTTGAAGTGGAAGCTATCTTGTGACATGGTGTAAAATGACCTTATCTCCCGCACAACAACAGCATTGGATATGGCATGATGTAGCCATATGTAGCCCATTGGAGTTCCGGAGTCCTGCTTCAAACAGTCATTTTCATGCTTCACCTCAAGTCTTGGCTGTATGGTGACCGTGCTGGTGCTACAACTCTTTAGATATCATGAGTCCCGTGTCACTGATGTCACTGACTAGAGAATGATTTCATCCAATTGAAGTCCTGAGATGCATCAAACTTTGCCAGTAGCCGAGTTTACAGGTGAGATTGTGTACTGGATAGAGGGATAGCATCTTGTAGCAAAAGGTGCATTGAATTACATAAACACATTATATACAATATACATATGTTGATACTGTTCCCACTAGAAGCGATTGTAGTCCCGTCGTCTTTGATTTAAGTTGCTTTGTTTAAGTGTGAATTGGTTACAAGTTACAAGCGAAGCTAGCTCGACAATAGCAATGGAGATTGGGATTGCCCATATTGTTGGCTGAACCCAATATTTGCTGATCAAATATCTCATTTGTGTTGCTTTAACCATCACGAATGGCTCATCAATTGATGTTCATCCCTCAAATAGCAATTGTTTTCCCCATGAGGAATTCCTTTTTGGGCTGTTCCCTTTTCTTGACAAGCCATATCAAGCCCTGAGAAGATATTGACACAGGGTGGTGCACGATAGCGGTATGCTAAGGTGGTTTATGGCGCAACAGTTCATTGCCAATCTTAGATACCCTGCATTTTGTTTTTTTTTGCTGGTTAGTGGATATTCCCATTAATACCAAAAGACTAAAGGATTAAAGTAAAGATCAGAAGAAAGAAGATGCAGGTGCGCGAAAAGGTAGGAAAGTCGGGAAACTTTTTTTTTCGTGGTTTTGTGGCTCCGGAGGGTCGAAAAGTAGGCTCGCTAAAGCGGCGGGTGCGGAGACATCTGGGGAGATGAGAGATGAAAAGGCGTAGCCGATTTCGAAGTGAAAAGGTACAGAACACCTCAGCGCCGGACCACTTTTGGAAGTTGAGATGTTGAAAAAGTGCATGGCGTTGTGGCGCGAAGCACATTTCGACGTAAAAAGTGTTAAAAACTGTCGGTCTCGGCACACTTTTGGATGTTGAGATGTCGAAAAAGTGTACGGCGTTGTGGCGCGAAGCACATTTGGAAGTAAAAAGTGTTAAAACTGGCAGTCTCGGAGCACTTTTGGACGTTGAGATGTCGAAAAAGTGCACGGCGTTGTGGCGCGAAGCACATTTCGAAGTCAAAAGTGTTAAAACTGAGGGTCTCGGAGACATTTTGGACGTTCAGACGTCGTTTTGTGTGGCAGGTGGAGTGGATTGTGCATCCACTGAAAAGTGACTGAAACGTGAGGGTTTTGTAGCATTTTCAAAAACGATGGCAGGCGTGGGAGATTTGAAGAGGATCTGCACAGATGCAAGTTTCGTGGCAGGCGCAGTACAAGAGGCATCTTCAGCAGATATGTTCGGAGCTCAAGGAGCTGATTTCCTGAGAGGGGTTGCATTTTGGCGTATCAAATCATCGGCTATGCCAAGATGCTTTTTCGTGACAAATGCAGCATTTCGTATGACCTGGACTAACTTTTTCGTGACAGGCGCAGTACTTTAGAGACATGGCATGGAAAAATCGCAAAACGCATTGGTACGAGGCCGTCAGCTGTACAGTCAACTTTCCATTTTTGAAGAAAGTCTCGCAGAATTGCTTCGTTTTTGATGTTTTCAACTGCAAAAAGTGAGAAAGTCTCGCAGAATTGCTTCGTTTTTGATGTTGCCAACAGAAGTCTAGCAGCATTGGTCTGTTGTCGACGTGGCGGCTAGACAGATTGATCGACAGGTCAAGAGGTAGATCGAAGGACAGGTGGAGACAGAACTTGACGGATGAAAAAAATGCATAGATAGACGGGTAAATAGATCGATAGATAGATAGACAGATCGATGCATCGCAAGATCCATAAATGCATCGAGAGATTAATCGAAAGATGGGTGGCTAGATAGAGACAGATCGATCAATAGACAGGTAGATGGATCGCCAGATGGACACATAGATCGCTAGATCGAAAGATCGCTAGAAGCGTCGATGACCAGATAAACGCATGGGTAGCTAGATAGATGGATGGATAGCTGGAAGAAGAGTCAGACGGACAGATGCATGGATGAATCGATAGAGAAACAGAACGAAGAACATGGTGATGGATAGCTGTGGACATGGATCGATGAAGAGATGGACGGCAAACAAAAACTAACAGAGAGAAGTAAGTGGATAGATGAATGGCTGGATAGACAGAAAGATAGACAGTTTAAATTAATAGATAGGTGAATAAACAAATCGATCGAATAGACAGGTAGATAGGTAGATGGCTAGAAAGGTAGCTCTGTAGATAGATGGCGAAAGAGAGACACAGAGAGAAAGAGAGAAAGAGAGACAGAAAGGGAGAAACACTCAACCACCTTTCAATCCATTAGTGGGTTCGCTCTGCCATTTTTGCGTCACACCAACTCACCTCTCCTATAGGTTTTCCATTTTTGAAACTTCCGCCACCGCCTTGTGCGGTACTACTGGTATGGCTTAACAGTTGCGGTTGTGATGAAATAACATTCATGGGGATCCAGGACCTGCATTGATGGCTCAACATTCCCTGGTTTCTCAGTGGGATAAGTAGGGTTAATCCACTAGCAAAACCCGGGTTATAACCTACTTAGGATTCGTGGGATGAGCCACAAAGTAACCCCAATATTCACCATCATTAACCATGGTTAAACCATATTTTCCCCGTTAATTCAAGTCCCCAGATCACCCGATTTACCCTCTGGTTATGTCAAAATAGCTATTGAAAATTGCCATTTATAGTGGATTTTCCCATTAAGAGTGGTGATGTTCCATAGTTATGTAAATGTTTACCGGAGGGTATATGTTGTTTCCATTCAAAGATTGTGATCTTCCATAGTTATGTTAGTTTACCAGAGGGTACAAGGTCCAAGCGGCAGAGTCCAGTTTCTTCACTTGCGAGTCCATCTGCGCCACGAGCTGCCGCATCGGGGTGAAACCTTGGGACAAAAATGGTCGAACATGGCCCCAAGTTCAGGCAGGGGGATGTTATAGTATGTTCCAAATATTAGTTCGTCAATGGGAAGGATTATTCCATATATGGGAAAAAAATGTTTGAAACCACCAACCAGTATTTTTTGGGGGACGGTTGGAACTTTCAGATGCCATGCTCCCTAGAAAGAACCATGGGAACATATGGGAACATAAACCAAAACAGTGGGAAACAAATTCATTCATTAAACTGAATATCATTCCTCACCATCGTTGGGGATTCAGTGTCTGGGACAGCAAACTATAGATTGACGTTTGACGACCTAACTTTCAATCAACTCTTTTGCTAGTTCAGTCCACTTTTGTTCGCTTTGTGGAATCCTATTGCTTTTTGTTGATAAAGTCTTTATTGATTGAACCCCCATGGATATTCCCTCTTTCCATAAATGGGAAAATCCCACTGACCCACCAGGGTTCTCAAATAGTTGTCAAACGCTTGCCAAGCAAACTTACTTATTCAAACAATACTGTTGTTCAAACATTTATTCCTTGTACTTGAAGTCACGTGCAATGGGGGTTGATGCTTAGGTTTCCTGACCTTTTTGGTAGTAGTATGTAGTAGGTACGAGTAGATAGGCGAACACAAGCCAACCGCCAAAACTATGCGGGGGCACATATGTGAACATGTATGTATGTATATATATATATATACACACATGCGGTATCCATACATATTAAGATCTCTGTATATATTATATATATATATATTCTATGCCTGTGAAATATCCCACATGGCGGTAAATCCATGTTTCACAGGGGTAAACAGGACATGGACAGCAGATGTGGCTATTGGTATTTTCCACATGAACCCAGAGAAATTCTCAGAAAGAAAAAACATATTGTTGGTGATTGAAAACATATCTGGTTGGTGGTTTTAACCATCTTGAAAAATATTAGTCAATGGGAAGGATTATCCCATATATTATTGAAAATAAAAAATGTTTGAAACCACCAACCAGGTTGGGATGATTATTCCCAATATATGAAGAAATAAAAAATGTTCCAAACCACCAACCAGATCACCATCATATTCTCATTGTTGTTGGTTTATAGCCTATGAAAACCACTATTAACCATCACTATTAACCACCAATCAGTGATTTTACACGCATTTGGTGATTGTTGGTAATCTCCCCCATCTCTACATTTCAAGGCGCCCTTTCAAGGCCCCGGAAAGGAAAACGCCACGCCACGTTCGCCCTCCTCCTGCGCGGTGTTTTCGGACGTCGGCTCGGAGATCTGTCTGCCACCAAAGGCGGCCTGCGGATGCCGGACAAGGGCGGTTACGCACCATATAGATACAAGGGATATACATTTATATATATATATACGTACATATGTATATATTGTATATGTATATACACATTTTATGGTACATGAATAAAATTATATAAACATATATGGGTAATCAGTGGTTGATAATGGTTAATGGTTAATAATTGGGGTAGAACCAACAATAATCTGGGTCGAACAGTGAGGTCGTCATAATTTACCCCTACATATATAGATAGATGCATACCAAGCAATCTTCCTGAAGTAGATATAATTTGAGATTTTCACACACATATTCCCAATTGAGTGAGGATTGTTTCAACTTTCCACATTATATATATATACTGCAATCATACATATGTATGCAATATATATATATATGCTTAAATGGAGGTGTTCAACCATTACAACCCGGTGATGATGATGAAATATATATATATATTTATACAGAATGTTTTTTTTATATACTATACATATAAAAATACATATAATATCATATAATATAGTACAGTAACCCCGGAGCTCGGCACTGCATAGCCGAAGCGGCGAGGTTCCTCGCTTTTTTTTTTGGATCACCAAAAAAGGGCGTTGAAACGACTCCCAAGGTCAAAGGATGCTCACACTCGGAATCAGAGTAGCAAACGATTAAATATTTGCTGCCGCTTGACATGGCTTCATGAAAGTATGAAAGTCATTGCTACCCTACGGTTTCAACCACTTCCTGAGAGAGAGTACTTAACGCCCCAAGTCATTCTCCAAATAGACTTCCTCAGAAGGTGATTGGATCCATAGAGCTACTAGAGAAACCACATGAAAAACGACAATATACGGTACTTGCGGTGAACATGACCCACTGCTCAATTCTATGTCAGGCAGATCATGCATGGCTCGTACTCGGAAAGCCCAGAAGCTTTGGAAGACCATTGAGAAGGTACCCTCTGGTAAACTAACATAGCTATGGAAAATCACTATTTTTAATGGGTAAATTCACTATAAATGAATGGCAATTTTCAATAGCTACATTAAATTACCAGAGGGTAATTGAGATTTGTGAAGTCCATATAAGATCCAATACAAAACATTTCAATATATATACATATATATATATATAGCAGCTTATGTTTGCTCCAAAAAAAAGACTACCCAAGAATTGTGAACAAAACCTCCTCACTAACGCTTAAAGCGTTGGTTTGAGAACGACCCCCAAAAGTGGCGAAACTCACAAGCAATCTGAGACACCCTTCCAAAATCATGTTTCTTGCCGTTGAGTATTTTATGTATCCCAATGATTCCCAATCTAAAGCAATATAAATACTAAACTGCACGGTGCGATCCGGTGCCCCATGCCCCAGGTAATTAAAACAGCCATCCTGCAGGCGCCCTTCTCCCGGTTGAAGCACCTGATTTTGACCTCGGCCTGCTTGTAAGGATCGAGCTGCAGCTGCTCCGCTACCACCTAAGACGTCAGGTTGGGAAAGCAAACCTGGCAGCTATGGTACGATAGCTATAGAGTGGAGCTGGATACCAAAGAATAAGATTTCATCAACCATCATCAAGGTATGTCACCTTTTTCTTGGGGTCATGGGGATATTTCATGGGATATCTAATCAATGTGATACGATGACGTTTGTGGATCCATTGAAGCAATAATCATGAAATATTTATCGTGCCTTTTTGGGGGACCCTTGACGCAATACACGCAAATCTGGACGAATCGTAGATGCGTTGCCAAAATGCAACCATTTGAGTTTGCTAATAGAGAACACCCTCTATGAAGAGACGCACGGTTTGAGCACCGTTTACCTTTTGGGCACTTGATCGTGAGAATCTAGGGTAAGATTGAACAAAACACGCACTTTTTCAGACTGGACATGGATGATTTGAAATCATGTGATGTAGCAATATTGACCCAAAAACAAGGGCCTTATGGGGGTTGGTCCATGAGGACTTTGGGCGGACCTGACCTCCCCAAACTGCCGCTGGACAGACAAATCCAGTCAAGCAAAACCATCTTTGCAATGGGAATCAACAATGAAACACAATTGTACAAAAACCAACACTTAAGACTTAGCAAGGATTGAGGGTGGCCACGAATCATCTACTTCATCTCAGGTCTTTTTGCGAGATAGGCCAACACAGAACAAGATGGCCCAACATAGAACCCACGAACGCCCAACATAGTCCCAAGATGGGCCAACATAGCCCCAAGACGACCCAACAAAACCCAACATAGTCCCAACATAGTAACAAGATGGCCCCAAGATAGGCCAACACAGAGCCAAGATGGCCCAACATTGACCTCAGGAATGCCCATCGTAGTCCCAAGATGGGCCAACATAGGCCCAAGACGAGCCAACAAACCCCAACATAGTCCCAACATAGTCCCAAGATGGTCCAACATAAACCTAAAATAAAGTGAACATAGGCCCGAAGCAACCCCGGGGAGGCAACATAGTCCCAAGATGGGCCAAAGACAACCCAACAAAACCCAGCATAGGCCCAAGACAACTCAACAAAACCCAACCTAGTCCCAACATAGTCCCAAGATGGGCCAACCTAGACCCAAAATAAAGTGAACATAGAACAACTCAACAAAACCCAACCTAGTCCCAACATAGTCCCAAGATGGGCCAATATAGACCCAAAATAAAGTGAACATAGACCCAAAGCAACCCAACAGTAGCTGCAACAAATAACTTTTCACGTGCGTTTGGCTATATTAGTTTTCCTCCTCTAGAAAAGGGAGTGGGGGAGGGCCCCAAGATAGGCCCGGCCAACACAGAGCCAAGATGGCCCAACATAGAACCCAGGCAGGCCCAACATAGTCCCAAGATGGGCCAACATAGGCCCAAGACGAGCCAACAAACCCCAACATAGTCCCAACATAGTCCCAAGATGGTCCAACATAAACCTAAAATAAAGTGAACATAGGCCCGAAGCAACCCCGGGGAGGCAACATAGTCCCAAGATGGGCCAAAGACAACCCAACAAAACCCAACATAGTCCCGACATAGTCCCAAGATGGGCCAACATAAGCCCAAAATAAAGTGCACATAGGCCCAAAGCAACCCAACAGTAGCTGCAACAAATACGGTTTCACGTGTGTTTGGCTATATTAGTTTTCCTCCTCTAAAAAAGGGGGAGCGGGGGGGGACGGTATAGGTGAGTGCGGGGGCCCGGTTTGACGAATGTTTGGCCGCTGCATCCACTGGGTTAAGAGTTCATGCACCCACAACGACATTAAGACAGCACGAGCAACAAAGCAACAAACGCAACATACTAGCATATTGCGAGACGCACCGCAAAGAACAGCACCAACAACATCAACAACCTCAACAGCACAACAACCTCTAAGACAACGAGAACAGAAACAAGAACAACCAGAAGCACAACAAGAACACCAGCAAGAACAAGATTGGCAAATAGCTGCGTCACTGGGAGCGGCATTTGATCCAACAAAACCCAACATAGTCCCAACATGGTCCCAACATAGTCTCAAGATGGTCCAACATAAACCTAAAATAAAGTGAACATAGGACCAAAGCAACCCCGGGGGGGCAACATAGTCCCAAGATGGGCCAAGGACAACCCAACAAAATCCAACATAGGCCCAAGACAACTCAACAAAACCCAACATAGTCCCAACATAGTCAACATAAGCCCAAAATAAAGTGAACATAGGCCCAAAGCAACCCGACAGTAGCTGCAACAAATACGGTTTCACGTGTGTTTGGCTATATTAGTTTTCCTCCTCTAAAAAAGGGGGAGCGGGGGGGGACGGTATAGGTGAGTGCGGGGGCCCGGTTTGACGAATGTTTGGCCGCTGCATCCACTGGGTTAAGAGTTCATGCACCCACAACGACATTAAGACAGCACGAGCAACAAAGCAACAAACGCAACATACTAGCATATTGCGAGACACACCGCAAAGAACAGCACCAACAACATCAACAACCTCAACAGCACAACAACCTCTAAGACAACGAGAACAGAAACAAGAACAACCAGAAGCACAACAAGAACACCAGCAAGAACAAGATTGGCAAATAGCTGCGTCACTGGGAGCGGCATTTGACCCTACAAAACCCAACATAGTCCCAACATGGTCCCAACATAGTCTCAAGATGGTCCAACATAAACCTAAAATAAAGTGAACATAGGCCCAAAGCAACCCCGGGGGGGCAACATAGTCCCAAGATGGGCCAAAGACAACCCAACAAAACCCAACATCTGCCAGAGCTGCGATTGGCCTCCAGACCAGCCTTGTACCCGGCTGCAAATCTCTTGGGGATAGTACCCATTGTGATCTCTATGGGCGATGGGTACCCGTACATAGCCAGCACAAGCGCTGAAAGTCGAGCTCCCCCGTCAAGGCCAGCTGTGATCGGCATCTGCGTCTCGAAGGTGGAATGAGCATACTGCCCAAGCGCACCAACCTGCGTGATTCTGTGCGTGCCGTAGTACGACAGCTATGCCTTGAAGCTCGGTACTGAGCTTTCCACCCACCTTCTTCCGCATCTGGTCACTAGACCTCAGATGCTCTGCAGACATCAACTTCCCCTCCACCGCCGTCGCCATTCGGAAGAAGTCGTGTGGGGCTGCGTTTGGTTCAGTTTTGAGGCAGCCGATGGTGCCCACAGACATTCGCCTAGCTCTTCAGTAAAGCTGGCATCTGCTGGAATCCCCACGGAACTGAGCAAATTGCTCGCCCGTTTCTCCAGCTTTTCATCCCATGCCGCATCGCGGGTGGCATAGGGCAGAGACAAAGTCTCTTCCGCCATGCCGGTCGTGTCACAACGCGGTTTGTCTCTCAGATGCTTCAAGCGGAATGTTTTTTCTAGGATTCTAGGATTCTAGGAGTTTGAAACATTTTGGTGACAGGAAGTCCCTGACTTCAAGATGCTCCAGTATTATATGTGAAGATGAGTAATTTCTCTAGCTACGCCAGCAGGCAAATGTTCTTGTGGTGTACAAGAAACCTCGTGCTTCCATTCACCCCCCCATCCTCTCTGAGTGACTCTTTGGCCGCGCGGGACCGCCACTCTTTGGCCGTCTCGTCCAAGCATTCTGCCGCTCGCGTGCTTGTTGTTCCTTGATGCCCTGGGTTTTCCTCGGTGAAGATCCGTCCCCGATGTTTGAGGAAATGGTAGGAAATGAAGTTGAAGATCGGGAGCTTTGCTCAAATCAACCCCTAAAAAAATATGAACCGGAGATATGATGGATAAAGTAGTATATGTTTCTGTATATCACTTATAGATATAAACAAAGAAAGGGATTGACATGCTGGTTCTGGGGGTTTCATAGATGGGCATAGAGATATTTAACTGGTGATTGAAGATGTCCCATAGCCCACTTTCTAATCATGTTTTTAATCGTGCTTGTGGCTAGTTATTATGTCCCTATTTGCAAAAAAAATCAAAGTACTAAACTATATACCCTCTGGTAAACTAACATAGCTATTGAAAATGGCCGATTTATAGTTGATTTACCTATTAAAAATGGTGATTTTCAATAGCTATGTTAGTCATTACCAGAGGGTATCTGTCATAGGATTTCCCAGTGGCTTACAACCCATTCCCCAACCATGAAGCCGGCATCATTTCAGCTGTCGGACAACTCCGCAGACCGACCTTCAGGACATTGCCATCGCAGACCGACATATTTAGAGCTGGAAGCCCATCAATTTGGGGACCTACAATGTGAGGCCCCCAAGATAGCTAAGTTGGTGAACATAACTCCAATAACTATGGTTTATGGTATTTATAACTATAGTTACTGGGGCTTATAAACCAACTTTTAACTATAGTTACTGGTCAGCAGGAGATGCGCCTTTCCAGGTCTTCAAGTAAGTGCTCATTACTAATCGATCATGAGCCATAGGTACTGTACGGTACAACCCATTTGCTCATATTTTCAAATAGGCCCACAAGTGAGCGGACTTGCTAACCAACGTTTTGCCTAACCCTTGGATAAATTTAAATAATTACTTGGCTAATGAATGTATAAACAGTAGTAACCTAGATTCTTATAACACGACTAGACCACCCTTTCGAATTAAAAAAAATCCTGCAGGTTATATACAAATCAACTTGCTCGAGTGTGGAAAATTAAATGGGGCAATGTAGCAAACCCATTGAATGGTCCTCTGTTCGCCACCTTGTAGAACCTCCTATGAGTTTATGCCTTATAATGACAGTCTAATGAAAAACCCTGACTACAACTCGTGAATACTAACTTCCTACACGTGCTACATGTACTATATCTACAATTCTAGGGTTCAATATATCGGCATTAAATTAAACTTACTACATGTTACGATAGGTGCTATAAAATGTTATGAATCAAAAATATTATTTACATATAAATAACTGTATATATATATATATATACATATATATATATGTATACATATATATATATATACATATAAATATATATACATATATATATATACATATATATATATGTTTTATATATATATAATACATATATATATTATGTAAACTGTTACTACATTTGTGCGCCAAGTTTCTGCGCCGCCTCCAGCTCTTTGTCCAGGCGTTTCAGGCGCCGCTTCTCCAGTTCCAGTCCTGGGTCCCGTCGTCCCGGTGCCACGGGGCGCGTTTCAAACAAAGGTCACCAGAAAAGTCAACGTCTCACCAGGATTTCACTTGGAAAACATAGGAAAAATGATCAACATTGGGATTCGACCAGATTTCTGGGCAAAATTGGCAAAACATGAACATTTCATCAATAAAAACTTCAAGTTTAAGCACCATTCATTAACAAAATTGGGATTCATAAGCAAACATCGGGATTCATTGTCAATGGGGTCATTCATCATTGGTCGCTGGTTCCTCCACCGTTGTTTCGCCGTGAGGTTTTAATTGATGTTACATGATGATATGTGATTTTACATAATCTGGTTGGTGGTTGACCTACCCATCTGAAAAATGATGGAGTTCGTCAGTTGAGATGATGAAATTCCCAACTGAATGGAAAGTCACAAAATTCCATGGTTCCAAACCACCAACCAGTAATGGGCGAATGGGTTTTTAAAGCATCAAACATGTGGATTGAAGCGACAAATAATATGGCTTTAACATGCTTTAACCATAGAGGTCGATATAACCCAGTCTACTGGCCCACGAAACCAGTTACCATGTAAAATGACATACTGTAATATGTATATATATATATAAATAATTATATATATATACATGTATATATATATATATATGTGAACAATTTGATCCTTGTTCTGGATGTTATAGTTCAAGTGGTACCTGTTTCACTGGTAGTTCCCGGACCCGTAAGACATGGCGGACGGTGATCACTTCCTTTTGCTCACGCAGGGGGTCTTGAGCCAAAGTGGCGTCCCATGCATGAATTGTTTGTATGCTATTACTACGTTCCCTTTGACACCCCCCATGCCCGTGGTATTCTTCGAACCACGGACACGAGAGAGGGAACTTTGAATTGGATTGTTTCAGCTACCTGAATTACGCCTATGTACATAAAACATGCCATTCGGCTCCCCCTTCCCCACATGCCCGACGGGAATAATGGTTCAGGGTTCGCCTACTCTCTGGCTGTCGATGCATCGGCGTCTCATCAAGCTGTACAACGCGAATTATTGCTAGCTAACATCTACTTTTCTACGTTGGCTAGGCATGCCACTCACCCGACGGGAGAAATGGGTCGCTTCGCTACCAAAGATTTACAATGCTAACTAACGAATTCACGTGCACTGTGCAGAATTTCGTGCAGATTGGGAATATCAAAAGATTCGAACCTAAGCGAATTAGTTTACTGCCTCGCTCAGAGTCCACTCAGTTGGTCTTTTCCTGATCATCTGTTCGCAAAGACGATACACATCTCATAGTCTAGTGATCATTTTGACGGACAGAGGTAATGGGTTTACTGCTCACGGCGGACTTTCTTCCATTGAGGTGTTGTTGGAGATTTCTCCCATCCTGCCGCGCGTTTCGGAGCAGCTTTCGGCGATGAGGGCTTCGCAGGCGGTGCCTTTGATGGTTCATGGGATCTCGGCATAGCCTTAGCCTTTGGTGCGCTAGCCGATGATGATGATGCTGAACCAGTGCCTTCAGGTTTCTGTGAAGGTTGTGCTGATGATTTGGCTTTCGCGTCTGCGGTGGCAAACTTGGAAGCGGCAGTATGTCCGACTGCTTTGAATACTTCACTTACCACTTCGTCGCCAAGGGTTGGAGCCATCTTCATTTTCATCTCGGTCTTTCCCCTCTGCGCCTCGGCCTCAGCCAGTTGAATAGCATAAGCCATCTTGCTGACAAAGTTTTGAGGTAAAGGGATGCCACATTGTTGGGCGGCAAAGAGTAACTCCACTCTTTGTTCCTTCTCCCTCAGACTCAGATATACCGAGAAAGCTGGGAGTTCGATGCAGTTGGGGAAGCCGTGGCTCCCGGAGCGAAAGAAGGTGTATGATTCGTGTTCTGGAAAGGTTCCTTTCAGCAGTCGTCGAAGAAAGTTGCTGATGGTCACTCGCATCTCCTGCTTCCCTTGGGCATCAGCCTGCATTCGGTTCATTGGCATGAGGAAACCTAATGACTCGGGAGTGTACCCGGCGCGTACCAGAAATTCCATCATCTTTTCATAGATCTCCAAAGTCTTGATGACAGGCATCATCATGTTTCTTGGTCGTCCTGAGTACATCTTCTCTCCCTCTGACCATGAGTTCCTTTTCCCTTTCTCCTGAAAGAGTTCGTCCAACTCCAGCTCTGTCGGTCGCTTGAGGTTGCCATCCTGGTCTTCGCCTGTGTAGGGGCAGAAGTCGTCCAGGTCCAGCCGGACTCGTTTGGTTTCCGTCATCATCTCATAGTACTCCTCTGGGGTCAGAGTGACTCTCTGTTTATAGTAGAGCCTGAACATTGTGATGACCTTTGACATGACGGCATTGTCATACAAGTGAGCCGCGGCCTCGGAGACATCATTGTTGATAAGTCCGTCTTCCGGCATACCCTTGCTTCCGCTCTCAAGATTCTTAGTCCACGCTGGAAGTTTGGAAGAAGGTTCATCTTCAGGTTCGACGTCCATTTCATCGTCGTCTTCTTCAACGATTTCGTCGTCTTCCTGTTGAGTTTCCTCCTCCTGATCCATTTCCTCATCATCGCCTTCATTGTAGTCGACCTCGTCAGGATTGAAGCCATAGTCGTTGGATTCGGATACGTTTTCTTGTGCTTGATTGACCGTATCCTTGAACAACGATTCTTCTTGTCGACGAACTTCTTCATCGAGCTCTTTCTTTGTGGCCTCATCTTCATCGTCTTCAGGAGCTTGTAGCCGATATGGACGGATTCCACAACTTTCAAGTTCCGTCCAGCAGACTAGACACACTGCTAGCTTTGTCGGCGTCTCGTTGAGACAGTGAGGACAATGACGGCAACCTGACGTTTGCACCCTTTTGCGTTCGACTATGTAGTCAATCAGCTTGATGCGGGCCAGGTATTGCTCTTGTCCGCCAGGCTCGATGAGGTTGTTCTTGAACTGGTTGACGATGTTCATGGCATCCATGGCGGTTTCGTCATACGGTTGGTCTTCGGCGTCGATGCATTGACTTGCAACCCTCAGGATGGACTCCTTGGTGGCTACCGTTCTTGATTTGATAGTTCCAGACCGGACTACCTGGTCGTCGCCCGACGGGACGAACAACCGGAGCCATGTCTTGTTGTATTGGTCCTTGGGGTCCTGAATCCATCCTCCTTTGATTGCCGAGAACGGGATGATCTTTGGTGAAACGATCTGTCCCGAGTCAGTTAGTCGACCGCCATATTCCACCATCAAGGTCTCGGTCGGGATGAACAAGCAAATGTAGTCCCCCTTGCGCGTATCAACGCTCTTCGTGATGGTCCATGATCTGTGATCCCATGGCACATACGGGTTGAAGAACGTGAACATCCGATGACCTTCTCCAAGACCTCCTGGAATTAATCCCTGCCTCCAAATGCTTCGGAGGTTGGTCTTCTTGGTGATGTGGAAACAGACCGGTAATGACAGAATGGTGTTGGGTGCGATTGGATGTGAAAGCAACGAGGACAGCAATGAAACGTCGTCTCTTGAAGATCCTTCTTTGTGCCCCGTAGGAGCACGGACCGCCACTGGGTAGAGCAGTAGACCTTCATCAGGGATGTGCGTGTCCGCTTCGACATTGTTGTCAATGCACGTCAGGCTGCGGCGATCAATGTCCTTGTTGATCCCAAATGCCAAGACTTGTTCACGCACACGACGTCCGTACCGGGCACAGTGGAACATGATCTTGAAGAGCAATGTCATGCGGTAGTTCGCCTCATTGACATTCCATGCACTCTGATCATTTGCTCTTCCTTTTGGGGCAAGGAATACGTGTGGCCAGCGTGCATGCTCGTGCCTCCAGATGGACTCACATTTGAGCACCTCCTCGATGGGCACCCAGCCGGCGTCATCACAGGACAGACTCTGCTGCTCTGATACCTTCCCCACGTTGTGCCGCAGGATCCTGTTTAGTGAGGTACTCACCTTGTCCTCGTAGGTGTCGAGCCGGTTGCCAGTTTCGAAGCGGTAGTTGGCCGCATATTCTACACCGCCAAAGTAAGAGCAGTTGAAGAAATGGGCCCCCGTCGTTGGGATGATTTTCAAGAAACCATCTTGCGGCGCTTCGACTCGTTTGTAGAAGGTCTTCCTGATGTTGTTGTCAGAGTAGCTTGCCATGAAGTCTGGCACTGACCAAGTGTCGCCTCCTCCTCTGACAATAGCGTCTCGGATCACTTCGTTGAGGTCAACAACGTTCTGTGGTCCCAGCTTTGTAACATCACGTCCTTCGATGCAGAACCTACCATACTCATCGAGGTCACCGACTTCGGACATGGTCCTGATGTTGTCGTACCATTGGTGTTCACTAAACCTCGGTTTTGTAGGTTCGTCCGTTTGCCCCGACCCTTCAGTAGCACCTGAACCGTCCTTCTTGTGCTCAGGAGGCTCCATATCGACGTCATCAGATGTGGGACTATCAGCCTCGAGCGACGCTCGGACGGCCTTTAGCACCTTTCTGACTTCATCTCTCTTCTCATGTTCACATTCAAGATGACCATGTTTGGTGCTACCACAATACAAGCACACGTTGACATCCTCAGAGACGGTGAAGAGTTTTCCCAACGCATCCAAAAGTTGTTGTTTCCCGGAAATCTCTGAGTCCCTGACCATATCGGTGGGATCATTTGCTGGCTCATCAGCTTCCTCCTCCCCAGGGTGAGTCGACGACTCGTCACCTGGCTTGGCATCGGCATCAGCGCCCATGCTGGCGTCATCCCCTGTGATGTTGTTCTTCCTTCGATAATGAGAGAATACCTGATCCTTCTCCCACTCCGTGAGGCAGCAGAAGTTGGCCAGCGAATCATATCCGGGGATTGCGTGGATGAGCTTCATGACCCTTTCGGCTTCTGCGGTCTGCAGTGTACAGTCGAAGGATCCCCGTCTCTTGTCATTGATGGTGCTTGAGGTTCTGGAGGTCGATGTGAATTGAGCCAATGCCTTTTCCAATCCGTTGAGATACTCAGCCGGATCAACACTGGCATTGAAA